GGAGAAGAACAAGAGAGGCAAAGGGAGGGACTTGGGCGGGGCATGGTATGGCGATGGGTGCTGCGGCTTTGGCTGCGCGTGGTCCTTCAATGCTGACACGGTCAACGCGGTCCCGCCTGTGTTGCCTTTGTCTTCTCTTCTGTTCCCCACTCGTTTCCCTCTCTTCCAGGAGATGCGAGGGCGCGCGGCGGTGGCTGGTGGCGGGCTGCACTGGACTGCGTGCGCAGTGTGTCCGCCTCGGTCTTCTTCGTGCTTGGTTTGCTCCTGGGGTTCGAGGGTGCCCCGCGGTGGCTGGCGGTGGGCTATGAGGCGAGTGCAGTGCGCTCCCCGTCTTTGTCTTTCTGAGGGCTCTCCCGAAGTCTTTCCCCGCCCCACTTGCCCACCTACTCACCCACCCGCCTGCCCACGCACTTAGCGAGCCCACTGCCCACCAACTCATCTATCAAATTATCTACCCACTGACCGCCGCACCCGCCTGGCCTCCGGCGTGCCCTCCCACGCTCTTCCCTGGGCACTTGGCCACCCACCCGGCTACCGACCCCCCGTACTTACTACAGGCCCGGCTTCCTAGTTGGGGGCCCCTCGCTTGTCCACCTTTCCACCCCTGAAACCGGCGAAAGCTTTCCACGCACATTTCCGCCCCCCGGGCCTCCTCTTTCCCCCAATCCTGCCGAAGCGGATGCGGCGCCAACAGACCAGCCCCCGGCCCGCCCCCTTGCTTTTCCGCATGCCCACCAGCCTGCCCGCAAGCTCCCGAGCCAGTCGCGAACCTGCACCGAGCGCCGGCAACGGGGGGCGTGTGGGCCCCAAAGGACGGCGCCGCGGCGCGCATGCGGTGCCACTACTCTCGCGGCTGCGCGCGCCGGGCTCTCTTGGCGGGCCCGCCCTCTCCTTGGGGGCGGGGGCCGGGGCTTCGAAAGACCTGCGCCGAAGCGGGGACGCGGTTCCCCGGGGCGGGGAAGCTGAAGCTTCGCAGCTGAAGAGAGCAGGCCCCGGCGCGGAACATGTGCCGGCCGCTGCGCCGGGGCCTAAGCGTGGAAGGCAGGGCCAAAAGCCAAGGCAAGAAAGCGCGTGGGGGATAAACGGGCGGAGAAACCCCCGCCAGAAGCCTCGGGCAGCGTGGCTGCAGCAGGGTGCCCAAGGTGCAAACAAGCTGACGAAAAGGGAAAAGCGGGGACGCAATGGCCGGAGCGAAAGCGCCGGAAACGGGGGGCCGCGATCGAAGAGACCGCGGCCGCACACGATGGCCGGAGACAAGACGGTGGCATCGCCAGCTCCCCGAGACTCGTAGGGCGGCCTGGGCAACTCAGCGGGGAGCGGCACCCGGGTGCTTGCAGATGGGAACTCGGGCGGGACTTCCGCAAACTGCACCTTTGGAACGCCCGGCGAAGAGCGCGGCGGCCAACAAGCTAAAGAATGCGAGGAGCGGGCCCACGGCTTTCCGGCATGCCCCCCAGCATGAGGCATTTTGTCGCCGATAACGCCTCGCGCATATGCCGCGAGCGCTTTTCCCGGATGCGCCAGCAGCTCTCGTGTCTGTCCTATCCCGTCCTCGATTGTCCTTCGCGGATTCACGAGTGACGCGTTGTGCAATCACACTAGTCTTTTAGAGAAAGAATCAATCCCCCATTCGCTCCGCTGCAAGGGGAGCCACCCATCTAGGCGAAAGCTGCTCACGGATTTCCCAATTAGCCGAAGTCTAATATTTTTCATCAGACTTTTCCGCATACAGTTGAGTGGCTCCATTTCAGCCCGAAGTAGTCGCTGGCCAGGGTCCCTTGCAACGTTTTCAACACAAAATTGAAAGAGCCTCAGCAGGCAAGATGACAAAAAAACGCAGTCCGACCCATGGAAACCGTGGTGGCGGTCGCCGCGTGAGCTGACCCGCGTAGATGTGTTTTTCATCACTCTTTGTAGAAAAACAAACAGGAGCGCTCAAGTAATGAATATGAATACTGTGGTAAGAAAGATTCGTCAAGTCCTCCAGTCAGCCATTTGTCAAGTCCAGTCATGCTAGTAGGCACTAACTCGTTGTTTACGGCAATTGCGGGTCTTTTTGTGTAGCACCTTAAATGAGCAGCTAACGACAATATTTCCATTTTTTGGTTCGCTCGTGAGTAAAACGGAAAGTACGGAAATAATAGCACACGGAGATAGCATCCATAGGAAACAGCGTAGGAAATGCAGCTTGGCCTCGAGTCGTGTAGTTCTCCTGCTTCCCGTCGTTAGGGATCGTTGTGGCAGAGGCTTTGACATTTTGGAGGCGCCTTCAATCTAATTTCAGAGAAGAAGTTGCGCCCGGTCGTTGGCCTCGAGGCTGCAATGCAGCGGAAGCCCCGAGGAAGAAGACGCGGCAGCCCTGCTCGCGGCACGGCGGCTCCCTTCCTCTTGCCGACCGGCTCGCTACGCCACCTTGCACTCCTCCATCTTCAAATGTACTAGAATGGGGAGCTGACTGCAAGGGGGCTCGTCTCGTATGAAAATGAAGGACCAGCATGAAAAGGCTTTGCGTTTTTCTGTCGTGCTGGGGCTTCATCAGATGAGGCTGCGGTGCAGGTCGAGGAGAACAAAAAGGCCGGCAAAAAATGTGCGGATGACAACAAGAATGAGCAGGCCAACAAATAACGCAACAAGAATGAGCAAATCAACAAAAACGAGGTGGATATACTTTCTGCAAAAATTGCTGTTGAGCTTGTCTTTGGGTCCTACGCACGCCTCGGCATGGATCCGCATAGAGCCTGAGTGTGGCCCTGTCGACGTGCGACAGGTCAAGGTGCGGCGGCGGCATCGGCAAAGCTGCTTTGTTCTCTATCCCCTCTTGCATCCGCGTGAGACGATCTCTGGAACTACAGGCGCGACATCGCTACAAACAGCTAATGAGAAGACGAAGACGACGACTTCCATAGAAAAGGAGAGCAGCACGACTACTTCCAAAGAAGATGAAAGTGAGTCATCCACCGCATCAAGGAGTCCGACATCTTCTGTCCTGGGACCGCAGACGACATCAGGGACCTTCTTGCATGGGGGCGAAGACTTCGCAGAGTTTTTGGTAGACTTACCCGATTCAAGCCAAGTTTGGGCTTGGAGCATTCTAGAATGTGACGACGTGAAAGCGGAAATAAGCTCAAGTTTGGATCCCCTCAATGGCGCGCTTTTTCGCGTATATCGGGATTTTGGAGAATTGGTATCTTCTTACTGCTAAATTTCCGCGGAATTCTTTTGATATGATAAAGACTATTTTCAAACAGTAGAGGCCTCTTTTCAAACGGAGTCCTTTATCCCTATGACCGTACCCATCAGACGGTTACACCCGGAGAGATCCCAGGCGGACGCTCAACCCAGTTAGAGATCATTCCGGAACGCGATTTGCCCAAGTTTCTACCTGCGCATCGTGAGAAGATCGGCGTCCGCTTCTGCTCGAAAAGTTCCGGGAAATCAAAGATGGTCGACTTATGTGTCGTTCTTCTTAAATTTGTTGTTGAAAAGTAGTTTTGTTGAAGAGCGTTTTCTTGTTTTGCTATGCGTGTAAAAACCGAGTTGTTCTTTCGTCTCTAATGAAAATGTAAAAGTTCTTTCCCTATGAATGAAATTCTGTACAGTAAGTACTTCAGTCTTGTTCAGCTCAATAGAGTTGCTTCTTTTCTAATGAATGGCTCACTCAATCGAAATGGCAACCGGGTTCGAGTCACATCGCCAGCATGGGATCAGCCGGAAGGACTTACGGTCGAAATTTTCTGGTGCGAGATTCCGAAACTCTTCGTGGATACCTTTCGACGTACTTATATTTTTATTTTTGTTAGGTGTAAAATACCTACTTTTTGAATTTCCTGAGCCAACAACTCCATAAAATGTAAATGCAGTAGTTTGAGGAGTCCTTGTCAACCTCGCCAAACATTAACACTTCCTCTCGGATGAAGGATCATATCATGACTAAAAAAGTTAATCAATCCTCTACCTTCTTCCTCCAGCGCACGCCAGTAGTGGGAGCTTACGCATAATGCAGGAGGAGAGCCTTTTTGTCAGCGCGACACGCTACCTGGACGAAAGTCATTTGCCGACATCAGCACACTTTGTGCCCCCTCAAGTATCGTGGAACATCAAGGGTCGGAAAGATCGGGATGTGCCGAAAATAGATGGCGAACCGGAAGAAGAGGAGGAAGACGATGCGTTTGTAGGCAGAAAAAAAGTTTATGAAGGACTAAGGAAATCCGTCACGCGCGCGTGGGGAAGGATCTTCCTATTTATATTACACTTCCGACTGATCAATGCGGTTTATATTACACTTCCGACTGAGCTAATATTGCTATTGCCAGTACTGAAAAAGTGCTATTGCTAGTTTTCTAGGAGTAGAAGCAACAGCCGTAGAAAAGAACATTTTTGAATCATGCTCGTCTGCTCTTCATATGTGAGACGAGTACATCGATGCTGACGGCGACCATTACGTTCTGTCGCGCAAAGCAGACTTCTCGATTCCGACAGACTCTCGTTTTCTCCGCGATCTGTGTATCCTCATTTTGTCCTGCACGTTTTGTTCCGTGCTACTTCGAGTCTTAAGTGCGCATCGACTCGACATGACGCTAGGCTGTGTGGTCGGCGGCTCCCTGGTGGGACCAGGCGGCTGGAACTTGATTCAGGAGCACGTGCAGGTCGAGAGCGTAGCCGAGTTGGGTTTAGTTTTCCTGATGTTCGAGCTTGGGTTTGGATTTTCAATGCGTCGCATTCTCAAGAGCTGGCGCGCAGCAGTGACGGGTGGCATCATGGTCACGGTATGGCTCGTGGTCTTCTTCGTACTCCTTGCGATGGTTCGGCGAACAGACCGACGAGAAGCGGCTCTAGTCGGGATCTTCATCTCGGTTTCCTCTACCGCATTGGTAGCTGCATCGTCGGCATCTGGTTCAAGAGGTGCTGGTGGCGCAGGAGGGTCGGCGGGCTCTGCTGGAGGCAATAGACACCCATTAAGGCTTACGCATTTATTCTAGTGGAATGTGAGATAGCGGCTATCTCTTTGGTTACGGCGTTTCCAAGGTGCTTTAACTAGGTGCAGAGCGGCGGCTCGAGAAGCACTTAGCGGACGCGCCGCTTAAGTGTTTCGCGAAGCACTTACTGACCGCCTCGTTTATCGGTTTCGCGAAGCACTGGCCGCCCCGCTTAACGGTTTCGCGAAGCACTTCGTGGCCGCCTCGCTTGACGGTTTCGTGAACCTCTTCGTGGCCGCATCGCTTAACGGGTTCGCGAAGCACTTAGTGTCCGCCTCGCTCAATGGTTTCGCGAAGCACTTAGTGTCCGCCTCGCTTAACGCTTTCGCGAAGCACTTACTGACAGCCTCGCTGAACGGTTTGGCGAGACACTTAGTGGCCGCCTCGCTTAACGGTTTTGCGAAGCACTTGGTGGCCGCCTCGCTTAACGGTTTCGCGAAGCACTTAGTGGCCGCCTCGCTTAACGGTTTGGCGAGGCACTTAGTGGCCGCCTCGCTTAACGGTTTCGCGAAACACTTAGTGGCCGCCTCGCTTAGCGGTTTTGCGAAGCACTTGGTGGCCGCCTCGCTTAACGGTTTCGCGAAGCACTTCGTGGCCGCCTCGCTTAACGGTTTGGCGAAGCACTTCGCGGCCGCCTCGCTTAACGGTATCGCAAAGCACTTACTGGCCGCCTCGCTTAACGGTTTCGCGAAGCACTTAGTAGCCGCCTCGCTTAACGGTTTCGCGAAGCACCTAGTGGCTGCCTCGCTGAACGGTTTCGCGGGGCACTTAATGGCCGCCTCGCTTAGCGGTTTCGCAAAGCATTTAGTGGCCGCCTCGCGCAACGGTTTGGTGAGGCACTTAGTGGCCCCCTCACTTAACGGCTTCGCGAGGCACTTAGTGGCCGCCCCGCTTAACGGTTTCGCAAAGCACTTAGTGGCCGCCTCGCTTAACGGTTTCGCGAAGCACTTAGTGGCCACCTCGCTTAACGGTTTCGCGAGCCACTTAGTGACTGCCTCGCTGAACGGTTGCGCGGAGCACTTAGTGGCCGCCTCGCTTAGCGGTTTCGCGAGGCAGATAGGCGACCCCTCGCTTAAGTGGTGGCGGTCACCACTTAATCGACCTTTCACTTAGTCGCTCGTCTAAGTGGTAGCCGCCACCACTTAAGCGACCCTTCGCTTAGGTAGTAGCCGTGTCGCTCGTTTAAGTGGTGACCGTGTCGCTCGCTTAAGTGGTGAAAGTCACTACTTAAGCGAGCTGTCATTGAGGTGGCGGATGGGAGGCACGCGCCAGGGGTACCTCGCGGATCGGTTGTCTGTGGCTTTCCCCAGTTCGGCTTCATACGTTCATTCTGAGATCATAGTGTCCTTTTTCATGAGACGGATCCTCGGCAACGGGCATTTCACATGCAAGACGACGGTCGAAAGGCCGACGTGGACCTGGAGGAAGGGACCAACAAGCTGGTAGCACGACAAGCGACCACCACGTCGCGTCTTCTGCTGCTCTCGGTCGTACTGAAGTCGAAAGTTCAGATGACGAGGAGGTTCATAACATGACACGTCGCAGTGGGTCGCGGCGCGGTGGTGCACGACTAGGACCCGGTAGTAGTAGTAGTAACCGCGACAGCGCAAATAGACCAGTTGAAGTTTCTGGCGTTACACCAAATAGATTTGGGGGAGATGGTCGTTTTGCTTCTTCTGGCCGGATGAACGCAAATTCTAGCTCTAGAAATGGCGGCGAAGTCGTTATGCGAAGAGGCGGCCTCGGTCTTCCCACTGACGTGTCGCTTCAAAGCAACGCTTTAATTTCGATCCTCGTTACGCAAGATCTTATTTTGGCATTGGTTTTAGCGGTCTTCCCCCCACTGTTCTTGCTTCCGAGCGGGGCCGGGGACACGAGCGCTTCCTCTAGGCCGGCGACAGCTGATGCTGGGTTGAAAGCCCATTTTAGTCTTTCCATGTGGCAAGTGCAGCTAGAACTCTGGCAGTGGTTCGCGCTTTCGGCTGCCGTTCTCCTCCTCTACGGGTTGCTTCGGGCTCTCTTCCCACATGTTATGACTTTCGAGATAGTGGTCGTTCTTGTATCAAGTGACGTTGATGAAATATTCTTTCTTATTAGTGGTGATCGGAAACCTCTACCACACCCATAGTTTTGAACTACAACATTTAACGTCTCTGTCTCAAAAATGCTATGAGCCTAGTACGTGGAGGTACTATGATGTATTGTATCCACAAGGAACCCACGACCCATATCTCTATTTTCAATCCACCACCATTCATATCACCCGTGAAACGTCGGTCGCAATACGTGCTCCAGTCTTTTCTTAGCGGAAGTCAAGAGTTGCAACAGCTGCTTTTGGTCTTCTGGTGCCTCCTGGTTATTCTGACGGGTGAGCAACTTGGTCTATTTTTATGACTGCGAAGTAGATTTATTTCAGGAGAAAGACGAAGGGGTCTCAACTCTTCACCATAGCTCTATTTATTTTTCCCGCATATTTGTCCTACCTTACTGTCCCTCCAATCAATCCGTTTAAATTTTAGAATCAAGAAGTCCTCCTACTTGAGAATTTTTCTTCCTCCAAGTAAGTGCCTCCTTCATGAAAGAGTAAAGAAGTCGGTGCATTTCTTGCGGGAGGCGTGTTGCCGAGCAGTTGCAAACAGGTCGCCGAGCAGGTGACGAGGCCACTGAAGGAGTTCTTTATGCTCATATTCTTTGGCTACATTGGGTTGATGATGCGACCTCTTTTCCTAGTGGACAATTTCCAAGCGATCGCGTTTTTATGGTTCGGACTCACGGGGCTCAAATTTTGCGCGTGCATGTTTCACCTCATCGCCTGTGGAGGACAGCGGTTCACCATCGCATTCTACATATCACTGTGTCTATCTTAAGACAACCCAAACTGCATCCTCAGCATCATCCCTGGCCCCCTTTTTCAAGCAGAAAAAGGGCCCAGGGATGGTGTCAGGGATGCGACTGCGCTAGCTCTAACTATACCATGTCGGGGAATTCGCATTCCTCATCCTCGCGAAAGGCAAGACCTGGGCAGTTTTCTCGAACAAAGTGCATCTGCTGCTCCTCGGCGTTGCAACGTTCAGTACTAGAGACCCTTGCTGAGTCGAAAAAAGATGGCTCCTATAGAGTTCTCTTGAAAGGAAAATACTTATAGCCATAGACATTCAGCATTAAGTTTTGGATATGTCGCTCTCATGTTAATATCGTTCTCATATGATTTTTACGTTGCTATCAACACAGGTTTACTAACAAGTCCAATGGTGTTGGGGATTGCGCAACGCTGGGTTCGTCGTCTCACTGATCGCGGGTGCAGTGACTGGTTGGAAAACAAAGAAGACGTGCTCGGATTAGGAAATTACAAATTGCCGGGTTTCGTTCCGCCAACCCTAGTGGGTAGCTACTCCCTGCCTTCGCAGCGACCGGTGGAAACCGAGATGCAAGATCGAGGAATGATGATACTGGGACGTGGTCATGAAGGTCAAAGAGAACACCCTGAATCTACAGTAGGTGCTGTAGGTTCTGGAGAACAAGCATATCCGACAAGAGGACATCCTCCAGAAAGCGTGATATCCTCAGCAGGTGCACCAGGAGTTGGTACGGATGTTGGAACAACAACGAGTCACCTTCAGCATAGTAATATCCTGGCCCCCGGTCCTAATTCGCCAGAACAACGCAGAGGAAAGCCTTTGAACCCTTCTGTCTACAACCTCCACCAAGCAGGAGTTCAGCCCAGTACAGACTTGTCCAGTTCCTCGACCTCGGGTATTCTAGCAGCAAAGGTTATGAAACGAAAATTCTTACTCATAGATGGTACTATAGTATAGGTAATAGGTACACGTAGCGGAGGATACACTTCTATAGTAAATAGGTGGTACTTGTTCGATAGTAAATAGGTACAACTAGCGGAGGCTACACTGGACAAGTAGGCGCGATTCATTCACAAGGTTGAACCACGCTACCTAGGCAGGGTCAAAGTTGGTATGAGTAAGCAGTTTTCTCTGTCATCAAAGTGGCGTCAACGTTGTACTCCGGAGCAAGCAACATCGGCAACAGATTCGCAGCGAAAGGGTCGCCAACAGACACCAGATCCAAGATCATATGACGGCTTGGTGTTCTCCGTGAGCAGATACGACGAAACGCCTCTTCTACTTCTAGGAAACGCCTCTTCTACTTCTAGGAAACGCCTCTTCTACTTCTAGGAAACGCCTCTTCTACTTCTAGGAAACGCCTCTTCTACTTCTAGGAAACGCCTCTTCTACTTCTAGGAAACGCCTCTTCTACTTCTAGGAAACGCCTCGTCTACTTCTAGGAAACGCCTCGTCTACTTCTAGAAACCACCATCACGATGACGCGCCTGATCTAGAAACCACACTCACGATGACACGCCGGCTCTTCTAGGCCAAAAGGTGGTCCCCTCCATGAATGGTACGCCCTTGTTCCAATCACAGAATGCTAATACTTCTTCTTCCCCTCAATGGTCCCCAGCAGCATGCACTAACTGATGTGTCGTGGTCAACTCACTTTCGAATCAACACAGAATCAACAACAAACTAGCGTCAATCGCGCGCAACCACGAGTAGGTTTTCAAATAGTTCACAAACACTAGCACAAGCAACATTCCAAGACGAGAAGGTTTTCTGATAGTCCACAAGCACAAGAATTTGTAGCCGTAGAAACGGCAATGTACCAATGTACCATTTTGAAGGTGGTGCTTCCTTAGACTACGGATTGAGACTCAGACGTCCCTCGTCTACACGTAGAGAACGAGGTGTCCTCCCTAGTTTGAAGGTAGATAGAGTAGACTTTAGAGTGATCATCATGACAGCAGGTAAGTCAGTCTTAAGCATGCCATTTCTGTTCTCGCTTAGCTGTTTCAAGCAAGAGAAAGTCGAGTCCTGTGTTTCGGTTGTTTGAGAGAACTGAAAAGAATATTCTGTGACACACTCACACGTGTTCCATCCACATTCTGCTGTTCCCCTAAATGTACCTTGCTCTGGTTCATTGTCTTCAAGGCCGTATGGTACTTTCGAGAGTGTCTTTAGAACACCAAGCTTCGCCGAGATGGAGTTGGAGAGATGTTGTAAACCGAAACTGCGAGCGAATTGGTCACAAACTAACTCAGGTCATCTTTCGGTTCAGTACTTGATGCGATGCGTTGTTCTTCCCCTTTCCTGTTTTTACGGCAGCAACCCTGCCTTTTGGAGTTCTTTAAGTGAAAAAGTTAGATACTTCAATGAATTCGTGTTTACGTCAACGTGGCATTGCCTTGATTGATTCGGTACTGGTGGGCTGAGGAGTCTGCCTAGGACACGTGATTTTCTTATTTGGTTGCCAGTACGAAACTTTAGGTCTGTGCTTTGATTATCATTATGATAAAAATCACCTTAACCTTTAACTCTTTCTCTTTTCTATCTTCCTCGGGTCTTTCTTTTTTCTAGTTAGGTCGGCTCCACCACAATTATGATAAAAGTCAGACTATCTTCCTGCAGAAGCAGACTTCCTGTGCAGTTTTAATTCTTTCAGTAAGAGCTATCGGATCATATACCTAAAAATCAATATAAAAATGGCAACTGTTCTCGATTCTGAAGATGCCAGTTCTGCTGGGAACCCGTCATTAGGAGACGTTCCTCCAGGGGTTGCTATGACACTTCTTCGATCCTGGAGTGCTCCTCGATTTGAAGATCCACCGAAAGACTCTAGTAACCCAGCGGGAGCAAAGGCCACTCCTGGTTTTAGTAGTACGTCACCCGCGAAAGTACTAGCGGGCAACACCAGTCCACCCATCCGTGAAGCTGCGCGGATGTTGACGTCAAGTGCGAGTATAGATGAGCTGCTGGAGAAAGCAGCGAAGACGAGAAGGGAGTCGCGGCAGGTTGCTCGGGGATTGAGGCAGAGCGTGGCGACTGCGAAAACGGAAGGCGTCGACAGGGTGCGGGAAACGGTGGAGCACATGTGTCTCCTGCAACGTGAAATAGACGAAGCCCAGAAGCAATTGTCGGCTTTTTCGGAGGGCACGTCGGCCCTAGAAGCCACTACTTTCAGACCTGAGCATGGGTATTACCTAGGAGAATTGGAGGAGTTGGCGGAAGCACGGGTGAGGCGGAACCGAGAGCGGTTTCTGACGTGGGAATTGTTTCTGTCGAAGCTAGATCAAGCAGGCGAAGAGGTAGAAATCAAGCATGCGAGCTATACAGGAGGGACTATGGAAACATCAACAAATTATAGGAGTGGAATTAGTAGTACTAGTACGACCTCACCATCTCCAACTACGCGACAAAGCCAAAGAACTTCATCGTCGAGCAAGACCAATAGTTCTACGCCCTCACCTTCTAGTGGTAGCAAAAGCAAAAACAACAAACACAACGAAGCATCTGAAGGCCGTTCACGAGAGGATTTCTTTGCCTTGCTGAGCTCAAACGGCGCAACCGGCAATCTCGACCGCAAATACGATTACACGGCGTTGAATCGTGTAACCCGAACTACAGCCGAGTGGGCTGACATCCTCGATCCAGAGACGCTAGAGGTCATGCGTGGTGGCCAGACAGAGCCACGCGGAACTTACCTTTTTCCAAAAAGAGTTCTTGGAGTTGGAGGGGGGACACAGCAACAGGGTAAGAGCGTTTCTAGTGGTCGTGCAGCTCCTTCCGCAGATGACGTCGTGTTTAAGGCACTGCATGAGGCACGACGAGTTCAAAATCCTATGCCAATACCTGACGAGGCTCACACCCAGGAATTTGCTGTTCCAGCACTCGCTTCGGCTGCTTTGGGCACTGAGGTCATCCTGGCAAACAACAGAAACAATAATAGTCAAGCTCACGACCTAGTGCAAGATCGATTGGCGCAGAATGACTCATCGTGGGTCGGTCGTCTGGAGTGCCTGGAGTTGCCAAAAGATGGTCCTTGTTTCTTTCTGTGTCGCGGCTGCGCTTTGCCGCTTTATCGCGCAGACAGCTTGTTCCATCCGAAGAGAGATCAGGTAGACCATGGCTGGCCAGCATTCAACCGCAGTGTCTACACAAAAGACCTGTACTTTCACCACGTAGCGATCCGGTTGGAGCCTACAGGACGCGCAGCAAAGCCGGGAACGACAGCGACCAGTGGTGACATTGGCGCATCTACTGTGTTAGGTCTAGGTAGCCCGCCAGGAGGCCGCTTCGACTCTCCTCTTGGTGAACAGTCGAACTTCCGCAATCCCGCTCTCTTCGTGAACGAAAACAAAATCGGCCCAGTAAAAAGACCCAATCCGCGAGCGATAGAACTCGTCTGCAAACGGTGCGTTTCTCACCTGGGACATCTGTTCCTGAACGAAACTCGTCCCGGCGCTCAGCGACATTGCGTGAACAGCTGCTGCCTGGTGGGGCCTGTGCCGTTGTCGAGGTTGCAGTGCATTCTACCGGAGTTTGCGACGCATGGCCACGATGGGGTGTTTCTCGAAAATAAGGAGTACTTTGAACAGATCGATGCTTGATATTATGTATCTATTACTATAATTGGTAAAAGAATACCTGATTGTAATAGTCTTTGGCGTTGTCAATCGCGCATGCTCGGCAGTGTGAAGATTTATTATAGTACGAGCCCGTTTTTCAGGGAGGGCAAATCCGTTTGAAATGTACTATTCATAAGATGAACAACATAAACAAGGAGCGTCTGCATAGTGCGAACTTTCTGCTCGGTTCTGTAGCGGTCAGACTCGTACTTAGTTTAATTGTAAAGTTCTAGATAGCTAATGAATATTTTCGTGTACTCAATTATCGCAAAATGATTCAGATCTTGTTGTGTAGGGCATAACTTCTATACTAAGCATCCTGTAAGAACAACATCGTGGTAGTGTAAGAACAACATCGTGGTAGTTTTGGAATATAATAGAAATATTTTAGGGCTTGCGCTCTTGAGTAGTAGATTCAAATCGCAAAGATGACGTAGCAAGCACAGTGACCAGTTCAAGTTGAAAACAGTCTTTTCTAGGTTTTGTTTTCCTAGCCATTCAGGTATTTTCGTGAAACCCATGCAGACGCCTCCCAAGCCAAACCTTGAAATCCTGTATCTTACGTTTGGAAAACCCGAAAAGATAGAGATGATTGTAAAGACAATTGTCCGTGGCGGCTCTTAACAAGAAGCGGCGGACAATGTAGGGCTTACTGTATAAGGTGAGCACGTGAGTGTCTATCTGTATCGGGGACCCGAAGATAATAGAATTCATGCTATTTATCGGTCGTTACGGAGGGACTTGTTGGAATTCTCTGCAGGCTGAATCTTCTGCTAGAACATCATCAGAGTCTGTTGGCCGAGCATGGATTCTGTCGACCCTATGGTTAGATGGGTTGTTGAAGACAGACTCACTTCTGATAGATCGGTTGCTCGAGGGACTTTATTACACATCGTGCACGAAGTCAAACTCTGTTCCGCTTTCTGTTTCTCAGCGAGGGCATGGTATGTCGGTTCTGGTGATCTTAATAGTACCCTTATCCCTGCAGCAGGCTGATGTGACACCTAGCCCCCTATGCATCACTTCTGATGGATCATCTAGCGGGATGAAGACTATTTTCGTACGTTGATAATTCCATCCTTTCATTTTGTAAGTATTTGGATGTGTGAATCAGGAATTTAGTCCATCATTCCAACAACCTAAAAGAAAATTACTCTCCATGTCTATCATGTCTATGTCATCCATCAATCTTACATAGTTCGTTGTCTAGTTTATTCCCCATAACTAAGTCATCCAATAAATTCTACTTCTTCTCAGCATAGCAAGAACATCTCTTGAAGCAGATTACACATTCAAAATAAGAAATATGTCCGCGACAGTTGCTCCTCCAACGGAGGCAGGACTTCGAAGGACGATGCAAGATCCTTCTTGGTACGGTCGCGGCGTCCGTACTCATAGCGAGCCAAGGAGTTATTGGGCTTCCGCAACGGGATGCGGAAACTACCATTTCCGCATAGAGAATGACGACTGGACAGCCAGACGTAATGCCCAAGTAGCGCGAATGGAAGAGCAAACGCGCGCATTAAAGGCACAAACAGACCAGTTCGGCGTCAAGAGCGCCTTAGTGTGGGATACAACGAGTTATGAGGATGGTTGAAGTGATATTGTTGATAATTAGAGATGATGTTAGTTCTACTTTTCAACATACTTGATGAAAACTACATTATTTCCGTCGCATGGTTCTCCTCTAATCCGCACGTGACCACATTGACCCCAACGTGAGGTTCCAGTCACCGACGAAGCACCAGAAGCTGACGCGTTACGAGGTGAATAGCTTCATCTACGCCAGCAGCACGAAGCCTGTGCCGCCACCAGAACAGAACGGTAAGACAGGACATTGGGTCTGCGAAGTAAACAGCACAACAGGAACCTTCAACGTAGTGAACAACTTGAATCCGAATCCGTTTAACCAGCGCTTCCGCGAAGCAGAAGTGGACAACTTTTATGACTGGAAACTGGAATCGTAGAGAAGTGATTGTAGTAGAAGTAGGACATCCTTCATTCTCTACTCGATAAGAAACTAGTTGTATGATCATCTTCAGTGACTACGGTCAGACGAAAAAACTTCCTACCTAAGAGAATTACTCATGAATCCTCCTCTTTCATACTCACCGAGCGGTTCAAGTGGGTAAAACGCCAGCAGCCGGTCAAGTGCAGCCACAGCCTGTGATCGCCTGCTACGACCTTCCGAGCTTTGTGCCTGTGCGCCATCCTGAGCGCATGCGAAACTACAACCGCGTGAAACCAAATCTCTAGGATAACCAGGAAGGGACTATAGTCCTGCGAGGAGGAAAAACAGCTAGATAATGTGTTATAGCGGCACATAATCGAATAGTAACATCAATGATAGAGAAGTACGTATTCATCGTAAACATTTGCAAGCATTGTATTCTACCATTCTTACATCCACTTGTTTTGATCAAAAACAATCTGTATTATCCATGCATAGTGAAAACACATCCACATCATGTGTATATCAATATCTTGTTTCGCAGCACAAGCGGCGCGGAGTCCTACTTGAGCTTTCCAGTTTTATTACACCTTAATTGACATCTGACATGTTACACGTAGTTACAATTTACGCTATCCGTTGTAGTACAAACACCTCATGTCATGTTTATCATCCACCAACATCAACTGTTACCCCTGTATAGCAATTGGAGCAGATAACGATGTAATCTGAAATCAGGAAACGCACGAATGCTTGAAGATACCATCACCCCGACCGCGAATTCGGCGCTTTTTTCGTAGTGTTCACATGGTAAACATGATCCTTCCTACCGATTTAGATGAAGACAGTGGGATGATGGTGACAAGAGGATTGGCGGCTTGACCCCATATTTTCCTGGAGGTGTGAAGGCTGAAAATTACTTGGTCAAGGATAGTGTAGAGCAGTGGTTTTTGATTTTGAAGCTTAGGACTGCTATGGCGAACTGATGGTTAACCGACACAAAGCCGTTCTGCATTGATTCGGAAGCACAGACATTCCATTTCCACAACGACATGAGTGATCCTTCACGTACAGATCGAACAAATTCCTTTTTATAGACAGGGCATCGAACATCTTGAAAGTAGTTCACAAGTTTTTTATGTCGATGGATATCAAATCACGCACACAAGCAGCAAGATCTAGAACGTCCATTCCACTTTTTGCTTCGTAATTACGACGCATCGCCAAGCGCTACTACCTTGTTGAGAAATACGTTACCGATGGTGCGCGCCAATCGTTATGCGCTGCTGCAGGACGGTCGTTCTTCGCGCCAAGCCGGGTCCGACACTTCCTCGTCCGAAGTCACCGCGTCGGATTCTTCCGACGCAGACTCGTCGTCGCTCTCGGAATCCTCCACGAGTTTTATTCAAGTCAGTTCCGCTCGGCGAGGCGGTCGGCTCCAGCAGATGATGAGACGAGCGATGCCAGCGGCAGAGACCGCAGGCGCTGGCGCCACTACCACTATCACGGACGAGGACACAACAAAGATGATGCGCTCTGATCTCCTGGTGGATGCAGAATTGAGCTCTGCGGGTGTCTCGCAAACGCTCGAGGGTGAGGTACTGGCCGTCCTTAGTAACGAAAGGAACGAGTTGGAACGCATACGCAAAGCAGTGGAAGAACTCGCGAAAGAGACGGAGAACGCCACTATTGATGACAACACTGCGGCATTATCACTAGCTGGAAGAGACGCGGAGAACATAGCTGCGGCGAAGCGTCGCGCAGCGAAAATGTACTACGGGTTCATTCGCGTCCCAGGACTGCAGCACGGTAGTGACGCCATCTTCTACTGCTCCGACGTCCGCTCCGATTTCGGCCTTCGCCTGCAGAAGGGCGACGTCGTCGAGCTGCGGATTGCGAAGCGCTCGAAGGTGCTTGCAGAACAGGACGCAACGGGAAAACTTAAGCTGAAAGCAGAGTGGGTGCGCGTAAAGAAGTACGCTTCTGCAACACCTTCGCGGATGATTGCAGGTCATGCCGCGATCGCGACAACGACACGCGGCCTCGCGCAGATAATGGAAGCACACCAGCGAGGCGTGGAAGGGGACGCAGACAGTACTGGCGTGACAGGCACTGGAGCCACCATCGCTCTCGCGCTCGCGAGGACATGTCGGACAGCGTTTTGGGGGCTGTGCGCGCAGGAGGTCGTGGACCTGCTGAAGCGCGGCTACAATAAGGAAAAGAGCGGTCGTTGCGCTGGACAGATTGCATTCGGGGACATCAGCAATGGATGTTCTACGGCGGTCGCATGCCTGCTTCGCTACTGCGCGGTCAGTGACATCGACGGGGCTGCGGAAGGTGCGGTGAAAAGAAATGGGCCAGAAGCTGCTGCTGCACTGCACGGGCACGTGGAATCTTTGCTCGAGAGCATCTGCAGAAATTTCATTTTTCTGCAAAGTGGGCAGGCAAACGTGGCGGAGCAGAGTGAAGTGGAAGAATCGTATGCAGCTTGTGCTGGCGGCAGGACGAGAGAGCGCTTTCGCTTCCCGAAGCCTCACCGGAGAGATACTGAAGGAGGAGTCTGCACAAATGCAGCTAGCAAGAAAAAGGACGAGTCGCAGGAACGGCTTCGCTTTTTTCTAAGGATGGTGTTCGCGCATAGCGCGAAGTCCGGATCGCATTCGGCACCTGCAATTTCGTCTTCGATTACGAAAAATACGTCAGGTGGAGCATGTCACCAGTGCGACGACATTCTCCACAGAGGTTTCGTTCCGGTGCTGCAGCTCTGTTCGAAAAATGGTGAGTTGTTGCGGAACTTCGTCCTTCCAAGTCTGAAGTGCCTACGTGTCGTTCTGGCGGAAGTGCAGTCTTTTCCTCCACCTAACCTTGACACGATCTATGAGGAGCTCTTGTTGTTGCAGTCCGACATGCTTGTCACGGCACGGTCGAGTCGCGGTGGCGGACGCGAACAGAACCTCGACGGACGAAATACCGCGCTCTCCTTTCCCGACTTGCGGCTCGTGCATTCTTGGCGCGAAGCTGCGCTACGGAAGCCGAGCCTCCGCGAGCTCCGAGACGCGACGATGATATTTCGCGACCTGCGTGACTCCCGCGTGCTGAAGGCCCTGCCCTACGATGACGAGGACCACTACATGAGCGTGTATACGCAGCTTTATCGTGTCGAGGCCTACGTGGGTCTCTGCCGACAGGTGGAGCGCGTGATCGACTTGGTTAACAACGACGCGGGCGCGAAAAAGCTGAATTTCATCGAGTCCAAAGTGTACCGCGCCGACTTCCTCGGCTACTACCCGCTGCAGAGCGGTCCCCACAAGGGAAGCATTGGTCTAGCGTTTGCCGCCTTACCGGACTACGCCCTGTACGCGGATGACCGAAAGCGGCTCGCCAACTCCTGGGCATCCCGGGGGCTGATGACCGGAACGCTTCTCGCCGCGTCCATCGACGGTCGGTTTGCGTCGCCGGCGGGTTTGTTGTACCTGACGGTGGAGCTGCGCGACGAGGCGCAGCTGCGGGACCTTGGTGTCTTTGTCGCGATCCCGGTGCCAGATCCAAATAGTGCTTTCTCTGGCGGATGGGGTGCTGGGATTGTGGGATCGGACGTGCAGCAGGAGAGCGTGTTCTGCGGCATCCGCAAGATCATGAACGCGTTCGCGGCTGACCTCTCGCTGCAGAAGTGCATCCGGATCGTGGAGAACCCCGGCTTTTATCCGGCCGCCGCGCCGGTTTTGCAAAGCCTGGCCGCGCAGCGCACCGTACCGTTCGCGGCGTCGATTGTTCGTACAACTATACTCGACGAAGAGAAAGGCAGCCTGTACCCATTGAAGGCAACGTTCCCGAGGGAGCTCGTGATGAAGGTGGAACCAGAGAAGTCAAGACATCAACTCGCCACGCACTGTTGCTTGACGCAGTCTACTGAGGAGTTTTACACCTTGCGGGAGTTCTTGATCGACGTGGAAAACCCGACCAGCGACTTGAACCGGGACTCGGAGCTGCATCGGGAGCAGCTCGAAGCCATTGCTCATGTTCTGGCACACCCAGTCGCCGTTATTCAGGGCGCTCCGGGGACGGGGAAAACATTCATAGCGGTGCGTATCTGCTGGATCCTGCGGGCAATCCACGACGGTCTGGCTCCGCAATTCGACATCGGAAAAAAACCGCTACCATTCAGGCAACTGGTGCTTTCGTACAAGAACCATGCGATCGACGAATTTTCCTTGGACGTCCAGAAGACCGGTCTCCCGGTCGTCAGGATCGGGAGCCGTTCCGCGGAACCACGACTGCAAAAGTTCACCCTGAGTAATCTCGTGGGTGAGCGCGAAAACCGAAGGCGGCGGGGGTGCATGAACTTTGAAGATGACTCCGAATGCATGGATGTACACAGCAGTCGCGCATGTGCGGCGGACAACGAGAGTTTTGGTCACCGGGTCAAAGAAATCCGTCGGCGCTTCAAGATGGAAGAGTCACTCGAAATAACGCCTGTCATTGTGGCCTCGTACATTGACCTAGAGCAGCTCGTGAATCTTCTTGAAGTTTGGGCGAAGGAAAACGAGAAGACGTTTTCCAAGAGGAGGAGAAGAGCGCTACCGACGCCGGAAGCAGTCACCGCGTCGTTTCTGCTTCGCCAATGCCTGCCGGTTTTGCACTACCTTCTGAGCATTTTTCGGAGGAGGGGGTGGCCGCTTCCCAGTTTCATGACTTTGATTCGATGCGGCGCGGTGCATCCGAAAGGAAAAATTGCTATCGATCCGGTATTCGAAGCCCAGATGTCATCCAAGGCACTGCTGGAGATGCGAACTCTCGTGTACAAGTATTTCGCTGGCAACCTCCGCGTCGGGCTAGTGGATGCTTTTTGCAAGTTTGCTCTTCGGGAGTGGATGCCAACCCCGCAACAGAACCTCGATCTCGCCGCGCGTTTGAGGGGTCCTATTCTCTTCGAGGACGCCGCAATGACGAGTCAAGACGATCCGTCGACCTCCGCCGCAACCGATGGGCAGGGCACGGAGAACGGTAAATTCGTCAGCTGCAATGTCCAGGCTGCAGGCAATGGCCAGAATTCAGCAAATGACGCTGATGTCTTATCAGACGACGAGGAGGAGTTCCGGCGTGGCCGTGCTTGGCTGCTGGACGAGGTTCGCGCTGAAACTGATTTCGATCTCGTCAAGAAGGTTTCCAAAGTCGAGCGCGCGGTGGACCTCGCGGGCATTGCCCGACCCGCCACGGGGAGAATCGAAGACCCGGTCTTAGCAACAAAGATTCACTATCTCCCCGAGATCGCCAATTCTGGGCGTCTGAAACAGGAACCCACAGTAAAGGACCAGTTGCTCGCGCAACGCAACCTGTGGGAGCTCAATTCCGACGATCGCTGCCGGCTTTTGCAGGTTGTGCTCGAGCGCGTAGCGGAGTCACGCGAAGCCGCGGTCACCCTTCTCGAGAAAGAACTCTGCCAGATGGCAAAGGATCGGCGCATTGTCGAGGAAGCCGACAAGCTCGCGATTCTAAAGAGCAGAGCAAACCCAATTCTGGCGATGACCATCGACGGCGCGTGCATCCAGAGGGAACTCCTCAGCAAGTGCGACGTCGACGTGGTATTTTTCGAGGAAGCCGGCGAGTTGCTGGAGGCAAAGCAGCTGGCCTGTCTGCCACAGACCGCGCGGCACCTGATCATGATTGGGGATCCGCTCCAGCTTCCGCCGAACCCGGATACTTTCGAGCTCCAGGAACATTACGACTTCGCGACGTCTCTGATGGAGCGGTTAATCAACAACAGTTACCCGTACAAAACGCTAATGCGGCAGAGCCGAATGCACCCGGAGATCAGCCGTCTCAGTCGGCACGTGTATCCGCGGCTCGAGAACCACGGTGCGGTCGTGGAGAAGCTGGAGAAGTTCGTGGGCTTGCCATCGCGGGTGTGGTTCTGGGACACGGGCTCGGGTGCGCACTGCAGTGGCGAAGTGAAGCGCATTAGTGTCACGAACACGGAAGAAGCGAATCGAGCGCTCGGTATAGCGCAGTACTTAATTTACCATGGGAAGAAGCCGTCGCAGATCGGAATTCTAGCCATGTACAAGGGCCAGTCGAAGCTGATAAAGGAGTTGGCGAAGAATTCCAGGAAGCACGGGGTGGAAGCTTTCCTGGCGGGCGGAGGACGAGGGGCGACGAGAAATTCGCAGTACGGAACTTCGGGTACTATCAAGAATCCGTTCATCGCGACTGCAACGGTCCGGGAGCTGGCGGACCGTGGGCGCAACCCACTGGAGCTTCCAGGGGGTCCCGCCGCGTATGCTAACTTAGACTCCGATGCGGCGTTAAGAGTAGTTCGGTACGGCTCTCTCGAGGACGTGGCGGTTGATTCGGTGGACAACTTCCAGGGTGACCAGCGCGATTACATCATTGTTTCGTTCTGTCGTTCGAACGACAACCACGACTGCGGGTTTCTCAAAAAATCCGACACCGGGGCGCAGCGCCTGAATGTTGCGCTGACGCGAGCGCGCTGTGGCGTTTTCTTCATCGGCGACCGTGACTGCCTCCAGACCGACTACCTCACGACCGGGAAGGACCGCGTCACGCGAACACGACTCGTCGACAAAACGAAAAAAGTTCCAAACCCAGTTTTCAAAAACTTCTTCGCGGATCTTGAGGCCGGCAGCTTGATTGGACGTATGCTCGCTCTGTCTTGTCCGCGGCACCCGGACAACGAGGACCTTGTGTGCACGACGGCCGCCGATTGGGAGCGGGGCGCGTTCCAGTGCCGATCGATGTGCGGGCTTGACCGGAGCGACTGTGGCCACGCCTGCTCGCTGCAGTGCCACCCCGGCGAGTGCGCCGTGTACAGGTGCAGCGAGCTGGTGCTGTTCACCTGCGAGAAGTCTACTTCGCATCCTTCCTGGGAGGCACCTTGCTTCCAGAAGAAGGCCGGCGCGAAGTGCGGACACATTATCGAGTTCAAGTGCAGCCGTTGCAAAGACGGTTCGGTTTTTAGCGCCGCTGCGGACAAGTTGGCCGCGCAAAGCCGCTGCACAGTGCTGCAGAGACGGTGCTTCGAGGGAGAAGCAGAGGCCGCAAGAGCGTGCTCAGCGACGTATGAGTACAGGTGTAAGGCGGGGGACCACACGTATACGCGGCGCTGCTGCGAAGACGAGGTGGCAAAATGCGAAGCACCGGCAGAGCGCTTGCGGAAGTGCGGACACCGGTACCAGCTTCCGTGTTGCGCGTTCGATAACATGGGCGACAAAAGAACACTTGAGGGAGAAGATGCGGATGAAGAAGTGAGCGACGACGTGGATGAATTGCTCGCAAACTTTGATACGGAGCCGTGCATGGAAGTTGTGCACGAGCCCTGTGTGCGTTGCGGAAAGGGCTCTTTGCGGCGCATCTGCAGCGCTTCGCGGAGTTTGGACCAATGCGGCCGAGTTTTTGATCATATTTGCCAGTCTTGTGGCGCAGTCGGTGCACGCCCCTGCACGTTGCGAGCGGACGAGTTCAGGTGCACAGAGCTCCTCGATGAGCTCTGTAAGGGCTGCAACGCTGCCTCCGTGCAGCGTATTTGCAACGAGCAGCAAGCGATTGCCGCCTGCATGCACAAAAGCCCCCACGTGTGTGAAATTTGCGGTGCGGCCGGCGAGAAAGTCTGCAGCGAAGCGTACATTTGCAAAACCACGTCGACGCACCGCTGCGAGACTTGTGGAAAGGACGCTGAAATCTTGTGCGGCCAGTCGCTAGCGGACTTCGTGTGCCCGACCCCAACGCCCTTCCATTGTCCGTCTTGCAGCGCATTGGTGAAAGATCACCCCTGCGGTGCGCCACCGACGCCCCAACAGCTCGAGGACGGGTTCGTTTGTCTCGCGGAGGTCGCCCACATCTGCCCGACCTGCGACATGGAAGGCACGCGCCAATGCGCGCAGCCTGCGCGCGAGTACCGCTGCCCCCAGCCGTGCCGCAAAAAGCTACCCTTCTGTGGACACCCGTGTACGCGCGCGTGCGGGCTTCCCTGTCCGCGAGACTTAATCGAGTGCCGGCTGTGCGCGCTGGAGATGACGAACCAGTGGCTCGCAGAAGGTTGCTTCTCGGAAGAGAAGGACGAGCGCCACGCGGTGGGCTCGCGGTGCTTGCTGCCGATCTGGCAAATCGAATTCACACAGGCGGCGATTTCGGTTGCCATGCGGTCCGGCACGTCGGTCGCGGGCGAGGGCGACGACCTCATCCTGCACAGCCCGCATCTGCTAGAACCGGAAAACTTCGAGAAGCGCTACAAGCAACTAAACGTGTACAAATGGCAGGACTGCGAATACGTGGCACCACGAGCCGCACCACCAGGAGGCAATCCTAGTTCTAGCGCACAAGAAGCCTTGGCGCCGCGTCAGGTGTGGAGCACACGGTTTATGTCCCTGGACAACCGGCGTTTGGCGCTGCTGAAACTATGCAAGCCGGGCGGATCGGTCTGGGTGAATATTTCGGGAGACGAAAAGGACTTTCACTTCAAGTACGACCCGAACGGCCGAAAAAAGCTGGCGCACGACGAGATCCGGCAAGTTGGGACAGGGGGGACGACAATTGGAGGTGGAGGCACCAAGACTGTTGGTCATGAAGAGAGCATGCCCAATGCCGGTCCTCCACGTCAGCGGAAGAAAGAGAAGAAATCCGACAAGAAAAAGAAGAAGAAGAAAGAGAAGAGCAAATCCAACACGGGCAGAGACGGAGATGAAGACCCAGGTGGCAACGGATACAAGGAGAAGCGAAGCAGACGCCAAAAGAGCGCAGCCGCTGAGAACTTACCTGATTTCGATGGCCAATTCGCAAGTGTGTCGGAAAAGCAAGACCACGAGGAGCACGAAAAAAACTCAGGCACTGCAACTTCTACTGCGCAAGAAGCTGTCGATAGCGTCGCGCGGACCGAGAGTTCACCACTCGCCACTGCAGTGAGAGCGACGACAGCTGGGGCCGCCTTCCCGCCTGCTTCCTGCAGCGCTGTCTCGCAACTACATTCGCCGACGCCGACTCAGACCACCGCATCCAGCCCGCTTCAAACCGAGGCTGGCAGTACGCTTTCAACGAGAGCAGAGAGAGCGGGAATCTCTGACTTGGTGTTCGCGTCGGCTGCGGCCGACGGCGTGAAGTTCGCTGGATCAACGCGGGGACTCGCAGCCACACCCTCATCAGAGTCCGCCGAATCTGATACTGAGATTCGAGAGTCGCTCGCGGAAGTGGAGGCGTTTGTATGGAAGCGTCCGGACGTTAATCCGCGCGTAAAGAGCAAGGGGCGCGGAAAGTTTGCAGTGTGCGAGGAGCTCGCTGGTGCCGAGCGCGTCAAGTCTCTCGTCGCAGCAGAAAGCCGGGCTCTCGAACACTACGTGCTTCCCATCGAGCCACAGGCCTCCCACGATGATGATGCGCTACTCTCGAACCCCATGGAGCAGCGCGTGGTTGAGGCCATCCAAAAGTATCGCTTCGTAGACGAGTCGGCGTGTGCGCCGACGGTGGCTAAAGACATGTTGTGCGCCGAAACATGGGCAGGTGTAAGTCTGATCGAAGAACAAGAAGAAGTGTGCGATGCGCAGCAGCCGGCGAGCACGCGAAATCTGAAGCGTGCCGCGGCGTCTTCGCTCGGCGTGGCGCTTCGCATGATGGTCTCGTCCACGAAAGCAGGTGAGTGGATGGGAGTCCGCGGTACTACTTCGAGCCGAGCCACTACAAGTGCTGGTGACCGCCGTCCCGTGGTCGTGGTAAACGAGGGTCTGTTGCACCTCCTCACCGTGCTTCACACCGGATACATGCAGGAGCGATTTCCGCGATTCGAGTTCCACGTCTTTTTCGATGCCGCTACGGGGCTCTTATTTTTGTGGAATTCATTGCAAACGGGGTTCCCGGACCGGGTCGCGCAGCACGGCGCAGCGGATGCCGAGAAAATGGCTCGAAAGGCCGAGGCGAAGAGCCGAATCGATGATCGTTTTGCCGAGCACGTCGTAGAAAGAGGAAGAGAAGCGATGAAGGGTGGCAATGTCAGTGACCAGGACGGAAGTTCGTTCTCGACTAGCTTGCGTAAAATGAACTTCGGAAATGACACAGAGCTGCGCAATTACCCGTGCAGCCTGTTTCGCATCGAGACCCTGGACCAATTCTTTCCAGTGTTCGCGCCGAGAGCTGCCCACGATCCGAGCTTCCTTGTCTTCGGCTGCAGCCCCATGCTTTTCGTCCCGGGTCGCGCCACAGCCACAGGTGCCACAGCAGCACCTACAGCCGCGTCGAGCACAACATCAAGATCAGCAAGTAAAGTGAAAGACCACAAGAAAGCCCGATGCTTTCTGCAGTGTCGCCGCGCAAATCCGAGGACCAGGGCGGCCCACGCCTCGGGATGGACGGACAAAAAAGCGGTGTCGAAGATGTTTTATGACGGCAGCGTCTACCGGCTGTACGCGAAGCTTGCTTGCGGCGGCTCTGGCGCCGCCGCGTTCGGCTTTCACGACGAAGCAGGAAAGGTGGAGAGCCTGCTCCGCATCGATTCGCTGGACGAGTACCGGCAGACCTTCAGCTACAGCCTCAACCACGATCTGGCGCAGGGTGGCGAAGCGCTGGGAGGCATATTTGCATGGCTGCTGGACAATGTGTCGGCTAAAGTGCCGAACACGTGCGTCACCGTCGTGAAGGACGATCTGCGCGGCGCCACGGCGGCCTTAGCGGGGACAAAAGGAAAGGCACAAGGAAAAGCGGGTGGTCGGAAGGGAGCTGGCAAGGCTTCCGGGGGAGCAGGGGACGGATACGCAAGTGAGGTGCGGCTGCGGTTTGCAAACGCGAGGCTTGGAGTCGATTATAGCGAGGAAATGCTAGCGAAGATAAACGAGTTCTGTGAGAAGTGGAGAGAGGCAGAAGAGCTTTAGTCTGGGAATCTGGGAGAGATGGGTTTTTTTTTGAAGAGATTTGAAGATCTGGCCTGAAATGATTTGGATTTTCCGATGTTATACGTAGCCGCAACGTCGCGCAAAAGTAAGATGTATATTTCAGAGCTACCACGATGAGCTTTTGTGATAGCTGTCATTGCCGTTCATGCGAGACCATGATCATACGAACGAGTGTCACAGTTCTGGGCTGGCCTTTCGGCTCCTCATTCCTTTTTACCCAGAACCGTAAGCTGACGCCTCAGTCCTCAACATTTCTATCTCCGCAAGATATTTCAGCTTAATTTAGGCCGCGCACATAGAATCATATAGCCAATAGAAACAATTCGGTCCACGAGCACTTCCAGCGCCAGCGCGCGCTTATTGCTTTAATTCTCCATATGAGGGCGCCACGCCATATGAGTTGTTCCAATCTCACCTCATTGTATGCCCCAAATCGGGTTCTGCTGGCTGCGTATTTTGTTGGCAGAGAGGAGAAGAAGTTGCTGCTTTCTCCCGACAGCAGTCCTGGCATGATCACAGGACAGTGTAAGCACGCTGTAGGAGGAATGTGAGTCGGTATGTCCGTGTCAGACCAGAATACCACCAGCACGTGACCATACCTACGAACTGCTACTTGCACAGTGAGCAGAACAAGCAGGACTACATTTAGGTGACCAGGTCAGCTCCTTGATTTGTCGACGCCGCGTTATTGGAAGTCTGAATGCGTTGAGAGACACATGACGAAGGACAGTCCAGACAATACGCAGATTATCCTACTCAACACAAATGTTGTATATCTACGCGCTACTTTGAAGTACATTTACAAGGAGAAAAGCCATGAATCATGCGCATGGCGCTTGATCCCGTCAGCAACCGTAGCGCGAAAGCGGCATCCGGCGAGATTGTCTGCAGTATTTCCTGATTCGCCTAACGGTGACTTCTTTTCGAGCACAGAGTGTCCTTGCTCATTGTCGCTTTTTAAGCAGTGTCAGAGGAACGCGAGTGTCAAGCTTTGACAAGTGTCTAAGTCAGCTCTGTCCCGAGACGGTGTGTGACTAATTTTTCGCAGCATCACTGAAAATATAATGCAAAATGAAAATAGGCGAAGCACTTCGCACGCAAAAGCGGACAGATGTTTGACCTTGCAATCGACATTTTGAGAAAAGCGATCGCAAGCGAACAACATGAAAAGATTAGACTAGAAAGGGCGAAGACTAATTAAAAAGCCGTGCAAAAAGTATATGTCTTCACGTATCCTCTAGAGTCTTAGCCCTTCCAGCAATATGTCTTCACACGAAGAGGAGGCCTTTGATCCTGCGCGGATCGCGGCACAGGCCTCCACCATCGGACAGCGGGATGTCGCTGTTTCCGGTGTCGGGCCCTTGGTGGCTCGTCCAGGGAAAGGCAATGGTGGTTGGACTGGTGACTCACCACCGTCACACTCAAAGACAAAGGGAAAACGTGTTCCGGCTGCAGTTCCGCACACTGCACGAGGACTGTCTGCCGAGCTTCATCGCAACTTGGAGTCGAGACAAAAGAAGGATGAGGTGTTAGACATCGATGAGCTGGTGATCGAAGACCTAGGCTTCGATTCAGATACTGACCCCAAGCCTTTCCGAGGCATCTTTGGGCCGATACTGACCAGCGGAGCAAAGCTCTTTCCAGGAGTGGTGAACACGAGTACGCCAAAACTGAAAAAGAACAGCTTCGTCGTCAACAGTGGGAGAGAAGAACCAACAGCCAATACCCGTTTAAGATGCTCTACTCGTCAAGTTGCCTCCATTCAAGGTCATCCTTGGCGCCTGTATTTCCAAGTAGGATTAAAAAGTAGGAAGCGAAGCCAAGGATCGATACTCTCAGAGATTTACACACGCGGTCGCTCTAACTCGTGGTGGAGGAGCCAGGAAACAAGCATCCTACTGGACAGAAGTGCGGGTATTGCGCGATGACGGCCGCCTCTTTGAGGATCGCTACGACGCGCGGTCAACGTCTTATCTTGAGGCAACCTTTTATCACATTCACAGATCACGGAATTCTGGTATTCGCTTCTGTATTGATAGTGAACTTGGAGAAGAAACTATGTGAGTGTCGATAACCTCAAAGCCGTTGGGGAGTCGAGTTAGTCGTGGCGTAGATGATGGCCCCTTCTAATTATCGAGAACCATTGGAGGATGCCATGTTTTCGTGGCAGCGGAATCCCAATGCGGCCTTGGACGATCCAAGTATGAATGCAGTGCAGGCAGGGGTTCTAGAGCAGTACGCAGTATTGGAGATTGTTTTATCGGAGGTTCGCGATTACTTACCAAGTCGGAAGAAGCGCCCTCCGATTACTGGAGAAGGAGGAGTGGGAGGGACAAATCAAGTCAGTCCTGCAGAACCTTCTGAGAACTACGTGCGGAGCTTCAAAACTTCACCACCTGAGGCCGCTGCTCCGGGAGTTGCGCCGGTCTATCTCGACGCTGAGGGAAATGAGATTCAAGCGGAGAGAGACGGACAAGCTACTGACGCGGCGGACACAAGAGCGAGTGTTCCAGACCCTGACTCCCTGTTAGGCGCAACAACTCGGGTTGTGACAGATACAGCGCAAATTCTCCCCCGACAACGCTCCAGCCGCTTTTTGCTGCTCTGTTCGGGACAACTTATACGGAAACGTGCGAGGATCATGGACAGTACATCACTGTAGATCGACTAACACCCGCCTCCCGGCTGAATAATTCCTTTTTCGTAGACGTACATACAGCAAATTTACGGGGATTATCATTTTGTTTGTACCAGATATCCTTTTTGTCAGATAGCTGCAGAACGGCGGAAGACACTAGTGCCTCTGCGTCCGCGGCGCTCGCGGATTTTAAGCGGCTGTTCACGCAGGAACTGGATTTGAATGGGAGTGGCGTCCTCAGCAAAGGCGAATTGCGACTGCTCTTGTACGATTTGCGACTAGACGACGAGGAATTCGCGCGAGTGTTTGATAAAATCGACGTCCGACGAGATAATTGTGTAACGTTGGACGAGTTGCTGTTCCGCGTAGGCGGCGAGTATCTACGCGCAGTGCAAAGGCCTCTCCCTGGTGGTGAAGTTGTTGGGGCGAGTGCTCAACAGGATACTGGAAATACAGGAGAAGAAGAAGGCGAAGGCGGCGCCACGACTAACGCCATCCCGGACGCTGTTGGTATCTACAAGTACCGTGCTAATCTGGGAAGGCACATAGTAGAACAATGGGCTTTGCAACTCCTCGATCGCTGCCCGGATCAGGTGGCTGTGGCGGTGCCGTCAGCTGCACAGAAACAGCATCAGTTTGATGATTCGGAGAGGTGCTTGGAGTTTGGAGTCGTGATATCGTATTTGCTAACGCTGTTTTTTATTTAAGGCTTCCCCTAATCCATCTCACGAAGCATCTTAAACCTGTCCCGTAAGGGCAAAACAGATCCGAGATGCATCCCGAGATGGATTGGGGGTGAGCTCTAATTTATTGTGCTCATTTTCATAGACGGTAGCTGGGGGTGGATCTTTTTGGTCGTTATTGCAGGAATGTTCTACTGGGGTTTGGCAGACCAGTTTCGTTTTCAAGAAGCTCTGGGGTCGGACCCTCTAGTTGGGTTACAAGCTGTGGTCGAACGCATCGAGAAATGCCACCAAGCGAACCCTTTGTACAAGTGGCAGATTCAGTGTTACCACACCGTAACAACGGGATCGGGGAAAAACAAGGTACTTGATTCATGATTTCACATGTTGCTTGAAATAGATTGAATATTGATCATATTTTTTAGTCGACCCTCTAATTCCGTAAGACTGTGTCTGTGACCTGTCGGGTGACGCAAAAGTTAGTCTGAGAAGAAGTATATATATAAGAAAAATTGGTTGCCTCGTCGACCTTAAATCAGTCTTATCTTTCTTTCTTCTGCGTCTTATCATACAGAGGACGAGACGTGTAAATACGCACTCTGCGCAACGTGGTGGGAAGCTCCTTGGCCCTGACGTGTCGGAGAAATTTGCTCCCGAGATGCACGCCGAATTTCCCTTGACACGTATGAAAACCGATCTACGGCTGGACTTGGGGAAAACGTCATACGTACAGGATTTTGATGCGTGGGTCAAAGATAACTGGAAGGATGCCCAAGCAGATTTTTCCAGAAATGTTAAGGCAACCAACTAGAGAGCATCCCCTCAGATTATGATTTTTGGCGGCTTTTTCAAGGGGAAAATGAAGGCTTCACCAAGGATCATGTGATTCCCATAGAGGAAGATGCGACGCGGTAGCTCTAAAAATGAGAGTCTCGGCGATATTCAGCGAGATTTCATTGCAGAATGGGTGCCCGGCGCGTTAGATGGAACCTCGTCGGGAGCAAGCAAGAGTAACTTACGAAAAGGGGTTTTGCATTTGATTTAGAACCTTTTTCCTGTTTAGATGAAGCGCCTGTGCTGGTCTGACAGCTACTCAAGAATAGATCGATCAGCTAATGCATAATTCTTGCTTTAAGAAGATGCATTTCTCCTTGTATCAACCTCAAGATAGATTTTATCATTTATTTTCCTTCATGGATGGTGCCTTATCTTCTAAGCATCAAAAAAGCGCCTGCGCCACCTGGTAGACCGTGGTATCTGGCAAAGTGGGTCAACACTGCGGCGAAGATGTTTGGCTTGGTGCCATGTCTAAAGCGCTTGGTGTCTGGCAGAATTCGAACGCAGCACGTAGTTTTCAGTAAGCAAATCAATGACTACGAATAAACATCAAACATGGTTATGACAGGTTGCTGTTCGTGTTGTTGTTGGGATCTTGGCATTGAAAAGCTCAAATATTTACACTTGCTATGTTTTTGAAAATATGCGCTGGCGCATATCTTAAGGAGCCTTCTGTTGAGTGTTTTTGTTCTTTGAACATGGCCAACTGGGCATCATACCATTACCATCGCATACGAGTGGAGGTTACTCGTCTCATCGACAATACTGATGTTGCGCTCTGCCTATAATGAGCAGGAATCCACCTGCGTGTAAAGATTCGATGAAGTTATCGTACCTGCTTTGTGTTCGAAAGCTCATGCTTCAACGAGTGACGAGGTGCATGATTTGGCTGGTGCCGTAGTGTTTCTCATCTTCTGTTCTTTCAAAATACGTATTTGAAGATGGATCTATCATTGATTAAGTCATGAGTAGAAGAGCTGGAGGATGTCAATGTTGCTTTCAAACCGATCGATGATCATCCAGGGTGAACGATTGTATTGCACCCCCCGCCCTTGTGTTGCAACGCAAACACTCTATCGCTTTGCATTTGTGACCTCCTTCTCTCATTTTCTTGACTGCTTATCCAAAGTGTCATCTTCTTCGTTCTTGAGCATATAATGTACAGTTTTCAATCATTGAGCATATAATGTACAGTTTTCAATCATAGGATATAAGTCAAAAAAAATGTCAAAAATCACATTTCCATCTGGCGAGAAGGTGGCGAAAACCCAGCCTGCGGAGGTTGGGGCGCCAGGCGTGTCCGGTGGAGGAGGTGAAAATGATGATAACAGAGCAGTAGTGTACAGCGACACCTCCAAGATCATGGAAACGCCAATACAGGTGCTAGAGATGGAAGATGCCTCGAGCGACGACGAGGATGAGGAGGAGGACACGGATGCCAGTGGCACTTTGGGATTGAAACGCGTGATCACCTTAGCAAGGCCTGAATGGGTTTGGATTGGGATTGGAGTGTTCTTCTTGTTCCTGAGTCTGATTCCGCCACTGTTGCTGCCTCTAGCTTTCGGCGGCATCATGGACAAGATCGTGATTGAGGAGAAGGACGGCAACCAGGGAGTGGACGACAAGACTGGGAAGAAAGAAGCCGTGAATCGTTTGGCTTTAGAGTTGATAACCATATTGGCCATAGGTGCGGTGGCCACGGCGGTGCGGGCGTTCATTTTCAACGCCGCTGGCGAGCGAGTGGTCGCAAGACTGCGTCTCCAACTGTTTTCGAGCATTTTGAGGCAAGACCTGTCGTTGTTTGACGAGAGGAAAACCGGCGAATTGATGTCGCGTCTTACCTCAGACTGCACGTCCTTGCAGGATGTATCGACCTCGAATTTGAGCATGCTCCTTCGCGGCGCGATCGAATTGGCGTTGTCGGCAGTGATGATGATCATCACTTCCTGGCGGCTCTCGGTGCTGGCTTTCAGCGTGGTTCCCTTGGTCGTGGGAGCCCTAATGCTCTATGGCTGGCGCTTGCGGAAGGTTTCTACACTTGCAACCGACGCATTAGGCGAAACGAGCAGCACAGCGCAAGAGGCGATTGCAAATGTGCGGACGATGCGCAGCTTCGCAGGGGAGCGTCTAGAGGTCCTGCGTTTCCGTCGTGCCTTAGGAGATCCAGACGACCTTTCGGTCTGCAACGATTTTTCAAGAGCATCACGGCAAATAAATGTGGGACAGCGAAAAGGTTCGCGCAGTGGCGGGCAACCGAGGGTGGATCCAACGGGTAGAAACCACAAGGACAACGATTTAGAATTGGGACAGGCATCCAAGGGTAGAGACGGTTCCTCGATTGAGCTTGGTGCCATTCCGCCGCCTCTGCAAGATGTGACGGCACGTGCAGTCTCCCGGGATAGCGGCAGTCAAGTGTCGTCGGTCGGCGGCGAACGATTAAATGACTCGAATTTAGCCCCAGCTACTCATCAGCACCATGGTGGAAAAGATCATACAGGAGTACAGACAATAAAGACTCTTACAAATAAGAACAAAAAGAAGGTGAAGAAGTCCAAGAAGAAGTCAAAGAAGGGGACTGAAGACACTGGCCCGAATGAGCTTTGTGGGTGCTGTTTGCCGCGAAACAATCGTGGCTGGTGGTGGTTTCCGCCACGGAAGTCGCGCACCGTGTATCGCTTTGGCATTTTGAAGCAGCTAATGAACAGTGGCTTTATTGCAGCCATTGCGATGCTTGGATACGGCGTGGTTTTGCTGATTGTCTGGCACGGCGCACATCTCGTTCTTGAGGGGTACATGACTCCCGGAGATTTAGTTGCTTTTCTCGTCTACGCGGTTCAAGTGGGAGGAAGCATTACCATGCTGGTGCATTTGGTTGCGCTCGTCTACACGGCAGTGGGTGCGGCTAGGCGAACCTTCCAGCTGATTGATAGAGAACCGACTATACCTTTGGAGTTGGATTACCTGAAAAGCCGGAGCAATGACGTGCGCGATGACGAGGTAGTCAATCACAACGTCATTGATGAAAACAAAGAGGGATCGACTCCTTTTGCTGCTTATCAAATACAACCTGTAGTGGAACTAAAACATCGTGGTGCCCAGGCAACAGGGGTCATTTCACCGGTGCTCTCTTCAGCGGCAGCCACTGACATGCTGAAGATGGCGAATATTACTGGAGGACTACCGCAGTTGCAGTCTGTCGAGTCTGCACTAGATGTCCAATCGCCAAGTACAACTAAACCTGTTGTGGAATTCCAGCGTGTCTCCTTCGCCTATCCTGCCAGACCTGACGTTCGTGTCTTGCGAAAAGTCTCCTTCTCCGTGAAACGCAACCAGACTGTAGCTTTCGTCGGCCCTTCCGGGTGCGGAAAGAGCACGGTGTTGAACCTGCTGCAACGTTTTTACGACGTAACTGGCGGTCGCGTGCTCATTGACGGCGTCGACGTTCGAGAGCGAACTCATGCGGACCTCCGAGCGCAAATAGCGTGGGTGCAGCAAGAGCCCGTGCTTTTCGGAGTCACCATAGCAGAGAACATTTCTTACGGGTGGAGTGCAAAGTTAGGGAACAATCGAGCTTTGCCGCCTCGCCATTTGATCGAGCAAGCAGCGCGCGCCGCGTTCGCGCACGATTTCATCACCGCGTTTCCGGAGGGCTACGACACCCTAGTCGGCGAGCGCGGGGTGCGGCTCAGCGGCGGCCAGAAACAGCGCATTGCCATAGCCAGGGCGCTCCTAGTCGACCCGAAACTGCTTCTGCTGGATGAAGCGACCTCTGCGTTGGACGCGGAAAGCGAGGATTTAGTCCAAAAAGCCATTGACGCAGTGATGCAGGACCGAACCACCTTCATCGTGGCACATCGGCTCTCGACCGTCAGAAGAGCAGACCAGATTTTTCTGATCGATCGACACCGACTCGAGGCCAGTGGCACGCACGTGGAGTTGATGGAGCGCAGTGAAAAATACAGGGATCTGGTGAGACGACAGGTGGAAGCAGGAAAACAAAGTGTTGCTGATATAGACGAAGCTTCGGATGAAGAAACATGATTTGGCCATTACTTAGAAGACGACAATGTAGTGTCGACTTAAATGTACCTACTTCTACCTGCACGTCGCAGATGAAGTTAGTTCTTGAAGATTACGTCGGGTCGATACAGAAATAATGAAATGCGTAGTTATATTACATGTACAGAAATAGAGAACGTTGGAGACGGTATAACCTAGCGCTTGTATAGAAGACTTGTCATTCCCAGAGGAATACTCATACTCAATATTTATCCTCTTCAAATCGCGAGAAAAATATATCAGAACACATTGGATTTTGGGACTCACGTAAGTCCGTCTGCCCGTCGCTACAACTATCCTAGATGTGTAGTTTTTATTCCTTGCAAAAATGTCGAATGTGTGCAGTGATCTGTATTTTGTTTAGAATGCGTAGTCTGCGTTAGTGGAGACTCTTGCTGCGAACGTTATGAAGGAGCATTGCAAGTACTGGTTTATCCAGAGTCTCTGGCTCTTACATATGTAGTTCGAGCAAGCTGCTGTCAATGTCTTGGCAGCACGAAAGGGTAACTAGCGTCTTCATGTCCTGCACTAGGAGTGCGATGTTTCGACGCACCAAAGGGGAAGGTTCCGATGAATGGCCTCGTCTTATGAAAACTAGTTTCTCACCTACTTACAACTGACACGATGAAACGGATAACCTTCTATTGACACCCTAGGTGCTACATGTCTCGTCGACAATGGAAAAATTTCGAGATCAAATGACACATGGAATTGAGGACACGACGAGATGTGGTATGATATGACAGAATCTACCACTTCTCGACGCGTTCCTTCAAGGTTGAGCCTCAAAAAGACATAAAAGCTGACGACGCTGCTTTCTATTTTGATGCACAGCATGGCGTTCACAGCATGGATGAGAAATATGGCGACGCTTGTTGTTCTTCTTTTGCAGGGCCCTCTAGGCTTTCCTTCGATGTGCTGCTTTGTCTCCTGCTGACGAGCTGCCTGAGCTCGCGGCGATGGCTTTCTTGGCTAACTCGGAACTTCCGGCGGTGCCGGTTGCATTTCATCTATCCTGGTGTACTGGTAGTCTCTCTCTATCGTCCGCGAAAGGTAAGACTTCTCTGCGCCCACCCCAGCTGGTGCGCTGGGCCTTTGGCCGAAGACTTTGAAAATTGAAAAAGATGAGTGACAATATCGCGAGATAGTCAAATCATTCGTGAGAGCCATTTGAAAAAGGGAAAAGTTGTACTGGTAGTTTTCTGAAAATCCATCACAATTAGCTTCCTCTCTCTTCGTAGTCTTCGATAACAGAAGTCGCCTCGAAAAGATTTTAGAGGGGTCGGTCTCGCTTTACAAGAATCATCCCACAGGGTATTATTCAAAGTTTCATGAAAAAATTCATGGCCAGTAGAACGGCGCAGCAGTTGCGGAATAGCACTTCGAAAATTCGTTTGCAACTCGTAGTAGCGGACCGATTCGCTGGTTTCCGTACTTCTGACGTCGATCATTGCAAGAAAGTCGCACTTTCGTTTCGCCGATGTCGTTGAACACAACACCTTTTACGTGGCGCAGTTGAGAATCACGCTGATCGACCTGACAACACTGCAGTGACCTCCATCAACGCCTAACAAACTGAGGAAAAGGACGACATGGAGGTCAACCATAGTTAATCCTTTGATTATTCCGCTCAACGACTGATCCACGAAGAAGATCAGCATGATTGTTGATCCTTTCCTGTACTTGTCTGTATAGAAGCACAGAGTGCGACATACGCAAAAATGTCTTCGATGGATGACATCGACGCAGGGCTGGAGGAGTTAGACGCCTACCTCCAAGACGACGATGACGACGACGACGCGCAATTTGTTACGCCGGGTAAGACTCACGGAACGTCCGAATTCGGCACTCCGGGTATAGAGTTAGATCGAAACTTTTGCTTTTGTTGTACTAGATTTCTTAGGCTTCTATGTATTTCGGACTTTGTCAATGACATGCATGCTGAGATGTGTTTCAGGTGAACTACAGCCACCAGAATCTCTGAGTCCGCCGGGTGCGGTCCCGCGGTTTCCAGACGACCGGACGCCGGAAGTCACGAGTACGGGAAAGACCGAAGTTATCGGTGGCAGTAGCAGTAGTACCAGCCCTTATCCTTATGGGCGTCATCATGTTGATCAAGATCATGAGGTGACCGGAGTACAAGCAGAAGGCTCATCATCATACGAGCAGGACGCGAATGGACCCCGACATGGACATCACTGGCGAGGGGAATACAATCAGGTGGAAAAGGAAGATGGTCAAGCTGCAGAAGAATTATATGGTCAAGCTGCAGAAGATTATTATTCTTCTCGTCACGAGGACTCTCACGACGCCTACTGCAGCCAAGGAGATGGGACGATCGGGACGCCTGGTCCGGCGCCATCGATGCCGACGATCGGGCCGGGGCCCGCGCCGCCCTTTGGCGCGACGCCTTCGTCCTTAGGCGACGAGGGGAGCCCAGAACGAGAACCGCGCGCCACCCCCGAGATGTTTCCGAGAGCAAGACGATTTTCCGACCTCGATTTCCCGCCATTGGACTTGCGGAACATGCATACGGTGCCGGCAGACCATAACGAGAGTCCCGCAACGCAGCCTGCGAGTACGAACCTGACTGGTCGTGGTTCCGATGCCCAGGACCGGCTAGCCGATGTAGAGGCGGAAGTAACGACTTCTTGTTTATACGCAGGAGGACCTAGAAGTACTACCAGTTCCACCGGAGTGGGACAGGATCATGAAGTTGTAACTCAAGATGTAGGTTGTAGAACCTCTTGTGCTGAAGATACGACTTCTAGCGACCATGTGCATGACATCGACACCTCTCTTCAAGCTCATGACCACGACCATCAACATCAACCATCTTCAACTCAAGTCGTGCCGCCTATGAACGTGGTGAATTTGGGAGGCTCAGCAAGAGAGCGGAGTCCCGAAGAGCAAGCGTCAGATGGGGAAGATAGTTCGCCTGGGGGCCATAGTCTCGACTTATCGGATGACGACGAGGACGAAGAGGCGCCAACGTTCACTGTTGCGGGAGACAGAAGGCCGACTACAGCAGTAAACATGGATGCTGAAGAAGCAACGTCCTCAGAGCTGAGAAATCCGCAAGAGGCATCTGCACCTTCAGCTGCGGAAGAAGCCGTACAGCAGAGCGACAGCAATAATATGATTGCAGGTCGTGGTCCTTCGACGACGGAGACAAGTAGTAGCAGTAGTGCGAGAGCGAGTGTGCCAAGAGGTGGAGGTGATCTTGATCAGGATAGATCACCACAGCAGCAACAGCTGCATGGACCACTTCTAGAGATGGATAATGCAACTAGTAGTCAGCACGCTCCTCCTGTTCCTTGCTCACCCGATGAGCGAACGAAGGAGGGTGAGCGAACCAAGGAGTACTATCAGCAAAAGCCCGTCTATTCCCCTTTGACGCCTGCTCCACCGTTGCCAGTGGGTGAGGAAACGGCAGGCCCTAGTACGACGCAGATACATCACAACAACAACGCGTCACGAGAGCGGGATGATCCTGAGGTGGTACTCGCGAGTTCGACCTTCAACGCCATGCTTGAGGAAGAAGAGAGCGCGGAGCTCCTAGAATCACCATTTGACAACTTCACACCTGACGACGCCTTAGCTTTGGATCAGCATAGGCAAAATGCTTCCTCTTCTAGTAGAGCAGGTGGAAGTGGTTCAACATCTAGTAGAGCTGCGACGAGAAGCGCTTTCTCAATGCAGAATCCTGAAGCAGCTGATCCGGGTGGCTATTGCGGTGAAGATGTAGACCCTGACCTGGACGATGAGGCACCTCAAGCAGATGAACCAAGGGTATCTTCTGATCAGGACAGAAGCAGCCAACATCAACTAGAGGATACCAGCAGCGGAGGTGGTACGATGGTACCTTACCCAGGTGATCGTGATGTGACTGCGCAGGAAGATGAAATGGCGGAGCCAAGAACGGGAGAAGGGCCACCCCCGGCAGAAGAAACTTCCCTTCAGACTGACTGCGAGGACGAGGAACCTGGAACGACTGCTGGCGAGACTGGAAGCAGGTGTGAAGATCATGATCCTCAGCAGTTACAGGAACAAGAAGACCCCATTGACGCGGCATTGCGAAAGACAATTATTGCAGCGCCTATCGTAGTGCCCATGATAGTTTAAGGCTTCCCCGAATTCATCTCAAAATGCATCTTTGACGTCTTTTCAAGGGGAAGATGGGCAAAGATGCTCCTCAAGATGAATGTAATGGGTAAGGTCGTCTAAATAGTGCCGCCATCTTCTACTGCAGCTTCACGAGAACAGGAACAGGATCATGCAGAACCGCCGTCATTTAAGGGTTTCGAAATTACACCCTCCACTAACATCCTTGACCTAGTATTTTCCAGTAGAAAAAACGTCAAGGATGTTCTGAGGCATGTACTAATTTTGCAACTTCTAAGTCATCATCCTCCGTGAGTAAAGATAGTGCAGCAAACGTGAAGCATGGAGATGGTGCCGCTGACATAGCGGACGGCAGTACCAGTGCTGAGGACCACCCGCCACCTGACCAAAGACCTGCGCACTTGGCGCTGAGTCAGGTAGTGTCGCAGCAACACGCGAGAGATATGCCAATACCAGACTCCCTGAGTGCGTCGTTGCGAGATGACGCTCCGACTCCAGGTACGTTAAGCACCTATACTTCGAGAAGCACCTATACTTCGAGTTTCTCATAAAATCTGAAATGCTCCTGTGATTTCTTGAAGATGAATGTTTTTGCAGCTCATTGGGTTATCCCCTTGGGTCTGGTCTCAAAGCTGATTTGGTAGGTCAGATCGGAGACATATGACATGACCGTCTGTTCTTCCTCTCGAGAACAACGTCCTCCTCGTGCTCAAGATGATCTAGGTTGGCTAAACAACGTACATTACATACATCTTACATGAATTTGAATGGGCTCTTCAGGTCTTCAGCTTGTTAACGAGCAAGCGTCGTGGAACGAACATGCAGAGGAGGTCAGAAATCTACGAGCAGCACTGGAGGAGTCGAGGAGAGAAGCGCAGAAGTACCAGCGCGACGCCGAAGACCGAGCAGAGGAGCTTGCGAGGGCTTTAGTCCAGGAGGAACAAGTGTATCAGCCAAGTTTGGCGAGGCTAGAGACCGAGCTAAAGAAAGCCAGAGACGGGCAGCAGCTTTACAAGGTATGACTCACTTCGACGAATGATAGATAGGACTCAGGGTAGTTCATTCAGGGTAGTTCTCACTTGAAGATAGTTCTCTCTTGATAGACCTATCATCTTGATGGTTCTCTTTTGATTGTTCTTTCTTGGTACTAGATGTCTCCAGATAGGTAGATCTCTCTTGATGATGGAAAGGAAATAACAATCTTGTTGGGATGGAAAAATAGTCTTCTCTGAAAGTTGATGGAACCAACAATGAAACCTTGTTGCAATGTCAATATGATCGAAAAATACGTCTAGTACCCTTTGGTCCCTTTTCTGCGCAGGAACAAGCGCAGCTTTCGTTAGCGCGGATGCAAGAGGAAATTACCTCGTTGCATGCCGTAATTGAAGACGTCCGACGAGAGGCAGAGAGCGCGCGGAGAGACGTGCAGCAGCGTGAGCAAGGGATAGAGGAGCTTCGCGCGAAGTTGCAGCAAGAATGTGCTCAGGCGGTGGAGCAGACGCGCCAGGCAGAGCAGCAGCGTGCAGAGCAGACCTGGGGTGTAGAGGTGCAGCGGCTCCGCAATCTTTTAACTGAGACAGAGCAAGAGAGTGCGCAAGCAGTCGAGCGGCACCGCACAGAACTTTAAGACTCAATGCAACAATTCATTTCTACAAGAACGTTTCATACTGATCTTATTATGGTAGTGTGATAAGCAGTGGTGTGAGAAATAATGCGACGGAGGGTTTTCAATGTGCTTCGTCTTACAACTTGGCATTCTTCTTTCATCTTTGTTTCCTTCTAAGAATTGGGAGAGCATGCACGACGCAACAGCGAGGCATTGGAGCAGCAGGGACAGCGCCAGGAGCAGCTGCGTGCGGAGCTGGAGGCTAGGCAGCAAGCACAAGCGAACGAAGCACAGCAACAGTTGCGTGAGGAGGCTTTGCGATCGCTGGCAGAGCTAGAACAGCGCAAAAACGAGGGACTCGCCATTCTGCAGAACGAGAGAGACGCGCTTGGGAACAGCTTAGCGGAAACGCGTTTCGCACTAGACGAAACGCAGAGACAACTCGCGTTGCGCTGCCCCCCAACTGCGGAATCCGAAACCCAAGCCGATGCGCCTCCGCAGTTTGGCGACGAAAGGGAAGAAAACTTCAAAGAAGATTTCATGTTGCTCGTTCGCACAGATCCAGGCAGGTACTTCCTTCTTTTTGAGTAATAACGTTTCTTGTAGTTGCATCAAAATCAATTTCATGCTTTGCTCTTCTTCTTGTTAGTTTAACAGTATAATTTATGTACAAGAGACGCATACACAATGCAATGTGGTGCAGTATTTTTGTGAACATCACTTGCTTCCTAGGAGTAAGAGTGCCGTCATCACAATATTCTGACCATATCGAAGGTTGCTTCGTCAATACCCCGACCTCGAGGATGGGAAAATGGGTGGCACCTATGGCGTCGCGGTTCATTATTTGCTAAAGGAGAAGGAGACATTTTTGTCCCATTATGAAATATTGGATATGCTCCACCATTCGCTGTCTGCGCCCTCAACGTCTCGACAGCCGTCATCGTCGGCATCGTTTCTCGCTTCCCCGGAAAAGACGGTAGGGCAGACGCTAGCGCGGGAGCTGCAAGCCGTTGCTATGGCCAGGGGGCCAGAGGATGATGGGGAAACTGGTAGTAACCTAGACATTGAATCACAACAGAGTTTTTTTTATCGAAAGAGTTTTCTATCGTCAATACTTTCTTAGTAATACTTTCTTAGTAAGAAGCCATCAGAGCTAGGACATAATCACTCACAACGTATTCCCCTTCATGTTTAATAATGTCCATTTATGTTTTATCAGAACCAAGCCTGTCGATGGTAGATCCGATACAGGCAGCGGAGGCTGTTCCAGACCCGGATGCGTTGTGGTCTGAGGTAATTGAGTTTGCAAGTCTCTTATTTTTTTTTTGTCTACAGAGGTCTACACCTGATCATTTGCGCTCACGACGTAGAATACTTTGTTCACTAAGAACTCGTCAGGGAAATCTTAGGCATCTTGCCGAATAGATTCAAATACATCTAAAGCCGTGAGCTCGCTCCTGTTTAGCGCTTAGAATTAGTTTTGGTTTATAATATAGATAATTACAGCATTTTGGCCAGCACTCATCATCTCGTTCTAATATGACCTTCGATCACGAAAGGTGTTATTTTTCCAAGAGCGCAGCATTAAGAGTTTGTTGAGTCGTGTACGCGATTTGGAGGTGGACAAGGGTCTCCTCGAGAGGCGTGCGAATCTAGGATCCGACTTCACGAAACTAGGAAAGTTGCACGAATCAGAGCGATATGTGCGGGACTTGCTGATTCAAATTCGGCTATTGCAAGAGCAGCTTTCACGAGCGGCGACGTCTTCTTCTAGTGTTGAAAACGGAGAAGGCCTTTCTTCGGTAATAGACTTAAGGTCATACGACCGTAGGTGCATCCTCAACAGTATCCCTGACCCTTTTCCTATGGGAAAGTACGACCAGGGATGCTCTGGAGAATGCGAAGGCGGAAGTTCTAATAGACCATGACTCACAACAGCACAATATCGCAGCTCTTGGACTTTCAGGACTTGGAGGAGGCAGTGTGGTATCTTCCGCGCCAGGAGGAGGCAACACGGCCTCAGGAGGCTCGCCAGAGGTGCAATTGTTAGGAGGAGCATCGATGGTGCAAAGGAACAGTGGACACGGATCAGTCGGTTCTTCCGTAGTTTCGAGTAGAGCAGGGAGTCGCTCTGCTGTACAGAATCCTTCAGGGAGTCCATTCGACAGTCCGCCAGTTCCAGGAAGTGGTGGCGCAAAAGGTGCGCCTAGCGCAGGAGAAATTCGCTTAACAACTAAAGTTAAGACTTCCCCCTTTTCATCTTCTGAAGCATCCTGAAGCTGCCCTATTATGGGGGGAAAGAAGCATCAGAATACATCGCAGGATGTTGGATATTAAGGGTGAGCTCTAATAAAGCAGCGAGTAATGTCCTCTGGCGTGCGAGAATGAACCGCGTGTTGGCCGAGAACAACCAGCTGGTCCGTCGCGTGTCCGAACTAGAAGTCACTCGAGAAAAGTTAGAGTTACAGACGCACGCGCTGCAGCAAGAAACGAAGCAGACACAAGCAGCTTTGTCGCTGAAATTGCGAGGAAATCATGTCCATGGTGCGGCTGGCGGCGCGACTGGTTCATCTATTGCAGTAAACACGAGTTCGCTGATGCACGCGGGTGCGGCAAGTGCCAACGCTATCTCAAGCATACCAAATCATCTTCAACAGCATCAAGGAACAGACCACTCAGCGTCAACATCCTCTTTTTTGGCGCCTTCTGGTGGAGGTGGCATTTCTTCCGGGAATTATCCTGCGGGTCTGGGCTCGTCAGCGTCCGCCTCTTCCTTCTACCCACCCGCAGGAGGAAGTGGCCAAAGTACAAACGACAACTATATGTTTTGCTTGTTGTAGTTTTCGGACAAAGCATTTTCGATATCTTCTTTGATTCTATTTTTCTGGACAAATTTACTACAACGGGTTATATTTCTTTTGTTCTCGTCGACACTGATCTAGTCCCTTCATCAGAATCGAAAGTCAGTCCGACTACCTCTAATTGTAGATCAGCTCGTCACCTACATTATTACACTCAATTCGTCAGGACCAGATGGAAAAAAAGTGTACAGTTTCTCAACGAATGCCGCTATCCGTTTTCCGAATTATCGGCCGACTCCGCGACACGGATCAAGTACTTTTAGTAACTATTTCATTTATTCTAATTGTTAGCACGACCATTTATTAGAAACACGCCTAAGAATACATGGTAGTGAGTGATGAAAACTAATACTTGGTGGCTCAGGTAAAGGTATTCTGTTTCATATGAACCCTAAATAACAGGTGTGACGCCTCCTCCAGTAGGGCAGACAACGAGCATCGAAGAGAGGTTCGATCCTGGAAGTATCCATCGAGGCCCTACGTCGTTTGCTCCGCAGGGACCAACGAGAAAAGAGCAACCAAAAATGCGCAAGCGACCGGGTGGCCCACTCTATCAGACGGTTGGTCGATAACGATTATAATGTTAATGATCGTAGGGTGATCGATGTTCTTCCGGTGCTACTGCAAAACTTCTGGCAAGATCCGCGCCGATGCAGATCGAAGTTCATTTTTTCCATCAGCATGTTTTAGCAGCATTATGTCATTCCAGGAACAATGGTTCTTGGCTTTTTTCCGCTTAAATTTATGAAAAATGAAACGCAAAATAACGCAGCATGCTCCCTTTCCCGGTGTATTCGTATTCTAGAGCTTTTTTAGTAGACACGATAAAGTAGAATCAGGGTTTGCCAATTTTTTTGGTGAAAGATTGGCGGGTGTTTGAAATGACAATCTAACGCGACGATAGGTTTCGCAGCGCGCGCTCCTTGACAACTAGATTAACGCTAATACGCATGATGTGCATTATGTTTACTTTTAAGAATCATGATGTAAGGCTGGGCATGCTTACATCATCAACTTCAATCAATCTTGCTCTTGTCATGGGACAAAGGACGTCGGGCTTTGACAGACAATGTGTTACTCCCAACGCCAGGAACTTGTCCCACTACGCTGTGGTTGGTAGTGTAATGACGATGGGGGTGAACTTTGTTAATGAATAGATTCTGGGCTCACGATTCGCACTCGCTGTTTAACGCTACGGAAATCGGCACTATGAGGATACCCACTACGCGCTCCCCTAAACATGCGCTAGACGCTTTCCTATTTGTTTCACCTGAACGCAAATGACAACGCAACTCCTGAAGATGATTTTTCGGTGTGTGTCGTGCGAGCTGATGAAATTTATTCCCCTAAAAATTCAGTCTATCCTGAAGGGATAAAGTTGCGCTTTGTCGCCAGCTTTCTGGGCCTCCTCTGGCATTGATCAAATGCACTGTTTGCGGTGGCTTCAGGATCTATACATGAAAAAACGGATCACGACTGATATCTTCGGAGATCACGACGAAAGACTACGGCTTCTCGTTTGCGTGTTACCCCACAGAAAAGAAATGCCATTTTGTTTTTTCTGTACTTCTTTGTTCCTTTGACGTAGTCCATTGTTTCGACGTTTGAAGTTTCTAAACCTTGGCAATATGCCAGCACATTTTACTGCTTGAAGATTGATTTGTATTGGTTGACGCCTTCTTTGTTTGTGGGTTTGTTTGTTCTACATGTTGAGCTTGCGCCAACTGTTGAAGATAGATAGAAACCGAAAAAAATGGCGTTGTCTGGCAAGAAAGTTTGCATGATTGTAGACTTCACTTATGAGGATCTCGAGGTTTGCTATCCGCAGATCCGACTCGAGGAGGAGAGTGCAACTGTGATAAAAGTTTCGCTGCACAAGCCCGGGACAAAGGTATTTATGTTTGAGCGATCAAATGACGCTACCTTTTATTGCGATGCACTTTGTCGGAGACGAGACAGCCCTGGGAGAATAGAACAGGAGAATCAAGGCCATCGGCGACGCCTCTGCTCGGTGTGCACGGTGGAGCGGCGAACCGTTGGGCGCCGACGTTGTGAGAGGGCTGAAGGGCTCGGGCTTGTTACACGAAGCAACTGCGTACGCATTCACTCATGGACGCCCATGCCCTTGGCGTTATTGCTACACCACGGAGAGGCGCACGCCGTGGCGCATGCTCTTGGAGTAATAGCGGCGATTTCTTGCGCGGGTCATGGGGCTCCTTGGTTTATTGTGCAGCCCGGGGCGGGCAGCGTAAGACGGGCAGACCACCCGGCAGCGCTGCGCCCCGGCTTAGGGCGAAGCTTGCAGACCTGGAGGCCGAGAAGATTGCCACGTTGCGGAGCGCAGTGGTGGCGTTTGTCCTGGCTACCGGGCCGCTGTTCGAAGCCCGGGCCTGCCCTTCAGTTGGACCGGCGGCAAGGTCTTCGAGTGGCGAGTGGGAAAGGTGCGGGCCCTGGCCTCGTTTGCGCCGCTTTGGTTTCCCCACCGACTCGCCGGAAAGTTCGGGGGCTGACAACAATAGCGGCCGGCTTCAGCATCACCCCCAAGAGGGGGCAGGCGAGGAACGCCCGCCAGGGCGTTCAGCCTTCTCGCCTAGGAGTCCGCTTTTGCGAAGGCTTGCAGCTTAGGAGAGTCCCAGAACATTTACAAAGACGCCGCGGCCGAAGAACCAAGACCGGGAATTCAGGGCGCAAACTGGTAGTGATCCCAGCAAAGCGGACACACACTCGGACACGCGACAGCAGTCTCAATTATGTAGAGGCTGCGTGCGCGGCAAAGGGTGGGCGATCGTCTTCACACTATTCCCCAAAGGCGGGATGCAAGACGCGGGCCAATCATTTTTTGGGCCGCGGTCTTGTCTACCAGGTCAGTGTCGACATTTCCGGGCAAATGTTGAGACTCTTTGTTGAGGAAGGAGAGTTGCAGACGCTTTCATGCTGCTCCTTGGGCATCGCCTTGCTATGTCTAGCATTCCACCAATTCCGCGCGGGTCAGCGTCTACAATGCGGCTTCCTGCTGGCACTAGCTTAGGAGTCATGTGCGCGCATGTGCTGCGACTGATCGAGCATCTCCGAGCCTGAACCTCTCGGAAGTCCCTGCATTCTTTGGGTGCTACGCGCCTACCTGGAACCGCGATCCGGCACCGCTCCGATACTACAGCCCACATATATGGAGCGCTGTGAGGGCTTGAAGGCGCAAAGCCGTGCCCTCCAACGCCGGGCGCCATGTGTGCAGGCAAATACTTCCGGGGGGCTTTGCCACATATTTCGGGGGATGGTAGAACTGGGACTCATTGCGAGATACCCTGCAAACACTGGCGATTAGACTCTACAAGGCGGGTAGCGCTATCGTTTCGTTTGTGGCCCGGAGCTGTTTGTTTACCTAGGGGCCAGGAGTGCCGGCCGAGTCTTCAGGCCCCTCCGAATGCAGCTTGGCCCTGTTACTGTCCCAGCGGAAGAAAGTAGCGGGGTTTGCTGATTCAGTTCGATAAATTGGATGGCGCTGAAATTGTTCAGCTGGTCGGCCCTTTCGAAGCGCGAAGCGCGGCAATAAGCATCACAACACGCAGGCGGGCGGCCTTCTCTCTAGCGCGTGCGGCCGGCCTGTAATAGTGGCCGCGTGTTTAAAGTGGCGCGGCAAAAAGGAAAACGCCGGAAACAATAACGGCAGCGACGCCGCTGATGAGGAGGGACAGCATTGCGCAAGTTGTCGCCAATCGCTTGGCGGCAATCTCCCGCGGGGGCTCAGGCGGTGCGTGGTTGTTGTCAGAGGTAAGGGCGGGAAGCCCCAAGACACGCCGGCGCCTGGTGGGGAAGTAGAAGGGCGGAACACAGGGGAAGCTGGGAAAGCCGTGGAACCCTCTAGGACGGAGGTGGCGGACTATGGGCGGCAGGCGTGGGGGAGAACGAGGTGGCCCAGGGGCTGGGCGGAATTCTACACGACTGGGGGGCGGACGGTGATGCCTGGAGATGGGGCCGCTTGTGGGGATTCGAGCAGGGTGCTACATTTTATTTTTAGGGTCCATGGGATGTGGGTCGGAGGTGTTAAGGTCAGGGCTGAACATTGATGGCGGGCACTCCGCAGCAGTGGAGAGCATCAGGGTTATGGACAAGAGGGCCGGGGCAAAGGATGCGGAAAAGTCCAGAACCAGCACAAGGCCAAAAAGACTCCAACCACGGGCGCGCCGGATAAGGCGCCAAAAACTACAGCGACGGGCGGGCTTTGTCCTCAGTGAGTGTGGGGCATGCGGTTCCCGGCGCCACTTAGATGCTGTGAGCCGGGTGGCGTCCAATGGTTGCGCTTTTTCTGTTTGGCTGCCGTGCTTTGTCAGACACTGGGGCGTTTACATTACAGCGCGGGCACCCTTTTCGAGGAGACCGACAGCCCCGCAGTGGGGCTCGCCGTTGCCACCGGAGGCACGCAGCCCGCCAAGCTCGGCGCCGCAGCTTTCCCCGCCTACTTTCGGTTTTGCTGCCTCTTGTTGTTTCGGTGGGGGGTTTTTTGTTGGTTCGCGCTACACGCTAAGCACAATGGACGGCGTGCGAGGGGTATGGCATCCATCGCGCCCCTGGGTCTTACCTTCACCTTTTTCGACTGGTCCACCCATAGTGTCCATGCATCAAGTAAATACACTCTCCTAGCGACTACACAGGGAAGACGCTTCACTCCCTGAGAAACGGAAATAGAATTCTACTAGGTCACAGGCAAGTACGGGTATCCAGTCCTTGTAGACAAGCACATAGGAGAGGTGAGCGCCGCGGATTTCGATTGTGTCATATGTCCTGGTGGCTTTGCGCCCGACTACTATCGCCGCGATGAACAGATGAAAAGACTAGTTGCGGAGACGTTAGCGCAAAAGAAGCCTGTAGCGGCTATATGCCACGGACCATGGATGCTGTGTAGCGCAAAAAGCGAAAGTGGGAATCCTGTATGCTTATGACAAGGATAATCAAATTTATAAATTCATATATCAGTTCACGAAGACGAAGTGCTTCCTTTGCCGATAGAAACTGGTCATCAAGTTCAAGTGTTGCACTAGGATCTCAACCCACGTATGTAATTTCCATTGCGTTGCACAACAAGACGAGACACAAACGTAAACTCGACTAGACAAGATACAGATGCAAAATGAATCGAGTTTCCAAAGAACCTTGTTAAGCCGTTCGTCCCAACCCGGGTTTGCTTCCGTTCTTTCATTGCCTTCTGGAGTCAAGGTGACCGCTTTCCACGCGATCAAGGACGATCTAGAAAACGCTGGAGCAATATTCGTCGACGAAGCCGTTGTCTGTGATCAAAATATTATTACCAGCAGAACCCCAAAGGATCTGATACCATTCACCTTGGCAATAATTGCGGCGCTGAAGTAGTAGAAAGAACGTTTAAAAACTTCTGATATGATGTGATTGGAAGATGCTCAACATGCTATTTGTTTCATGGTCAGTTTGTTCAGACTTCATGTGGAATGACTGATCAGCAACATGTGCGCGGACCAGTACGACGCATCACAGGCTGCGGTCGCTTTCTTCCAGGTTCTCTGGCGAGGAACGTCAAACTTTGGAGAGTATGCAGATTCTCGCGAGAAGAGTGTGAACGTGCGATGGATTGGTGAGTGACATTGAGAGTGACCACCAGGAAGAGAGAAAAAGGCTCATCGATCGAGGAGGTTAAGCCCACCTCTGAAATCCTCAATGAAATTTTGTTTCACGACGCATAGAAAAACGGACGAAGGCAACATTCTCGAGTTAATTCAGTGACTACTCACTGCAATCATGTATGGATGTTTTACAATAAATGACTTTGTGTAGCTTCTATCACTCGTTTTCTCTTCTAGTCAGGGCTCTTCTAGTACTGAAAAGAATATCTATACTTTGTTGAAAAAAATGGCTCGCACAAAAGAAGACGACGCGGAGCAGCCATTTTCTGAGCGGTTGAAAGATGGCGCCGACAGGTGTTGCCAATACTTGCAACAGTACTCAGTAGAGCGGTATCTTCAGCTCTTTGTTTTCATCATGATCATCTTTTCCGTAACGAACATTGGGATATCTAGAACAGGCGAGTAAAAAAGCGAGCAATCTTATCCAAGTATCTGTTCTTCGTGTATAGAACCGCCAAGATTGATACGTGAATCGCGAGGTGAGTAGTACGCTGTTGGAGTTTTTCTACTTGTTACTCATGAAAGAAAGTAGAAATAACAATGGAGATTGTTCCGGTTGGGAGTTACAGTGCTTTCCGTTCTTCTTAGGAGTGACGATCTTCTCTCGGTACCCAGTACTCTTTTCGGGTTTTTCCCACTGATCGTGGTTCCCTAGGATCTTGTAGAGAGACGTCGCACCTTCGATGAAACTTGCAAAAAAAAAAACAATATCATTGGCAACTGATGATCCTATCGTGGCCCAGTTTTTAATGTCGTTGTGAATCGGTTGTGATCCCTGAGGTAAGATGTTGTTGGAGTCTAAAAAGTAGGAGTATGATTATGGATATCGTTTAAGTTTTTAGGTTATACTCCAGAAAATAACCTCTACATATGCTGGTGGTGAATGATTGAAATCCCTTCTCTTGATAAAACTTCATCCATGCATATTGAAAACTCCATCCATTTCATGCACAAACTTTTGATTTAATATTCTTGACTTTACAGTTTCCTTCTCGCTCATGAATAAGATGTTTTTTGATTCTGAAAATGCTCCAGCGGCAGTGCCGCCGGATTAAACGGTTCGTACCACAGTGGGGTGGGGCGCACACTTCCCCGAACAGTAAAGTCCTTACTCCAGAACGAGGTCTCGGGTTCTCACTGCTTCACCACCGTCTAAGCGGAATCGTAGACGACCGGGACTATCTCGTCCATAAAAAATCACCAGAAACGATTACAATTAGATCAAACCAACAATTCCACCATCACTTACTCCACCTAACCCAAAGTAGAAGTACTACGACCAAAAAGAGGACGAAAATCATGACCGCAACCACAACGGATGTTCCACCAGGTGTGGATCGCGTCGCTGGACCACTGACTGTGCAGGCTTTACGGGGTCGGCTCTTCGGGAAGGAAGTTGCCATAGTAAGCTGTGGCGAGAGCCATGAGGATGCTATGGATCTGACGCGTAAAGCGGCAATCTGCGAACCAGCATGGGCTTGGGTCGAACTCGCGAAAGTTAAGACACTCTGATCGCAAATTTTCGAACGCATAACTAGAAGTCCTTTATTTTTTATCTTATAACTAGAGGATTCAAGTTGTAGACCACTACGTTGGAGTAGGTAGTTGACGTTGTTTCCTTTCGAAGGAACAACGGGGAAAAGAACTGCTTCTAAGATGGAGGCCAACGACCCCAGGCTAGCTGTCGAAGAATTGCGCTGTGGTCAAGGTCTAGATCTACATAAGGCCCGTGCGTCCACAGTGGCAGACAAAAGCAGCTACGCAGGACCACGTGGAAAAAATGGTAAATCACTGCAGCCTCCATCTCGTAAGAAGAAAAAATCTTCTGTTAAGGCAGGCTCACGTTGTAAAAAACATAATTCTTGTTCATCGAGTACTTAGCACCATAATATCTATTCTTAGACCACTTTGATAATACACATCTGCTGTGACAGAACCAGAGGTGCGTTCTTAGACAGAGACTCTAAGACGAAAAAATCTTGTGTTAAGGCCCGCAATGCCGATATGCTAAAGTAAAAAGGGCTTTATTTTGTTGTGAGCCTATTTTTAGAAGAGTAGACTACTTTGATTATACATAGAAGCTGCTGTGACGGACACTGCGGATTTTCTAGCTGCTGTGGTAGAGCCAGAAGTTGTGTCCATTCTTGGGCAGACACTGAGAATAGGTGCGTAGCTGTCATCTAGACCTAATTCTAGAGGAGGCGGCGGTGGTAAGAAAACGGGTGGCGACGGCGCAGAGGGGCCACTAACAGTGGCAGCCGCGCAAGCGTGGTCCGAGCCCCTAGTGAAGCGATGGATAGACGAGGCAGAGCAAGAAGACGAGGAAGAGGTTGATGATCGCTTCTTTCTCTTCTGGAAAGAACGAAGGTTAAGGCTTTGAGTATTTTTACTCAATTCATTTCTAGGGTCTCCGACCTGGTCACTTCAACTGGACCAGGAGGTTCTTTTTCTTAGCCTCCTGCTTCGTAAGATTCATTTGAGATGTGAATGAAAACTGGCGCCAAGATGAAATGAAATAAAGGAAATCCGAACTCCTCTAAGGAAAGACGAAAGCACCAACGAGGCAATGAAAAACCGGAAGGGACAAGTGCTAGGAGACGCTTTTCTCTTCCACGGGAACCCTTATAGCAACAAAGGTCTGCGATTTGCAAGTCGTTTCTTCGCGGGCAAAAACATCAAACCGAAGAAAGGAGAGAAACCTGCGTGGGAGATAGTAACTCAAGATGGGGAACAAGCTGTGGTAATAGAGAAGGAGTCTCCAAAAAATGATCATGAAGAAATACCGGTCGAAGCAGAAAAAACATCATCAGCAGCAGCATCTTCTGAAGAAGATGATGCGAACACTTTGCCAAAAGTCGAAGACAATAATTTGTCAAAAGACGAAGACGATGACGACTCCAAAGTAGGCGAGAACGACTCCAAAGTAGGCGATAACGACTCCAAAGACAAAGACAATGATTCCAAGGACGATGATGTTGACAATTCCAAGAATTTTGTGTATCGCATGTTCATCTACGACGATTCGGATGAGCTGGCGCGCTTGTACAATAATCGTAGACTGGACGGCGAGGAGGTCCCAGCTGCGGAGTTTGACGATATGGTGATCAGTCGTAAAGAGGCGTTTCGGCGCCGCGATAAAGCCGAACTATTCGACGACTGGATCCTCCGACATCTGGAGCGCAGTCTTCTAGCTGATGATGGTGAGGATGATCATGGTGAAATAGTACCTATTAAGGCTGTAATCATCTTGCCGGTATGTTGGAACTGCATCATCCCGCCGGGAGGCTTGAAGGACTACTGGGGATGCACATGAAGAATGAACAGTTTTTCATTTTCACTTTATCCCATGTGAACATGAACTATGCCGAGTGGGGTCGGTCCCCTTTTTTTCTTCTGAAGGGGAAAATTATCTGTAAGTGGAAAGAGGGGCATATTGACCCACTCAACCATAGTGAAAGAGGGCAACCCAGCACTCAACCAGGGTGCTGCATACTAATTCCTAGTGAAGAAAACTTACTAGCGCTAAGAATAGTGCCGAAAAGAAAAAGTATGCTGATTATCCTGAGGTGCATGTTGTTCTCGAGGCTCCTGTGCGTGCTGAAGAGGTAGAGCTGGCAGGCAAGGATGAGCTAGAAATACACGACCGCTCGACTAGAAGAAGGAAAAGCAGCGCGGACGAAGATGCTGACATCAAAAAGAATAGTAAACAACATGATCATGCTGGTCGTGAGTCTAGTAGTGCTTGCAATTCAAGTACTAACAATGATAGTACTACTGAGTCCAGTATGTTGACGAGTACTTCTGCTTGCAACCTCTGCAAAAGTACGTCTACTTCTAGTAGTACAGCAGCAAGAACTAAGGACGATAAAGACTGCTCTGCTTCTTCTTCAGTGATGGCATCTTCTTGTGCAGGACGTAAAGGCTTGGCTCATCGCTCAATCCGACAACTAGACCTGGACAGCGAAGAGAGCAGTGACGAGGAAGAAGACCCCGATGACGGTACGGGTGCGTTCTTGACGTATCTAGAGCGGCGACTGGATCATCACTTCCTGCTGCGAGAAAGTAGGAGGATTGGTATGGCGGAGGAGGAGATAGGAGTTGCCGAAAACACGTTAAGGGGAGGTGCTAGTTTGCTTTGACTCTCCCATGGGTAGCAAACGCCAGCCGTGGTTTGTTTTGCCCGCCGTTTGTTTTGACTCTCCTAAAATGGTTTCCGTTTCCGTGTGTCTTGGCGTTTCTGTTACTGGTTCTTTTGAGCATAATACATGGGGAGCAGAAAAAACAAGACCCTAGTACCTCTAAGCGCGGCCAATTTAGAGTTCGAGGACGCGATTGCGCAAGCACAACAAAGAGTTATTGCAGCAATAAATATTGGCGTGTCCGAAGCGACGAGATCTGCAGTTTCTCGCAGTCGGAAGAACTTCTGCGAGCGAGTGCACTGCATAGATTTAAGGCTATTTCTTTCCGAAAAATGGTTCATCTTTGACGAAAGAATGCGTCTTCCGTGAACATCCGTGTCGAAGGAACTAGTTCCCCGTGACTGAGTAAACTCTCCAACGAATAAGTTGCAGTTGAGCAAGGACTCTATTTTTACTAGTTGAGCATAATTGAATTATACGGACTAATACATAGGGTCTTGTCTATGTCCCGTCTAATAGAGTCTCGTGAGCTAGGAGAACACCCTGTGCCGAAAAAAATATTGGTAACCGGAGACAAAAGAGTCTGTGAGCCGGAGGTTCTCAAGCAGTTGGACCCGAATTTCGACTGGAACAACGCAAAGTTTGGTTAAGGCTTGCTCTTCCCTAAATAGTTTCCTGTGGTCTTTTCACACCTTTCACAGTACTACATGCTAATAATCAATTGTGATCTAATTTCTCTCCATGCACGGCTATGCGTTTGCCGAGAACCGCATTCCTACCGACGATCCAGAGGAAGACTTTCTGGAGGAGATACAGGCTCCGGATGCGCCAGAGCCAGTGCCAGAAGCTTCAGAAGACGAAGAGTTAAGGCTGTGAGACAATCCTCCAGAGTATGTGCATGATAGTATATGATAATATATTTTTCTTTTCCCGCTGCATAGGATGTTTCGTCCCCTAGGGAAGACGTTTCATTCATAAAAATTGTCAAAATTAGTACTGGACCCTTCTCCTGAAGTGAAGTCTGGCATTAAATATTCCCGTCGACAGTTTCGGAGTACTGATCTGGGCATCGCCATGACCAAGAAGGTACAATCAGGCTGAAAGGGCCTCGGTCCCATTTGACAGGATGGACAATGAGGTAGCATGACATGACACATGACATGTGGTTGTCGAGATTTTTACAGTAAATTTAAAAAAATGATTGTGCTGTATGAAGTGGTAGTACCAATGTTGGCCATTCCTAGGGTTTGAGAAATTCCTCCCCGTCCCCTCGTATATCCTACTTAGCGGATGATGAGAACAGAGACCACAGCATGCAACATCTTACTTAGGGATCCCTTCCAGCTGCGTCTTGATCTCACCTCGCCTCATCAATCAATTTCTATTTGAAAAGAAAAACCAGCAGTACGCCATCAAGTAAGGCACGAACTACAACAGGGATGGAGGATTTAGGCAGTGCTGCATGTCTAATTAAAGATGAAGAGGATGACTCGGACTCCTCTGATGCTGGTGAAGATGAACAAGCAGAGGAAGATCTTCTAGAGGAAGAGGCGGCCGCGCTTCCATCTTGGGAAGCATTCTTTGGGTCTGCGCCTGAGATTTTATACTACTCTCCCCATGTGAAGATGTGCTACCTTCCTTTTCTGACGAAGTGCATAGGCAGTGTTGATTAAGGCTACAAGAAATGCATCTCGTCCAGCAACATCTTGGTTCGTCCTTGCGTTTTTCCACAGGGAGTTCCCGTTTTCAAAGGGAAAGCGTTCCCCAGCAACATCTTGAGGGCAAAAATTTCTTTGTGGCCAGCAGGGAACCAAAAGGAACCAAGAAGGCGAATCCGAGGATCGGATGGATTTCTCTGAGTAGTTCTAAGGTGGTCAGATGTACCGATTTTTCGAAACCCTATACTTTGGCACAATCCCAGAAGCCAAGCGCCTGTTAAAGCTAGGAGACGAGGAAAGTCTCTCGGCGACCTTCGTTCGATCGAAAATTAAGGCTCATGATGATTACATCTTTATAATACTAGATAAGGATAGGCTTAGGCGGTAACCAGGCTCATACTAGAAGATAATGATTTCTCTGGATCACCATCTGTAATCTGTACAGAGTATTTACTTCCTTCTTGTTCGCCTATTTTTTCCCTCTGGAATTCTGAGACCATGAACTCAGGCGGACTACAGGGCGGTTACAACAACTTTCAATATAGTGGGATTTCATGAGCTCCTGCTCTCTCCTGCTCTAATCAAGTTTATGAGTGTGCTGAGACGGGTCAGATTTACCGCCGACCGGACCCGGACGCTTTCGGTCTAGTAAGCACGAACCAGGCGCCCTTGCACTGCTGTCTGAAAGGCAAAGGCAGCAATCCGCCACGCACTTTCATATCCCAGCTTGCAAACAGACTCGTCGACGTGCAGTCGTCACCCTCGCAAGAAGATATCGAAACGACAAGGAGTGCAGGAGAAAGTATGGCGTTTTTCGAGGAGCAGCTGAAAGAGGCTAAGAGGCGTGTTAGAGAAATTGAAGACGGCCACTGCATTACGGCTGAAGTACGACAATGGTATCGGGAAGCTGTGCAAGCCTTACTGAACGAGGACGTAAAGGCGGCTGACATTAAGACTAATATCGTTGTAACTAAATTTACCACTATCAATCATGAAAAAATCTGTCAGACAGTGTACTTGTAGTCCCATCGTTGTAAATCAACCACTATCATGATGATTTATCATGATTTTCCGATAAGTTGGGTTTCTTACTTATCGGATATGGTGGATATCCCTACCTAGAAGTAGTTTTATCTTAAGTTGGATTTCTCTACCTAGTAAGGATAGCTTTATCCAATACAAGATACCCATATACGTAGTAGTTTCATCTAGTCCGTGCTGGTATGCTAGCCAGTGATAGACTTGATGGAATAGAGATCATCTTCCAATCACGCGGGTGGTGATTACTTTTCGGCGTTCTTGCGAGCAGTGCATCCCGAGATCTACGACGACATCGACCATGGTGATTCGCTCCAACTAGTAAGCGCCTCCAAGTTAAGGTCCATTCCATCTGAATCACAGGGTAAGGTCCATTCCACCAAGGGTAAGACATGCCTTAAGATTCCTAAGTTATAGAAGTTGGAAAGATGTCGAAAACAGGATGATATGAATGTAAGAGATGAATTACTTATGTGAAAAATGTTGTTGCTAGTGCTGGTCTCCTTCATTACTCGCCACAAGTAGTCTACTCCAACATTTTATCATCATTATTCTTGCGAGGAGGTTTAGTCTCTAACAAAGGTTCCAAGTCTGAGAGCAGGATGTCTTGCTGCCAAGACCGCGCCCAAGAAAGGTCAGAGCGCGAAGAAAAAAAACGGAAATGTGCCTCCACTTTTCTACAATTTGAAGAAGGTGACGATGCCAAATGCAAAGGAAAGCTTCGACTTGATGCACAAATACTGGAAAAACCTGAACAAAAATCCACGACATATTCGCGAGCAGAAGAAACTAGCAGCTGAAGATGTAGCAGAAGATGTAGATGGCATCTCGAGTGGAACAACTGGAGAGGCAGATACTAGAAGTAGTGGTAGTGATCATTAAGGCTCAACTTTCAGTGGTCACCATTTAGATTGGAGTCACTGAGATCGAAGAGGCGACCCCTTTGGAGAACAGGGGAAAACGAAGGGAAAAGGGGAGAGCTTTGAAGGTGGTCCCTTCCGTTCCGCATCAGTGACCCCTGACTGCTGACCTTTAAGATCAAGCAAATGCGACGGCAGCAACATCAACTAAAACAGGTGGAAATCAAAAAGGAAAAAATGGAACCAACAACGGGGACGATTCAACAACAAGGACATCAAGTTCATCAAGTTCATCATGTGCAACATCTTCGGCGAGTGCGTCCACAGTCGCTACACCAGCTGACAAAGCGCAGGTACAACGAAGTTCTGCGCAGGGTCATCCGCCCACTTCTTTAGTGGACAAGGAGGCACGATGTGCGCAGATTATGGCGAAAATCTTGGTGGATGCCTTCCAAATTCGCCTTGTAGACGCAGCGGTGCTTTTGTCAGTAGCCAAGACGGTTCGCAGCTCGCGCAACGATCGCGTTGTCATCATTCTCTATGCTGGGTTCGATCATACATCAGCATGCGAACAGTTTTGGACGGAAGAAGATGCGAACAGTTTGGGCCAGAATGGGACTACGACCACACCCGCCGGCGGGAGCAGGAGAGTATCACCGACAAAACGCGCGAAAAAGAAAGCAAAAACTGAGTCTCCGGGAAACCCACCGCAAGATCGCTTCCAAGACGAAAACGGTGACTCTACTAGAGTTAAGGCTAGTCCTACAAATCTCCCATTTTGAGAAGAAGCATCTGAACAAGATCTACTGACGATGAATATCCCATTTTGAGAGGCATCCGGATTTTAGACGTGGGGCAAAAAGATTCATTCAGGATGTTAGTTTCTCAAAATACATGAGAGATTTGTGGAAGGATTGTCCTCTAATAAAGGGAGCCTAGTATGTAGAGGTCAGTTTCGACGTTTGGGTCCACGCATCGGAAAAGAGGATTTCGATTTCGGCGACAGTAGGTTGTTGAAACTACCTGATGCTTGGCGATCAGACCTGAGAAACTTGTTTTAGACCAAAAAGGTTTAGTTGTACTAGGTTTGCATATAACTGGTGCAAGATGAACTACAAAGTTTTACTACTGTCAACTAGTAGAGAGACTAACATAATTGTAAAGTTGCAGAACTAGTAGTTGTGCTTACTGCAAGAACAGACATTTGGTGCTACTAGTTGTGCTTGTAGACCGCGAGGTCAAAGCCAAATTGACTAACATCATTATCACACCAACTTCAAGAAGCAAGGGCAAGCACGTACTCGAATGTTAAGGCTTAATTCCAAAATCGGAAAATCGGATTTCAAGAATGGAGGTTTAGTGTTAGAAGTTGTACAACTGGTTAGTTTTCCCTCTACCCTTAGACTTATCCCTTCGTGCAGTATCAGAGGTTGTTATAATTGGATCTTGTTTCCTTTTCCTAAGTAGGATAGGATCCTCTAGCTGGTATTGTAGTAGGTATTTTTCGCGAGAATTTTTAATGCAAATGACTGGTTCCCATGTCGGTTGAAAGAATAGTTGTCGTAGCATGAACCCATCACTGTCCTGAAAGAAAACAACTAAAAAATCACCTTCCTGCTACGTACCAGAGTGACACTGGTGCTTCCTTTTGTATCTGTATTCGCCAAAATAAAGTACTATTGCGACGGATACATCGCAACAACAAAATGAACTTTTATATATAAAAGTAAAATAAATCGGTCAATTATTGAGAAATTGGTTGTACTTTTCGTCTGTTGTTCGAGAGACCGTCAATGAAGAAAATTTATGCTGCTTGATACGCACGTCCTTGCTGCCCAACATAAGTATCAACTTCGTGGCAAAAAGAGAAAGTCTGCTTCTACAAGGTATCATCATTCTGAGCTTTTGGAGTTGCAATGTGCATCGGTTATGATTGAGTGGTCTCTTGTCTGTGAGAGAGCCCTACACAAATCGATTCTGTTTTGAGAGTCTTGTTAAATCAGCAACTCCATCGAGATGTTAATGTCATTTTTCAAGAAATAGGTAGCTTCTCATTCTGCTTATTTCGTCGTGGTTGTGGTCCCCCTTCGATTTTCAATTACTAGAGGAGTTGGATCATTTAGGTATGAGCATGCACAGGAGCCGAATATGCTTAATAAACTTACCCTACTGCTGTGTAATTCTATACTTCCAGTGATTGAAGTAACCCATTGGCCCACACTGATCCCGGCGATCTAAAGATTGTGGAGATCTTTTTCCAAAGTCCAAAAGCTATGAGATCATGCAAGATCAATGCGAATGGAAGATCAACAAAGACGAGGTCCGACGCGTGCGCGCTGTTTGCAGGAGAGACACTGTCAATAAAAAAGATAGAATGTTGTTGGATTCAGATCAAAGTCATAAATTTTATTATCTTGATTGATTTTTTTAACATAATCTTCTCTCTACAGGCATTATTCTTGGTTGTTTCTCTATATAGTATTAAGAAGTAGAACATCAAACGATCCCAGTAAGTACTCTCCACTCCTACCCATTATAAGTACTCTTCTGTAGCGAGCGCTTTTCTTTTTTTTGAGACTCCATATCCATTCTACGGCTCACTAGCAATCCCTGATTATAAGACACCTGGCACCCCTGGCCTTTACCTCATTGGTACGAATTTTCAGCATTTCGCATTATACGACAGCAGCGTAGCTCTATTCGTAAGCCTCACTCTTATTTCTTTGCTACCTCTAGTATTGGAAAGTGCCACACTCTACTTTGCGTGCTGTACCAACACCAAATGTGATACCTCCTCTAATTAAGGCTTGTTTTTTCTGAGAAATTATACTTTTATTGTACGAAAAGGTGCGTTAACAGAAAATTGAATAGGTTTTTTATCATTAGCTTCCTCCAATGTTCTTGTGTGGTGACGCATGTCTAGATTGGTTAGCAAACAAAGGCAGTAGCTACACACATCAATAACCGGTTAATTTTCCCTGATATTTATCCTACATTCGTTCCTTCAAGCAATACTTACCGGCTGAACTCGTTATTGGCCTATCCTATCCTTTATGGGTCTTATCACGTCCCTATCATAGACCTTTATCTTAGTCAGCAATCAAATACTAGTAACAAAATGTTCGCGCAAGACTGGCGTAATGAAGTGGTGCAGTTGACGCCGTCGGGTGTTATGTACCGCGTGTGCGGACGCTTGGGGCGTGGTGGGTCCGCAGATGTGTTCCGAGTACAATGCGTGCACATCCCGGAAGCCTTTCAGCAAGACCAGGAAGCTAGACGAGTGTTTCTGCGACAAAGAGCGCAAAAAGTCCTGAATGCGCATACGAATGTAGGCACCACCAGACCAAGAGATCGTGGAGGTTCTGGCGATGAAAACAGCGGCTCAGGGGGAGCGGGAAGAAACTCAAATGATCTTACAAACACTTCTGCGGCCGCAGCAGCTCATCAACAGGTGGTGGAAGTAGGACATCAAAATCTAGATGCTCACACGAGAACTACAACGCCTCAGCGTGGCCTCATAGTGGGAACGAGTGAGGCCTCGTCCTCGACGTCTCAGCATAGAAGAAACCGTGGTGGCAGCGGTGACGCAGAGCCACGATTGCCCAGTGTGGCTTTGATTACCAACGAAGACCATCCCGAGTTTGAGATCGCTGGACCGGGATCTCGGGAAAGAAGGCTCAGTGACGTCGAAGAAGTTGGTAGTTGTTCGTAGTTTTTTCTAGAAATACTGAAGATCTTAGAATGTAGTCCTACTAGGCTCACCTTATTATAAGCATGGGATACCGCCCTGATTAAATTCTCTTTTACCAGAATGCAGCTATAACAATTTATTTGCCTCGGTACCTATGATGATATGATTATTTCCATATTAGAGATGAGCAGGGAGAGGGACAGTGTCGGTCACACTAGATGAATATGAGCGATGCCTGCGATAGGAGTACTTGTTAGAAGATATGACGCAGTGACAGTCTACAAGAACCGTGGTTGCTAGAAATATTATATTAACCGGTTGCGTTCTTGTAGCTCTCCACAGTAGTTTTTTTATGTGGACCTGAACACATCTCCCGGCTGGTGTGCCAGTGTGAGCTCTATGTATAGCTGTGCAATAATGATTACTTCTCGTACCAATCTATTTATGTCTTGATTTTCTCCCCTCTTGCCCAAAGACAACTAAGGGAGTATTAAAACAGTGCTAATACGCGGAAGTAGTGTTTCGCTCCTTACCTACCAACCTCTTTGATCATCTGTATGCAACTCAGGTAATCAGGACTACAATATGACGGAAGACAAAAGCGCTAGCAGTGAGTCGCGCAGAAGGAAGCAAAGTGGTACTTTATTTTCAAGACATATTGTCTTGCTTTTCACTGTCATGACATCAGTCAAATGTAACTCTTTGTCATGCAGTACGTCATTGTTCTTTCAGTCTCAGTTCTATCTACATGGATAAAAAACTGACGCAAAAATTGATGAAATTTAATTAGGTGACTCGAAAGACGCTGCTACCGCGTGTAGTAGTATAGGCCGCGGTCTCGCGCCATTGCAAGCAGACGCTGACGCGACTGCAGAAACGACAGCGGAGGTAGGAACGGGTGGAGAAACTACAGAGGATTCTACTACAAATGTAGGAGCTTCTACCGATGATTCAGATTATGAAATACCTGTCCTTGAGGCTGGCGGCTTCTACGCGCTTAAAAGTGTGATGGCACACAACCAGCATGAATTCCAGGTATAAATGTGATTCCTCAACGTTTTTAGTTCTTAGATGTGATTTCTTGTTGGTACTATCGTGATCACGGAGTAACTAGTCTATGCTACTTATATCTGACATGTTGATGTGGCTTCTTGTGGTTGAGACGCTTAGGGACAAGAAATAATACTGTCAGACCACGTCGCTACGGCTATCATGGACGATGGCAACAGGGGCAAGAGTTGTATGCAGCTACTACACTTAAAATACATAAATACATAGTCATCGTGTAACCACTTATACTTATTTGCTATTCAGGGGTAGTAATAGTTTTCTAATTCAAATTTTCCGTCTAGATTTCACGCATTATTTCCTATTCGTATTCATCCTCCTTGAACTTAATGATTAGGTGTTTTTGCGTGAGCAGGAATATACTTATTTGCTACTCATCCTCCTTAATACCTACAGGTGTTTTTGCGTGAGCAGGAGTTGCTTGTGAAGTTAGCAGGGAACCCGTACGTGATCCATTTGCTGGATTACACGGTTTTGGAAGAGGAGCGCCAGTTGTTTTTAGTTTTAGAACTCGCCGAAACCGATTTCGGGCGATTCCTAAGTGTGAACCACAACCTGAGCGTGCAGGCGATTTACTCGTACTGGATGCAGATGGTGATCGCCGTGCGCACCATGCACCGGGACCACGACGTGATTCATTTCGACTTGAAGCCGGCAAACTTCTTGTTGGTGGCCGGGAACCGGCTGAAGCTGGCGGACTTTGGGTTGGCGCGGCAGCTCGGCGACGAGACTACGCACGTGAGTCGGACGAACCGCGCAGGCACGCTGAAGTACATGGCGCCCGAGTGCATTTACCAGCCGCACGCAAGCAAGCTGAGGCTGGGGAAGCCCGCCGACGTGTGGTCGCTGGGAATCATTCTGTGCCGCATGATCTACAACACGACGCCCCACGCGCACCTGCAGGAGAACCACACGCGCATGCTGATCGCCATTTCGGATATCCGGACCAAGATCAACCTCGTGGCCATTCCCGGTCTCTACACCGACGAGAGAGCACCAGAGGAAGGCTCCAACGAGGAGGAGCCGACTATCGATCCTGACCGCAAGGAGCTACACGACTGGTTGATCAATGTCGCAAGGGGCTGCTTGATCTTCGAGCCGCGTGCGCGCTTCTCCAGTGAAGAACTTTTTAGGACTTTAGACTTGCAGCGGTACCCCAGCGAGTCCGTAGTCAGCTTGCTGCACGAGAAAACAGACCAGTACGAGCGCCTAGACGAGGCAGGCGGCACCAACGCAATGAAGCATACAAACGATCGCAACATCTCGGGAAGTGGTCCCTCGCGAGAGATCATGACGGGAGGACTCGACGAGGCGAGCGTGAGTAAGATGATCGGCCCAGTGGGCGCGCACGGCGCTTTGAATATGGCTGGCGTACTGCGGCCCGCGGAACCACTCGGTACTTTGCGCGAAGACATGGAGGTGGATGAAAATGCCCCTCTTCTAGGAACTCCAGAGGAGGATCCGACAACCACTTCTAGGATGTCCGCTGGAACAGGAACCGCAGCAACAGGAGCAGCCGATCTTGAACAAGCTGCGAGACGAAGAGCAAAGAGGGTCGACGCAGATGGCAACCCTCTGGGAGACGACGATGAGTTGCTTGACCTAGAGACCGGAGAACAATCCAGATTTGGACGTGGTCATCAGGCAGAGCAAAATCAAGAAGAGGATCATCTTCTTGATGACGTCGCTCTGTTGACTATAGAACAACTGGAAGTTCGGAGAGCGCAAAACAAGCGCTGCATGGTCCTACTTATCGTATTGCTCAGCGTCATCGTTGCGGCCTTGATAGGCTGCATCGTAGCAGCGGTGCTCCTGCACCAGAAGCGAGCGCAACAGTAGCACCTTGGTGAGGTGATAGTCTACAAGCATTCATCTATATCCACTCATTCTGCAAGTGGAGGTACAGGTAAGCTCTTCGATAGGTGTACATTGTAGTTAGTCAGATTCAAGCACTGAGTTCTCTGCTTCAAAGCTTATTCACTCATTCTGTGCCTTTTCTTTTACCATACATCAAGGGGGGGTCTCGTCCCGTTGCTATCGCGTCAGTAGCACCGAATCAGTTAGCGGTGAGGCTCTTGACAATCCTGTGGCGCCTTTGTTACCATACATCACAACGCTGATAGGGCCGCCCCATTGGTATGTAGACCAATCCTTTGAGGCATCCTGACATGACACGAGTCTGATGTCTGCTCGCGTGTACCCATTGATTGAGATGCCGATACAATGACTCTACTGCTATCGCGAGCAGTCTTGCTTCGTTGTTTGCGGCATTGACATGAGAGTGAGATGTCAATGTTGTCTTTGTTCGAAGATGTCGGTCTAATTATTCGAGGTTTTACTGGGTGCTTTGAATCTCCACGCGCGCGGCGCTCAGTGGTACCCTCTCAAGTGGTATGATGTATCTGTGCGTGAGGGTGAGTCTGACCTTAGTCTGTACAAAAGGAGCAGTGGTCGTTCTTGTTATCAAGATATCAAGGATGTCAACCTCAACTGGTCTTCTCATTGAAAATGGCGAGAGAGTTCTCGAACTACTCGACAAGAGAGATGGAATCTATGACTACCTTTCCCGCAGCCTGCTTCAGTCTGGAACATAAAAGTCAAACGAGAACGAGAAGTTGTAGATCTGCGAGAAGCCAGAAAAGAGTCCCGATCTTAATGATTTTATCGCTCGGTGATATAAATAAATTCAATTTATCCCATCTCGTTTCATCTATAATGTGCCCTCTTAGTGCGGTCCAGTTATTTTGTCGTTTTTTTCCACGACCCAATTCCATCGCAATTTTGTACAGAAAATTCGTGCATCTGCATGATTGGCATTTCCTAGGATTGCGTGCTTAGTTTTTTCTCGAGTTGGAAGGTAGATTTTCCTCTGTAAGATGAAATAGGCAGTTAGACAACTACCTCGGAAGCCATGATTTACACACTACATAGCTAACTTACCACAAAGCGACTATTCCGATGTCGTCGAAGTGAGCAAGAGTAAACGTGGAATCAATTATCTGGTTAGGGGTGATTCAATATTTAATTCATTGTGTGGGCTGAAAGCTTGTTTGTTTATGAAAATTGAAGACGAACCATCATGAAGAAGAACAAGAAGCTGGTCTGGCGTGTAAAGCAATCGCCTGCTGTATCTGCTTCTGCAGGTTCGAATGGTGGTGATTCAACTGAAAATGTGAAACCCGCCATTGCGCCAGCACAAGGAAATCAAGCAGAGAAAGAAAAAGCGCAGATAATGAAAAAAGAAAGATTAGTAAAGCATGACAAGAAGCCCGCTTATTCTTTGTGGGATACAGATCCCGCAGAAGCCCATAAGGTGCAGGAGGAACTGTTAGGAAAAAACATCACAGATCGATCAATATTTGCGGCAATTTTTCCGGAGGGACGTCTGAGATTGGTACTGGATGAGGATCATGTTGGGTCGGCGGATAAGAACGTCGTTGACACTGTAGGCGGAGTACTGAGTTTACCAGGAATGTTGGACGTCGACTTCTACTCAGACTCCGGCGCGTGCTCAAACGACGCAGAGGAAGAGGTCAAAAAGAACGTCGCGGCGCGGATAGTAACCGTGTCTGGACTTAACGGGGACACATTGGCGAAGCTTCCTTTTATCGACGATCGCGGTCATTATGTCACCCTGCGCCAACTGAAGCAGAGGCTCGAGAAACTCTGTGGAATTCCTTGGAGGGCCCAGCGCCTTTTTTTGGACGACAGGGAGCTCGAAGACGTGGATAGTGCGAGCGATATAACTACTGCAACAAGCCGGGTAGTTTCTGACTTGATCAACACCATCATCGCGCCGCGAACCGCGGAGGGAGATATTTACTGTACCGATTCGGAGCTCGAGGGAGGTGGTGGTAAATGGATGTGGATCAAGAGAGATGATAGTGCTACTTCTAGACCTCATTCTGGTAGGAATGCGCTGCCGAGAACGAAGGCCGCTTCGGCATCATTTGCAGGTGCAACGGATATAATTAATAGTTCGGAAGATACGCACGTCGAAGCGGTCTCTACGCTAGAGCTAGACAGGTTAGAGCAACTTCTTGATGAAGACGATGGTAGCTTGAAGGTACATGTGTTACGGCGTGAGTTGTCAATTTGGGAACAGGAACTCCAGATCATTCGAGAAATTTGGCATGTTGATCTACACTGGGAGCGTGATCTGGCTCGCCGGCTGTTGTCCTTTGGGGAAGTGTTCAACGTAGATCGTGGGACACTGCACTCGGCCTATAAATCTCCCTCAACACGGTTCTGGGCGGCTGCTGCAACTTCTGGCGTCTTTTCTTCTCCGAACGGTAGAGGTATAAGCGAGATATCTTGGTGGAAAAGCTCCTATCCCCCCATAGACCTGTTCTACGAGGTGATCGCTTCGCGGGATCTCTGCGCTTCGCATCTGCGCGAGTTTAGGGTTCTCGACTGCCCGTCCCTTACCGAGGAGCACGCCGCAAGATTAGTCGGGGTCCTAGCCAAATTTATGAGTGACCATGAAATCAACGACAATATTGTTTGCATCTTGTTTGTTCCAGTGAAGGTGGAGCATCGCCTCTGATGTGTGATGGGTAGTTGGATAAGGAATTCGCCAAGATGTTCTTCAGAACGATGTTGCATGCTTTGATCCACCCCTAATTTGTGTTGCCCGAACCTGCAGGTAGTCTCCTTTGATGTTAAGGATTTCTGCAGCCCGCAAAATGGCACGGAAGAGGAAAGGAGATTGTGGTGGGGAAAGCGGCGGGAAGAAGATGAAGACGGGAAAACGAGCCGAGAGGCGGAAGCGATCCAGTGTAATGATCGCGTAGCTTTGTATCGCCTAAAAGCCGACGCCGCCGCTGCCGATTACGTCGCTAGTCTAGTTCATCCACGAACTCTTGAGAAATGACCTGTAGTCGTGGGTAGATGTAGATGAAACTATGTTTCTCTATGACTATAATGAGGTTAGTCCGGCTCCACCTCTTCCTCTGCCGCCTCGTTCTCATCCCTCTTGTTCGCAATAGTATTGTCCCCCCTGCGCAACGCGGCGCTGTTTCCTTGATCTCGAGGTCCATGTCGTCAACAGTGTAGGGTAGGAAGTTCTAATCTGAAAGGCGAAGAGCGTTACTGCCAGCGGACGTGATGGCAGTCCTGGAGCAGTGCCCGCCTCCGCGGATCGAGGACGCAGTGGACGAGCTTCGCACGGCCTGCCCAAATCTCCGCGACGTTGACATTCTCTTTGATACTTCGTTATCCTCTGTCCGGCTGACGCTGACTGGGAAAGAAAGCTTGACATAGAGCTCCATATACATCTTAGATCCAGCAGAACTGGCATTGGTTCTTTCCGCTAGGCGGCTGTCACAGTTGATTTAGACTTGGATTTAGAAACCTGCAATCGTTGAGAACAACAAGGAATCGCCTTTGGCTTGGGAGATCTCTACTCTTGTGCCAGTCTACCAGCTGATTGCATGTATTTAAAGATGCTAAATCCCGCGAATGGGTAATCAGAGTAACGATCGAAATGCCCAAGCTTCAAAAGAAAATGATCTGAAAAGATTTTGGTGTGAAGGAGGCGATGAGAAGATCTCCAAGAACGGTTCACATGCTGAAAAAATTCCACGATCACGTAATAGCAAGGTCAATCCCCTAATTTCGCATACCTTCAATGTCTCGGAGATGCGAGAACAAGCAAGATTTAGATAATTTGGTGATCCCACGTGAGGCCCTTTTCTTTAAATCCCGCAAAACGTGCTCGGACGTTGGATTTTCGAGTCTCCATGGATGGTCTAAAAGAAAATATTCGAGCAAAAATAGCCATTCGCTTTCCCGTATGATCTTCTCTGTCAAAAGCGAGAGACGATGTACGAAAGATCCAAGAGATGATACGCATCAAAGATCCATATGCACTTTGCACGGTGTGAGATCCGACTCAAAGAAGCTCCGGCAGTTCGCAAACCCCACCACTGATTTAGTATGTTCTTGAAGGTCTGGCTCTTTGGTCCGTTGAAAATCGCAGTCAAGGAATTGGTTTCAACATCTAAAACACCTAGACCAAGAATATGAACTTTTTTCAATTGATCTAAATCAAAAAAAAATAATCTGAAATACCATTCTATAAAAAAACAGGGAACCGTTAGTCGTGGTCTAGACCCCGTGAGTAGGTCTTTAGACTATAGAGTAGGTCGTTTTAAAGATCTGAAGCCGACAAGATGACGAAGGGTACGAGTTCTATGGGTAAGCACAACAGCCACTCACATGGCTTGTGCATTCGCTGTAACGCTCGTGCTTTCCACTTGCAGAAGAAGCGCTGCGGAAACTGCGGATACCCGGCAAAGAAGATCCGAAAGTATTTCTTTTTACTTTTTCAGAAAGAAAACTCGATAAAAGTACTCCACTATAGGATCCACCTACCTGAAAGCGTACATAGGCTAGTACCGTGATACATACTCTGCTGGGGAGTTCCTCAGAAAAAATGCCTGAATGAAACATATTTGTCAGGTTTCCTACTGCTACTAATATCTATTGCTAGAAATAATTACCAGGGATACAATGCTGCTCATGTGGTCATGAGTGGCGATGCCTAAATTCTGTGCACTGGGTATTGTCCCGTAGTGTCATGGTGTAGGCAGTATCCTAGAGCAAGGGCGGCCGAGTTGAGTTTCGGCTCCTCGGCCCCTCGGCCTCATATTCCTTGTCGTGGCAGGTGCTCATACGTGTAGGGTCGTTCTGCGGCCAAACTGCCAGGTCAAACCATGGGGCAAACAGAAGTGTTATTGTAGAGAAAGAGTTGGCCACCGATTAGTAAGATTTAGATATTTACGACACATGCCAACCTAGTATGTCCTTTCTTCTAAAAATATTCTTCACAGACTCTTCACGCAAAAATCATCACTAAATTAGGTACAATTGGTCCATGAAAGCCATCCGCCGCAAGACCACTGGAACTGGCCGTTGCCGCTACCTGAAAAAGCTGCCGCTTAAGGCGAAGAACGGCTTTCGTGAGGGAAGCACTCCGCAGGAGCGTCGCAAGAACCGCCAAGACCGCAAGTAAGTTTGTTGACTACCATGATGACAATATTGGCACTATAGTAGTGTTTTCCAAGGAATCATCACGAGAGTAAACGACCATACGAACTTGAGGCTGAGGAGAAAACGACGAACCAGAACACCGATCCGCAAATGTTGAAGCATCATCCTGTGAGTGGCGGGAATGCGTTGATGTGTCGTGGGCATCATCTGAGGAGCTTATGATGTCGTAAGCGATCAAGTTCACGGATATCAAGCTCACTTGTAACGCTTAAGGATGTGGAGACTTTTTCCCTCCGCTAAGCTTCTGCAGATGTAACATCATTGCGAGTATGCATCGACTTTGTGTCTGGAATCTACTCTGACTTTACACGCATCTCAGCGTCACCCCGCGGGTGTGTGTGACGGGCGACTCTTCGGATTTATGAGATCGTGTTCGGACGTTAGTCTCCTGGTAAAGGGATTGGGCATCCGTCAACTTCGATCTATTTTTCCATTCGTCTGAAGACGTTGATAATATCAATCAATCTCGTTCGGGTACCTGATATAAGGTCTGTCTGCTTGGCGTTTGTAACAAGTACTCGGTTCGTATCTGCATAAGACTGTTGCCGGTCTGCGTCAGGAATGTCAGTGTGAGATTGCGCGTTGGGTTGAGTGAAACGCATGTGATTTGATCTGAGCCAGCGACTTCCCCCTACAGTTCGGTCTTCTCCCCAAACAAGCGCAGAGTCTAGTTCGGTCGAAAGTTAATTGGAGTTCGACTCTCCTTCTCACCTTGATACTTTTTGTCGACCCTAATTTCCTTCTTTCTTGCTCCGCAAAATTTTAAGGACCTACGTCTATGCATTCATTTTTAGGTTAGCTCAGCTGGGTAGAACTGATTGTGTCACATGATTATGCACTAATCCACCACATTCGAAACGTCTAAATAGGATCGTTTTGTATCAAGCGTCAAACGTCAAACAATAGTGAAGTGTCGTTCTTGCTTTCAAGCGCGGGCTTCGGTCGTTGATGGGTGAGGCAGTTCACGTTTCCAAGTTAGGAAGGCGAATCTGGTTCCCAGGTGGGCCCGTCGTTCACGGCGATCTCTTCGGATTTTCGGTCACCTCCGTGGTGCTGGCGATCACCAAACCATCCTTGTCGGTGAAACGCGCGTAACGCCCACATTATCCTGTCGCGCGTGGTCTTCGTCGTTTAGTAGCAGGTGGCCCAAACGTCCTGTCGTACCTCCTCTGCCTTTTGACATGACAGCAATCCTACCTTGACCTACCGTCGACAGCACCTGAAAATAAGCGACGACTGTGGGGCATCTACTTCGCAGTACACCTAGCGACAATAGCGGCCACTTAGCAGCAGTAGGGGCAGACGGGGAACAGATTATTATCTTCTGCTCTATTCACGTAGCAGGCAGCACTAGGCGCAGCCGCAGATGTTCTCTTCTTGGGACGGTCAGTTTGTGGCGTTCACCCACAACGATGATTCGAGATGGGTGCCCGGATTGTGTGCTCGGGAGGAGACATCCCGGTTTTAAGGTTTCCCCCAATCCATCTCAGGAAGCATTCTTGAGACGTTTTCAACGGGAAAACGGGCCCAGGAAGGATGGTGCTCAGGATGGACAAGGGTGAGCTCGAACGGCTGCTGCACCACGCTTCTTTCGCGAAGATTCTGGAGCGTGATGTGGGCACGCATGGGATTATGAACCCTAAAGATGCAGACGCAGGGAAAAAAATTATGAACCCTAAAGATGCAGACGCAGGGAAAAAGATCATTAGAGGGAAATTTCAGGTACTGATACGAGAAGAAGTAGGACGAAGGAATTTTACGTTTTGTTCTTGTTAGTGTGTGGCGAATTGTAGACACAGCCGACGAATTGTAGTCTCAATGCTTCGAGTTTTTGGTTTCTCGAAATCTCTTCTGAAATTCCCTCACAGGACAAGCTGCAAGAGACATTGGCTAGCTGGCTTCCGACGGCAGCGGAGTTAGCGTCATCCGACGATGATTAAGGCTTCCCTGAATTCATCTTGATACGTATCTTGGAGGGGTGTTGTAAGGGGCAATGGCTACCAAGATATATCGGGATTATGTTGTCGGGAAGGTCTAAGATGTGCAGCAGGAAGCGTCGCTCGATAACGGTGGAGGGGTCCAGTCTTTGGAGGACTGGCGAGCACCCGAATTTGGCTCTGAATTGCAAGCGATGGCACGTCGTCTCGGTGTCAGTTAAGGCCTCACGTAAATCCATCTTTGCGTCTATCTGTGGGCCGTTTGAGTCCATCTTTCAGTTCATCTGTTCATCATTTTTTTCAAGTGGGCTGAAAGATCCGTATTCATAGGCATCTCGGATACTGAGTCGTGTAAGCGGGATACGGGTCCCAGATAAATACCTTTGAACATGGATATCCGGGAGGTCTAAGATAGGCCCGGAGCCGGGTTGAGCGACGACTACTCTTTGGAGACTCCGACGCAGAGTCCTCCTGCTCCAGTACGTTGTAGTAAGTCTCGAAATCGTGGCGCCGACACGCCTTCGCGTCCTGTTCTTGCTGACGGACTAGAGGGGACAGCAGTTGCAGCAAGCGAAGGCATATTACGACAGGAAAAAGTGTACTCAGTTTTCTTTTACACCCCTGGAGTGGGTACATTCATTCACTCATTCACTCATTCTTTCACTCACTCAATACTCAATATACTCATGCTCATGCAGCTTTCATCTATTTAGAAAGTGCCTCCTGTCTTGAGGATGAGCACAATTTTTCCTTTCATAAGCATTTCCAGAAGCAGGAGAGAGCGAAGAGAACGAAGACGATGCCTCTGATGGAGCATTGTCAGGGACGGAAGCGATGGGAAGTAAAGCGAAGAGTAGTAAAACGAGCACAATCGGCATCGATCCCGTTCTTATCGTGGAAGAAGTTTGGTCCCCTTCGCCTAGCAAATCGAATGTCGACAATATTAGTTCAACGGGGGGAGGGAGTCTAGCGGCAAAAGGGGAGCCGACTCCGATGATAGACGCTCGTGCAACATCAACCTCGTCCAATGCCCTAGAGACGACCACAACACCGAAAGGGCTCAACCTTCAGCCTTCAACATTCAACATTAATTAAGGCTCAACCTTCAACATTCTTGGTCATTGAGGTTGGTTGGTCACTGAGCGAGCTCAAAGGAAGGGGGACACTTTGAGAGACCAGGGGGAGACGCGTGGGGCCCTTTTCTTTCAGAATCAGTGACCACTGACTGCCAACCTTTAACTACAGCAATCACAGGCTACTCCGAAGCAATCACCACAGCAATCACCGCAATCCACATCCGCGGCACCCGCATCGCGTAGCTCGACTCTACAAGCCGCTGCTGCAGGTCCATCTTCAAGCGGAGGCGGCAAAACTACTTACGGCTTGATTTTCATATGTTACAGTTGCAGTATCCATCTTCTTCTTCATCTAGTAGGAAAGTGAAAGTATTTGGAAAGTATTCTGAACAACATGTTTTCCTCAAATGAGTCGTATCAGTATGCTTTTTTTCTCCTGAGACTAAAAACAGATTAAAACTTCCTTGTGATTGCACTCTAAAAGAAGCAGCAGCAGCAGGCCTCGTCACCTGCTAGCCAGAGCGAAGTGGACCCAAATGCGTCGCTTGATGTGAAAGCGGCGAAGCAAGCGAAGCAGAACGCCAAGGCTGAGCAAGCACAACAACTAACGATCGCGGACGCCAAACGGTCTGAAGAAGCGGCTATGAAGGCATCAAACGACCAATACCTGGAAGATTGCATGGTCGGATTCATGAAAGTGGGTGCAGCTGGGGTGGTATTTACAACTCTGTAGACTTAGTTACCCTTTTCTCTTTTCTATCTTCCTCTGGTCTGTCTTTTTTCTAGTTAGGTCGGCGATACCACAAACATTATGTTTGGTAGGTTTGGTAGTAGTTGTTGTAGTGCCACTTATAAAAACAAGACTCTAAGTACTCGTCTTCGCTGGCTATCGGTGCTGCTAATGTTTTCATTCTGTAGACAAGCAGGATCAGATACATCATGGTTACAACAAGGAATTACAACACTGATTAGAAGAGGTTCTGGTAGTGAAAAATTTATAAGACTTTCTGTGAAAGGCACTGCAATCACCTCATGCTAGGCACATTCATTCACTCACTCAGTAACAAGGGCCTCCTTCCCCGAGAATTTGAATTCTTTCACTCCAGAAGTCGAGTAAAGACGAGCAGCCGGAGAAAAAGAAGGTGTATTCAGGCGAAATTGAGCGGGCGAAGCTGCGGTTAGAGCAGAAACTGAGGAAGAAGAGACTTCTCGGTCAATGGTGACAGGGTTTTGAACAAGCAAAATCCGATGTAGAAAGTACTTAGAAAGTTGTTTTTGCAAGAACGAAAGCGATGCCAAGTCATTTTTGCTACAAGGTTAAAAACACTCATTTTATTCATTCTGCCAAGAAGAACTACACGGACGCTAAGAAGAACTAAGTACAACATGGGCACCGGTCAACCTCAACACCCGTACTAAAGATTTTGTTTTTGATGCAGGCGTTTTTTTCAAGCGCAAGTCATTTTCTTGTGCATTATGAGTTTTGACGTGGTCTAATGGATGTCGAGTTATTTTTAAGAATTCCACCAAGACCAAAACCGTTCCTCTAAAAAGGTCGTGGAGCAGAAGGATTAAGTTCCCTAGTACCTAAGGTCTGTTTCCTGCGCAACGACGAACGTCCACCACAGTGGGTTACAGATCGGCAAGATTCCCAGCTTTGGCTTGTCGGTTAGTGAAATATCGAATCTGTATCTGAAGAAAAATCATTGAATAGGAGAGCCGATGTCGGTTAGGCACTCTCACTCTGTGAGTCGGCAGTTTACTATTGCTCAGCTGTTAATATCGGTTTTCATGCCCGGTCTGTGCATACAAATAGGATTCTCCTTGTTGTCAATCGGTTTTTGGAAAACCACGATGTTGCGCGGCACACCGTTAAGCACCATGAGATTTCACCATGAGATCACACCAACGCACCTGCTCCGATACGTTGATACGTTTTGTGTTGAAATAGCGTGGACGTGAGTTCTCTTGCTTCTCTCGATTTTAGTAGGGAATGAAATCCTTAATAACTGTAAAGGAGAGCAGTAATCTTTCTCTCCATTCTAGCTGCACTGTTCTTTCCGCTTCAAAGCCTATTAGAGAAATCTCACTCCTTCGTCCAGAGAACCGCCTCCACTGCCATCATGCCATGACCACGTACGCGTTTGCCGGCGACCACTTGCTCCATCGACGCCTGAGCTGATCCGCCTTTGGTGGGATACTTCGCGCTTACTTCCATCTTCATCTTTGTTGACCAGCACGGAAGAGTACCAGCTTGATCTATTTTAACCGGATCGGAAGGCTGTCACCTTCATCTTCTAACCTTCACATGTTCAAGCAATGGGACGGTCAGTGGGTGGGTTTCACGCACGACGACGACGCCCGCTGGTGTCCTGGCCTTACCTACCGAGATTAAGGGGCAGAGTGAATCCATCTTTCCAAATATCTTGGCCTACTACTTAGGGACCTATTATTTGGAACTGGGGTCTTAGGAACCTATTACTTAGGAACCTATTACTTAGGAACCTACTACTTAGGAACGCCATACTAAGGATTCCTATTCCTTCTACTACGGTAAGGGTCAAAGATTCCCTTCCACTACGTTTGAATCCCAAACTATGCTTTTCTTGGTCGGAGGTCTAGAGGTCGTGATGGAAAGATTGAAGATGCGATACGAGATGAATTCGCTCTGTTTCTAATGAGAAGAGACATCCAGGTATGCTTATCATGCAACACTCGCAAAGATACTGGAAAGAAATCTGCGGAGACCGGCAGATATGTCGGAGGAAGCGAAAGAGGAATTCCAGGTTCGCCTTCCTTCAAGATTTGAAAGCAGAGAACAAGTAGAATAGAACTTCTGCCTCATGTTTGGGAACACTATTGCTACTCCGACTAGACACAAAAATGTCGATTGTAGTAGAGAAGTCAGTGTATCTTCACCATGGCAAAGTGGAAATGTTTTTTTCATGATTCTTCTTGTCGCAGGACATGAATCAGTACGTCAATTAATCAATTTGTCAATTTAAATCAAACAGGGCGAGCTGCATGACGCGATGGCGAGTTGGCTACCGACTAGTGCGGACCTTGCGCCTTCTGAAGGTGAGAGTTCGCGACCGCCAACTCACGAGTCGGTGGACACGTGGCGATCGTCCGAGTGTGGAGAGAGGTTAAGGATTTTTTGCAATCGAGATCGGATCCAACTCAATAAGTTCATCTACAAGCATCAAGTATTCTGTGCTTGGCAGCGTTTTATTCGAGGGGAAGAAGATCTACTTTTGTAGTACGAGTAGATTCATTGTATGGTCATGGTCTTGAAGATGAACATGAATTTAGAGAACTCATTAAGCTCCTCTTGTATGGTCATGGTCTTGAAGATGAACATGAATTTTCAGATTCATTGTACCTATTCATTGTATGGTCATGAACATGAATTTGGGGAACTCAAAAAATAAAATTCTAAAGAAAGTAGCGGCGAAAGAGAAGAAGCTAGGGCTTCGCGTGGACTTTGTAGAGCAAGCTTGGCAGCGGAACGCACAACGTGTGCGAACAGCGGAGCATCGCGCACGTAGAAAACGAGAAGACGAGGCCAGGAAAGCTGCGCAGCATTATGGTCAACATTTAGTGTCCATGTTTCTCGGCATCTTGGTACCTTTTTCCCTTGTATTTCATGGGGAAAGGGTCGAGATGAGGGGACTGAGATGAGTACAGGCTGACTCTAACTGCAAGAGCAAGGCGTTGACTATAGTACGAGCAAACAAAGCAGTCCTAAGGCTGGAGGAGCTCGTGGAAGTGTATCAATGGCATCCACTCAGCAAAGTCAAGCGTCACAATTATACGGTAGCGGAGGTCCTCTTGGGACTAGCAGATACTCAGCGAGTTCCTCAAAAGGAGGAATGAATAGTACAGAGCAAACGAAAGTAGAGTCGTGGCTGTCGCGCAACATTAAGACAACCAAGTAGAGTACTGGACAGTAAAGGTTTTTTCATGCTTTAAATGACTGAATGGACAGTGCAAAAATGGGTTCTTTCATGCTCTAGTAAAAGAGATGACATATTAGCATACTTCAACTTCCACGTCGGGCAGTAGATGCGACAGAGACTTACTCTCACCATTGGACACGTAGGAGTAGAGGCGCATGTGACATTCCTCTCCGGAAGACGCAGTTCTAATAGTAGCGGAGACGCAGAGCGGAGTGGCGCGGGAGGCGGTAGTGCGAGCGAGGAGGAGATGCACCCTCGACGGCGAGCCAAGCCAGAGGCTGTGCGACACGTAGCAAGGCAGTTGGAGAAGGAGAGACTGGCAGTAGCGGAGCAGGGCCTTCTTCTCGAGCAAAGTAATCGAGATAGCATTACGGCCACTTTGCTTCATGGGATACTACATTTTGCGATGATGTACATAGATATAATTCGTAATTTTCAAGACGTGCATGCAGATATACTAGACTTCAGGGCCCGACAGCTCTCCCTCCACTAGAATCTTCCACCTCCTTCAAGCATTTCCTCCGCCAAGACGCGCCCCCCCCGCTCCTCTTCCGCCAGCTCGCGGCGCTTCTTTGGCGGAGTTGATCCGCGGCAGAGGAGTCGTGGCAGAGGCGCCGCGGAATTTGACAGAGGGGGCCGCCCCTCTGAGGTTTTTGAGATGTTTCAGAGTTTACCTGCTTTTGAATATAGTGCAAGTGCTTGGGCTGGAAGTCTTGATCCGAGTGCAAAGCTTACTTTAAGCTTAAGCTTTTTGGGGTGGGGGCTTCACTTCTCAGAGCCAGTTTGAAGCTTTTAGCTTGCAGCTCGAAGCGAAGCCGCTGGCGTTCAGTTTGAGGCTTTGAGCTGCAGCGAAGCTCTAGGCGTAAAGCTTCGGGCTTGGCGCTTCGATTTTGGGGCTTTGGGTTTGCAAGCTGAGGCTTTGGGCTCAGGGCGTAGCTGGATTTGGAGGGTTTTGTCTGGCGTTTTGGACTCGAGACTTTGGGTCTGAAGGCTTAGGCTTCACATTTTGAATGTTATGCTTTGGACTTGTACATTGGGTAGCGCAACTTCCATCGAAAAACTTGCAATCATACTTTAAGTAAATGCTAACCTAATACTGCCTGTATTTCTCGGCTCTTATCTCTTGTTTGCCAGTTATATGCTCTGGATTTGAAGCCTTCGACCTGAAGGCTTGGGGCTGAAGCGTTAGGCCTGAATTGTTGGACTTGGGGGCTCGGCCTTGAAGGTTCGAGCATGAAGCCTCGGGCTCGAGGCGTTAGGCTTAAATTCTTGCGCTTGTGGTCTTCGGTTTGTTGTTTTGAAGTCGAGTCCTCGAATTTGAAAAGTTTGAAACTTGGCCGCGGCTGATGAAAGAAAAAAGCTCGGCACTTTACCCCAAAGTAGTAGACTTTTTAACCATATCGCTTAGAATTTTAATTGGGCTGCTTGTGGTCGCGATTGGCTACACATCACGGGCCGCGCGTTGGCCGAGGTCGCGACCGTAGGTGAATGACATGCCACGCCTGTGGCCTTGGGGTTGAGTACTCGAATTTGAAAAATTTGCCGCTTAGCCTCGGCTGACAAAGTCAAAAACTTTGCTTCTTTAGCCCGAAAGGGAGGGGCTTTATTTGGACTTTATCGCTTAGAATTCAAATTGGGTCGCCTTCGGCCGTGATTGGCTACACATCACCGGCAGCGCGTTGGCCGGCGTCGTGATCGTAGTCCAATGACATGCCACGCCTGAGGCCGCGGGCGTGCGGTCTTGAGCCTGGGGCTTTGGGGTCGACTTTTTAAATTTTAGAAGCTTGAACTTTGTTTCTGACTGATCAAATCAAAAACCTCGCTACTTTAGGCTAAATGAGCAACGTTTTTGATTATATCGTTTAGAATTTTTATCGAATCGCATGCGGCCGTGATTGGCTACGCGTGGGCTGGAATTCATTGCTGGGCGATAAAGTCACGAGCTTCGCTGTCTTAGCCTAGTATAGCAACGCTTTGGACTACATCGCTTAGAATTGAAGCCGAGCCGCTTGCGGTCGTGATTGGCTTGCTACTCGTAGGGGGAGCCTCGTGCCGGGCCGTTAAAGTCAAGACTAAAGCTTCGCTATTTTCGTCTACAAGTGCAAAGCTTTTGGTTATATCGCTTAGAATTTAAGCCGAACCGCCTGCGGCTGTGATTGGCTACGCGTAGGCCGGGACTCGTTTCTGGCTGGCACAGCCGAGGGCTTCGCTTTTTTAGCCTAAAGCAGCAAAGTTTTTGACTCTGTCGCTTAGAATTGAAATCGAACCGCCTGCGGCCGTGATTGGCTACGCGTAGGGCGGGCCTCGTTCCTGGCCGATAAAGTCAAAAGCTTCGCTACTTTTGCGGAAAATAGCAAAATTTTTGATTATATCGCTTAGACTTGAAATCGAACCGCCCGCGGCTTTGATTGGCTACGTGTAGGCCGGGCCCCGTTTCTGGCTGATAAAGTCAAAAACTTCGACACTTTTGCCGAAAAGAGCAAAATTTTTGATTATATCGCTTAGAATTGAAATCGAACCGCAGGCGGCCGTGATTGGCTACGCGTAGGGCGAGCCTCGTCTCTGACTGATAAAGCCAAGAACTTCACTACTTTCGCCGAAAATAGCAAAATTTTTGACTATATCGCTTAGAATTGAAATCGAACCGCCTGCGGCCGTGATTGGCTACGCATAGGGCGAGCCCCGTCTCTGACTGATAAAGCCAAGAACTTCGCTACCATAGCCGAAAATAGAAAAATTTTTGATTATATCGCTGAGTATTTAAATCGAACCGCCTGCGGCTGTGATTGGCTAGCTACGCGTAGGCCGCGCCTCGTTTCTGGCTGATGATATCAGGCGCCGCCATTTTAGCCTAAAGCAGCAAAATTTTGGATTATATCGCTTAGAATCTAAGCCGAACCGCCTGCGGTCGTGATTGGCTACGCGTAGGTAGGCCGCGCTTCGTTTCTGGCTGATAAAGTCAAAAACTTCGCTATTTTCGCCTAACGTAGCAAGGCTTTTGACTATATCGCTTAGGATTTTTAATCCAATCGCTTGCGGTCGTGATTGGCTACGCGTGGGCTGAGCTTCGTAACTAGAACTCAGAGTTTCGTAAGTTCTTAAGTTTATAAGTGTACCCGGGTGCTGGGGGTTCGGGCGCTGGGGGTGGGGGTTCGAAAGTGGGAGAGTGAGAGTTTGGCGGGGTCGTTGTTGGTTTGTATTTATTTGGCTCTTTGTTTATTATTTCTCATTTCCGTTACTTCGAGAGAGTGTCATAGTGAGGCTACTCACTCTAAATTTTGCTCAGGACCAATATTTGATTGTAATTTCCGAAAGTGCATGCATCACGGTTCTTTTTTCTGGCTCTCATTCTCGATGGGGATTCTGAAAGAACATGTTTAGAAGGGATCGAATTCACAATCAGGTGCGAAATTTAAGAGTTGTTCGACTTCTAATCACAGCAGTATTATGAGCGCATCGAGCACTCTCTGTACTGTGACCGCGTCGAGTCTGAGCAGTGCTAGTACCTCGCTTCGCTCTGTGGCTCCGCCTGTCGTTAGCAAGAAAAATAGGATGAGGCGACTGAATACGAAAGCTATGGCTTTCAGTAGTCTTGGCGGATCGAGGGTAGGCACGGTCTTCTTTGATCCTAGCGGCACCAAGGCAGACTCGCAAAGCAAACAAGGCTCGCCGAAGGCAAACAAAATTGGTGATCAACATCATTCCGCTGCGGCGGACCCAGGAGGTTCCGGAGGCCGTGACGCATCGAGGAAAAAGTCAAAGACGAGTAAGAAAGCAGTAGAACATTTTGAGCAGCAAACCGCTGGCTCAGCAGGATCTCCAATGGCTACCCTGCGAACAGCAGACTCTCCAACAAGTGGCCCTCTAGAAGGCGGAAGTTCGCCAACATCAGGAGGTTCGCCGTTCTACACTACCGCTGCTAGTTCCTTCCAGGCCGCTGATGGATCACCTGGGTTGCAACAATTTCATCACCCAGGCTCTCCTAACGCAGTATCGCCCGGTGACGTGGACCTGACTATATGAAAGAAAAAAACGTACTCATGAAGATCCTCGAGAAACCCAGTAGACCCGCTTCTTCCCGCGTGCGGCAAGCCCGGGGAGAATCTCTCGACTGATTGACTGTAGGCACGTTCTTCTCACTTTGTTTCAGATTTGACCAGGGAGGGTTCGACATGAAGCACAGGACCATGGCCATAAGTCTCTAAGTAGGGAAATGCTTCTTAGACTATGTTCTTGAGAAGTACTTTTTATCTATGTTCACTCAAGATGAAGCTTCCTTTCCTTTCATAGGCCGCATCACTACAAGAGGAGGACACTTCTAGTAAGGCAAGGCCGCGTCCAGGAGAGGACCCCTATGCGCCGGATCCTAAGACGAAGAAGAAGAAGAAGGATTCCAAGCGAGAGAAGGCAAAGGAACGGCTTGCGCAGGACGCCCGACGGACCGAGGAGGAAGCGCTACAGCGTGCGCGAGAACTCGTCTTAGAAGAAATGAATTCATCTTCGAAACTCTCTGGCGTACTACTGATTCCTAACTTCTTCTAAATGTAAATGTTCTTGGCTTTCTTTAACTTTGTTCTTATAGATTTGTAGTGGAACAATAGATCAAGTAGGTAGCTGTTCGTCCCTATTTGTGTATACCTGGTACCTATGGCTGATACATACCTACTACATACCTACTGAAGAATGATACCATGATCAGGGAAACGAGGAGTACGTGAATCCGTTGATGAAGCATGGAGAATATGAGCGGGAGATTATGAAGATCAGCGCGAAGAAGAACGCCAGACATTATTCGCGCAAATTTCCGTTAAGGCTTGAGGATTCACATTTAAAGAGATTTTTTACTGAGGGTGGACCAAGAAGATGCTCAACACCAAGATGGGTTGATTCCTGCAAGTGGGTTGCTCTAACTCCAACGATTTTCCGAGAATTACAAAAACAGCTACGAAGCTACGTGGCAGAGCAAAAGCGAGCAGAGTTTTTGGCGCACTTGAAAAAACACCAGGCGCGTGGCCAACAAGAGCGTGACAACCGCGCGGACGCAGTTCTGTTACGACTAGAACTTTCACAAATAGTGATTACACTTTGTTTTTGCTTGACAATACTTAGTTGTAGTTGATTTGCTTTGTTGACCGCATCCCTGCAAAAAAAGTCTCTCCCTTTCTTTATTGATTCCTCTAATGTTGAAAGGCGCACGTAAAGACTGGGGAGAGATCAAATACGGAGGTCCTGGGGCGATGATGATGGGCAAAGGTGGGGGGAAATCAATGCTAGGCCTCCGAGCAGCGGCGATGATCATAAGAGACCAGGTGCACGAGGTATCTAAAGGATATCGAGACTGCTAAAGAATTCGAGAAGGCTAAGAAAATCCTTTAATTATGCTTATAAATATTTTTCCTCTACTAGTAAACTATCATCTAGAAGAAAGAACAACAGAATTAATTGCGTGAGGATACCAACCTCCCTGACTCTGTAATTGCCTGAGAAGCACACGCTGCAACTCTGCTGCAACTCTTCTCCTCCAAGTCCATTCGGACTAGAAGGGGTCTTCTACTCCTCACGACCACAGGGCGTCCTGCGGGACTTCGAGGAAGAGCAGAAGAGTCGAATATCGCGTGCTGTCGCGAGAGCTCGCGAGAAAGAGCTAGAGATAACACGGGAGACTTCTGAGATACGATTTATTCAGAATCAAAGCGGTCCTCGTGTCACGGATGTTGGCTGGCCTCTAAACTTAAGGGTGGTTCCCTCCTTGCATGCTGCACTTGCATCCCGCCTGAGTTGACCTTTTCTAAGATGGAAACTCGTCAGGGATGTTCTGAAGAGTGCAATGTGGAAACCTCTAATATACTCACCACGAGAGTATCCTGGCTTGGAACACGGTGCGGAGATCTTCGGCGAAGCCTTCAAGCAGATCGCACTAGAAAAATTTGCAGATCGCGATTTTCTGTCCAAGTTAGGCCTTTTTTGATTCATCATTCTGGGATATATATTGATTCATATGCATAGAGTACTTACTTATCTGCCTCATAATTTGTAGGGAGGACTCATGGGTATTCACAGTTGTAATGATGGGCATTGGTTCACAGCAGTGATGGGCATTCAATCGTAGTATGGTTTCTACTCAAATATGAGTGTCACTCAGGTATAGGTGCTAATAAATGAGAACTGCCTGGGTGCCACAGCTCTAATCTTCGCAATGGACGAGATGTCTCTGCGTGATTGCATGTCTTTGGCAGATATGGACCAAGAATTGAAGACCCTAGTGAAACAAGAGCAGAAGCGTCGCGCTGGTGGCATAGTGGCAGGCTTGGGCGATGGAGGAAGTAGGGGAGGCAACTTTTTCCAAAGATCCGGACCCGCGGAAGGAGCTGGTGCGGGGGAAGGTAACACCTACTACAACATCATTTGTTCTTTCTGTACTTAGACCGCAGATCATGACTTTAGTCTCGATTTTCTTATTTTTCATCTTCCAGGTCTCTAATCAATCTTTCATGAACATTTCATTTAAGTTAGTTTCACGGAGTCGGAGGATCCAGCATCTAATAGCCTCCTCCAGTGAAAATACTCATTAGAGGCTCAAATAACACCGACCGATTCTTTTCTTCTCCTCTCGTCCAGGTGGTTACCTCGGTTACAGCATCGGCAGGGTCGGCGTTGGGGGAGTCGCCCTGAACAAGGTGGACAAAATTCAGTTGATAAAGAACCAAGATTCGAACATGCGAACAGTATTGCCTGGTGCCGGTGGGCAGGTTCTGCGGACAGGTCAGGCAGTGCCAGATTTCAAAGTTTTCGCAGCACAATCTCTGCTGAATCCGAAGCGAAAGCCGTGGGACATGAAATAGTTCCGATCCATGCATTGTAATTCTGTCACGACCTATCAAAGAGTTCCTGCATGAGCAGAAAAGAAACCAAAACATACTTAGCATCTTCATCTTTCAAGAAGCATAGTGACGGCCCCATTCCCTTACTCATTTTCTCTGGTCGGGTAGTAGCACGGCCCAAACATCATGATACCCATCCCAGTTGCATAGAAACCGAAACAAAGCATTTTACAGTATCGTCATATAGATTTGAACTCACCACAGGACAACATAAGGCTCGTCAACGTAGTTATAAGTATGACCCATAAACCAACGTAGTCGTGGTAGTAAGAAATTATCTTTATTACCCAGAATAATTCCCATTTCATCTGCTAATTTTGCTAATGGTTTGCCCACGCGACAAGCGTTGTGCCAAAATCCCTTTGATTCCAAGAGTAACTTCGTCACATCCCAAGAGTAAGAACTTCCAAGTAGTAAGAACTTCAGATTCCAAGAGTAGGCTCCTTCACATTCCAAGAAACGTTTAGCATTCCAGTAGAGTCTTCACGGAGTAGTTCATAATTCCGAGTTGTCAATCTCAGCTGCATCAGTTCAGTTATCAACATAAGTACAAAGTACCAGTTCAGTTGTCATACAGAGTCGCCGTTCAGTTATTATCACCATTTGATTCAGTTATCATACACTCGAGTAGGTCGATACACCAGAGTAGGAGGTGGATCTTCGTTTATTTCTATCATCAGTACTCCCGTAGTAAAGTATAGAGTTCATAGGTACTACACCGAAGTGCTGCATGAGTTCTTGTAAGTTTCTAGTATATGATGATCATCTAGATCACACATTCATTTGAAGAGATTGCCATAGCTGTGGCCAAGAAGTGCTCTCGGGATCCACACGTGCGCTTGAGGAATGGCTTGGCGATGGAGCTAAGCAGGGATCTTCGATCATTGTCCGGATCTGATGGAATTATTCCGCGATGGAGCTAAGCAGGGATCTTCTGTCTGGTCTGGTAAGGTCTGGTCTGGTCTGGTAAGTTCGGGTACTCACATCGTGGATCTTCCTGTGCTGTTAGCGCAAGACCCTGTCGCCATGAAATAAGAGTAACAGTGTTCAACTTGAGACATCGGATGTATTGCCCGGGCGACAGGGTCTATAATGGGATCTGATTGAATTATTCTAAGACCAATACATGATCTGGGTCTACAGACGGATCGAATCGAGGGATGAGCCTTGATCCAAAAAGATCTGAAGAAAGTCTCCACTCACACCTTCGCTTGAGGATACAGGTCAAACTGTGGACGGCGAATCAAATCCTATCAACAAAACTGCTAGATCTTCCGTGTGTCGTCGGCAGACATGTTGTGGTCCTGCTCTTAGGCTCCCAGTCTAAATATTAATTTGTGGCGCCACTAACTCTGAACTCAAGGCAGCACAGGTGGAAGCGTGCGGAACATCACGCTATAATGGCATACTGAATATCAGAAATCTTGCCGGCTACTGTAACCCTGCGAGTGAAATTTTTCTAAAAAACTCGTTGAATCATGTCAATGCAAGAACACGGTTTAATAGAAAATGGCGACATCTTCAACAACATCTCTTTCTTCGTCTTCTACGACCGGAACAACACCAGCAGCCGCTACTACTAAAACTAGTAGTTGTGTTGGGTTACTACAGCCAGCTTTTCGTCTTGAGGAACTTCCGGGACGAGGGGTCGGTGCGATTGCGACGCGAAGGATTCGCAGAGGTGAGATCGTCGTTTTAGAAGAAGCTGCTATCCGTGTTTCCGCGAGAGAATTTACTAATCCTACAGAGGATGAGCACACGCAAAAGGGCCGGTTCGTCGAACAACGCTACGCCGCACTGCGTGCAGCAGAGGCGGAAGAGTTAGCTATGGCCACTGTCAACTTCCCATCTTTTACAACATGTTGAACATCTTTTAGCTAGATGGAAAACGTCTAAAAGATGTCAGTGCTAAAAGATGGGTTTTTGCTTGGTGCCTCTAAGTTGGAGAGGACAGGCAATCGTCTACGTCCTGAGAATCCGCCAGCGGTGAGCCTCTGCGAGAACGAGGAAGAGTACTTTCTCCCAGAATTCACCCTGGGAGACCGAATCTGGTCCATGTTTGACATGTTTGAAGATGATGATCATGATGATGATAATGCTGCGGAAGTCAATGCCAAGGCCAATGACGACGCTGACCAGGATGATGAGAGCAAGTTGAATGCAACGACGAGTACGACTGCAACCACTTTCCTTGATGCGGGTGCAGACGAAGACGGGATTGACGAAGATGATGTGGCGCGTGGTGAAGAAGAAGAGGAAAAGAAGATGACAACAAGTTTGGGTACTTCAGAAGTAGCTTCATCTTGTCCATCAGAAGCAATAAGAACAAGTGTACCACTGCCTCCGTCCTCTCCATCATCTGCTTGTGTAGATGCAGAAATAGATTTAGACGCAGATCAGACAAAAAGAAATACTGGTTTTAGTGGTTGTAGCACTAGTAGTGAGTTGGTGAAGCTGAAGCTCAAGGACAAGATCAACAAAAGTAATAAAAGCGCATTTGGCATCTTCTTGTCGAACGCCTTCACCTACTCAAATCCGGACACCGGGGAGGTGCACTTTGGTCTGTACCCTTTGACTGCCAAGTTGAATCATAGTTGCCGAGCCAACGTGGGGTTCAACCACGACCCGGCGACGTGGGTGATGCGAACGTACGCGGTTCGAGACATTGAGGTCGGCGAAGAGTTGTTACACTGCTACAGTCGAGAAATGTGTTTCCAAAGCGCCGCACGAAGACAGCGCTTTTTCCAAAAGAATTTTCGCTTTCTTTGTGCCTGTGCAGCATGCAAGCCTACGACTAGAACCCCTGGGACAGCTGCACCTGTGCCTGTCCAGACCGTAGTTTCAGCGTCAACCTCCAGTGTCCAACCCAAGGCGATGCCTACTTGTAGTTCATCCACTTGTTCATCTAGTTTAACCCCGGCGGGTACAAGTACTACAACGCCCAGTTCCAGTTGTAGTTTGACAGGTGGACCAACTACATCAATGCCCAGTTGCAGTAGTTCCGCGTTGAATTTTTGCAGTTCCTTTTTATCCCCTTTGGCATTGCCTCGTGTGCCAGAGCAGCTGGAAATCACGGGACAATATCCGCCTGACAATGGGGTAGCGACATTATTAGGTGCGGCAGCCGTGTTGGCCGATCCGGAAGGCGACATTTCCACGGCAGCGAGCACGGTGAATTCAACGACCGCAAACACCCCCTTGCTTTCGCGCAGCGGACGGAGCACCCCTCTGGCACCACCGACGACCCCAATCATGAAGTACAGCAACGTTGTTTTTCCTCCTGCAACCTGCTTTTCCTCCGCGATGAACTACAATGCCCATCATGCTGCTTCTTCTGGTACTAGTCCTGGTTCAGTTGCGGCTGGTGTGGTCCTCCACCATCATGCTAGTGCCCCAACAACGACTGGCGCAAGTACGACATCAACGTCACTAGCAACAGACAGTTTGCTGGCTGTATCAGCGGAGTCCAACAAGGCTGAGCAAGAACAGCAGCGCGAAATAGCCAGACTTCTGCGTGAATCCGACGCTAACCGTGCTGAGTGCAAGCAGATCGAAACGGAACTGATCTCTTTACGGGGCTCCAATGATGCTTCGTCCTCGAGCAGCAAGAAAAAAGCCAAAGGTGGGGGATCCTCTTCCTCCTCCTCGAGCAAAAAAGCAAACGATCCCTCGGCTTTCATGTTTTGTGTCGAGCGATACTTGGACGCGCTCCGCAAGGAGGGCTTAGATCGCCCTGACGATTTCTTAGACCTTGGAGCGGTTGCTTTCGAAGCCGCCGTTGCGCTTGGCGACACGACAAGAGCGGCAGAGCTGGCACAACGCTGTTGCGACAACGCGGAGATCATCTTCGGAGATACTGCGCCACTCCGTCTTGCGGCAGACGTGAGTGGAAAGCAGGAACATCCAACGCTGAAGAAATGGAGAAAAAAACTGCGTACTGTTGCTTTCCAGGCGAAAATGGCACAAGTCTAGGTGACAAAGTACTTAAGTTACAGTACAACTTATATTTATAGTAGTTGTCGTGAAACTGCAAATTTGACATCTTGTAGAGACGAGGAAGGGATGGGATTTCCGGTACGATGAAAATGTTGATGAACAAAATTGACAGACTTTACATTGACACAACCCTCCAGCAAACTTTTTTTTTTTAGCATCTCTTACCCTTTAGACTACTGACAACACGGCTTTGAGTCCGTTGCATTCTCACCGCTTCTATACCTGTCTTGGCTGGCTCCACTGCTGGGCTTCATACTGGCATCTCCTCTTGTTAGCGTGTTTAGGGTTGCAGCATGTGTGAAAAGACGACTTCAAATCCTGGTGAGGGTTGGCGTGAAGTTGTTTTTCCTCTACTTGCGACAAGTGATGTTGGAGTTCTGCTCTCGTTGACAGTTTGCAAGTGTTGAAAAGCAAGGAAAAATCTAAGATCAAGGTTGGTGTATAAATTTCACAACGAACAACAAGAACAGATGCGAGTTGGTGCGGTGTTGAACTTGAAGATGTATATGCTGTTGCGTGAAACATCATCATCATCTTCCCCAGGATCTGCATTCAGCCTTTTGTTCTTCTGAAAAACTGCAAGAGGGATAAATATGGTGTTAGAAGGAAAGAATTGGCATTTGAATTGAAACAAGGAGATCAAAGGGCATGTGAATATTTTCTTTTCAGGAATGAATTTAGGACAGTACTGCAGGAAAGATATCGCGTTACACATCAAATAGCCTCGTGTTACACATCGCACACTGTAGTAGTTGTACTGTGGAGCTCGAATACGACGTCCGCAGGCTGCAAAAAACAGAAGAGTATGTCTACCAAAAACCAAAAACCAGTATAGCTGTATTGAATACCAATAACCAAAAACAAGTACTAATATTTTTCGATGAAGATCTTGTTTGCATTCTAGTAAAAGTTTAACTACTAATATTGACATCAACATCCACCTAATAGATAAGTTACGATTTATTCTCCTTCTCGTTCTCCAAGAGTTTGTACTTACATTTCGTTCAGCTGCCAAGTTTCTTTCTGCAGCTCTACTCTGAAAGTGAATGATGTTGCAGCTTTCTACCGTCTCGCGTTCTACCGTCGTTGCACGAGCCGCGTGGAGCTTTTGCCTTCTTTTGTGTGTAGCGGTCTTCCTCTGTCCGGTGGAGGTGTTTGCTTCGAGGTTCTGGCCTTGTCTGGCTTGTTGTGGAGGAACGGATACCGTCTCCGAACAAGGTCGAAGGTCAGGACTACTGTCTGAAGACGAAGAGCATGACACGACCCTTGGACTTCGTGGTGCTGGTCGACTAGGGTCTCCCCATCATGATCGCGCAGACAGCGATGCTATCGTTTCATCGACAACAAAGTTGTGGTCGCCGCCTGCTTTATCCGTTGTGTGCACGAACGGCCCCAGAGCTGGACGTACAAGCACTATTGAGGCTAGTATTATGAGTATTTTTTTATTCAGATTTCATCATCATGTAGGGGTCGAATAATTGCTAAAAATACGTAGGAAGCCTCTGTCTTTCGCCTGTCAATTTCAATTTTCTAGACACTCCTACACACGCTTGTTCGTTGCGATACTTCTAAAGAGAACAAGCAGAACTACCACGATGGGGACGGCATAAAAACAGGGAGTTACTCATCCGCCAGTGGGACCGATGCGGCGGCACACTTAAGGCTACCGCTGAAGCATGTCCTTAACACCATGATCCTTGGTTCCTCTTTTTCAAGGGGAAAAAGAGGCGTCCAAGAATATGGCTCGAAAGGAAGATGGGACGTGGTAGCTCTAACACAGGGCGCAGGAGCTCCGTGGCCTGCTGATGCATCCGCGTCGTCGGCTTTGACAGATGGCGTAATCGATGAGGCTCCTGCCTTTGCCGACTCACAACGTCTTCGTCGAGAAAACGCAAAATATGATACAAAAGGCGCCGCGAAAGAGAAGAAGAAGCTAAGAGATTGATAATCATAATGTAGTTACATCGCATTCTTATCCTAGGTTAGTCCCTCATGATGTTTATCCTAGGTTAGTCCCTCCAATCAATTAACGTCACATCGCAATCTTCACCACAAGCCAGTGTTATTGCTATCGCTCCTCTAGTCTGGCAATAAGGAAAGATGTGAAGAGGCAAGAAGCATGTTGTGAGTATTGATGAGTTAAGTATGTTGATTATTTTGTTGAGTCAACAATGAAGCTACAGCACCGCAGCTACATTATTGGATGGCCTCACAAGTAGACAACAATAGCTACATTCATAAGAGGCTAATTACATAATGCTGGCATGACACTTTTCTGAGTACGCACATTGCACTCCTGTGGTATCTTCTAAGTTGACACCCTGAGGAGCACAGTTCTGCTGGTGCACCAGAGCCAGGAAGTTGTGAAGAGCTCAGCCATAGCAGTTTAGGTTACAGTGACGGGCACTCGTCTGTTGGGCACTCGTCCGTTCATTCGTCTTTGGTCGAGGCAGAGGGACACTCAGCTGAGGAGCAACCGAAGTGGCCGACGAAAGTAGAATGGGCTCGACGGGACACAGACAACCAAGATGGGAGGTTAGAGGTTTAAGGCCCATAAAAATAGAGATATCTGACTACGAGGGGACAGTTGTTGTCTGACGAGATAGATCATGATAATAAAGGCTGCCTTTCAAAAATGTGCATCGTCTTGCGGGTAGACTAGTAGAACTGAGACATCACCGTGGCCACGATGTTGAATCATATTAACAGAAGCACACACTCACACACATATTTACGTATTGAGATATTTAATTTTGGGACGATAGTACTAAACACGTGATATCAAATATTTTTATTGGGACGATACAACACCTAGTTTGCTTCTAAAAAAAAAATGAATCGCGCACTGAGAGTCGTGGCTCTAGCGCAGGAAGTTCCACGAGCAGCGACAAGCCGCCGCTTCCTCCAGGTAAGCTGCCGGGGCGTAGACATTTTTCTAGGGAGTATCAGAAGCAGCAAAAAATTGCGGCGTGGCATACTTTAAGGGTTACCGTCAAATTACATTCCCCATTGCTAGACCATCCTTTGCTTTTTGATTCTAGCAGAGAATAAGAAGCCAAGGAAGATGTCCTGGGGAGTGTAATTCATCTGCAACCTCTAAACACTGCTAGGAGCCGACGAGGCCGATCATCGAATCGAACGGGCGAGCTCGGTGACAGTGACGTTACGCCTAGAGGTATGAAAAGGAATCAGCTACTCATACGTGGACTCGAAAATCTTATTGGGGCTTAAGAAGTCACTTAGATTGATGCCTGGCCAGTGTACAACTATTTGCGGGCCTATCTTGCAATTAAGTATAGACTCCAGACCTGCGCAGCGTAGAAAGACCTTATACGCGCTCATCTTGGTCCAGCACTCATACAGATTCTGCCTTCTGTCTGCCTACAATTTTGTGACCTACAAGTTTTAGCACGTATGAGTAGTTATAGCCCTTTTTTTGTGTCTTCATATAACGCACCGGGGGCAGAGGAACGCACCGGGAAGAGGACGTGAATAACCGCGCCGCATTCAACCTGATGCTGAAAAGTACACGCCGCCGCAACGAAAGCTTAGCCGCTTCAGGGGAGGAGGAGGGTGGAAGCAGCTCGCAGTCGGAAGACTCCTTCTCTGTGGGAGTGCCGGCAACAGGATCGCTTGGCGATGTGACACAACGTACTCAACGGAAAGAAGGTGGACAAGACCACGATGCGAGGGAAGCTGATGGGAATGTGACGTCTTGGGCTTCTTGGCAGGTTTATTATCGCAACTCAGATAAATTATGGGAAAAGCTGCGTGGTTCGAATGAGTGAGTTGCTGCGTGGTTCGAATGAATGAATGAATACGATCAGCAGGTTTTATCTATCCCTCTCGGCATCTCGATGCCCTTGCTTTCCCTTCTATTCTTTTCATGGGAAGCAAAGGGGTCGAGATGAGGGGACCGAGATGGATTAATGCTGACTGCAACATAATATATAAAGTAGTAGATGATGAAGTTGATTATGCTGACGAGGGGAACGGGAACCAGAGTAGCAAACTAACATGATGATGGTGCTTTTGTAAGGACAACTCTAGTACTACGTGTTCTTTGTCGTGTGTTGCAATTTTTCTGCTGTCAAATGAAAGACCGGTCAAATGAAAGACCGCATCCTCTACACTCAGGAGGCGCTACTATAATTAAGACAACTTCGTCTTCTAAAACTGGTCTTGCGGAGAAAAAATCCATCAGGTGGCGCTTCTTCTTCGCGCCAACCGTTTCGTGGCGAGGATGGGGCAACGCGAGGTCCGGCCGGAACAGAAACTACACCAACCGAGACTCCTGCTACAGTTAAGAATCGTCTTGCGTTATCCAATATCGTGGATTATTTACCTGTCCTGAGGAGCGTCTTCTCCTAGTGCATGGGAAATGTCAGTGTCAAGAAGAATTAGGTCACGTAGAGCTCTCTCTCAGGAGCTCAACACCCAAAGGAACGAGTATAACGAAAGACAAGGATATTGAGTTTCTAATGTAGAAGCGGGGACAGGGACGGGCCAGGACGAGTCTGACGGGGAGCCGGGCTCTGTGATTTCTTCGTCCTTTATTAAGGCTTCCCCTAATCCATCTTCGGAAGCATTCTCAAGAGGCTTTTCAGGGGGAAATAGAGGGGCCTAGGATGCATTTCGAGATTGATGGATTAGGGCGAGCGCTAACTTTATCTCTGGGGACGAGAATTCTCAGGAGCAGGAAAACAAGCAGTGCTGACGTTCACTCTGCTACTACGAGAGAGATTCCGAAAGTAGTACTACTGAAGAAGTATAGGTATGATTAATAACGCTACTAGGAGGAGGGTCTTGAGTAGTGCTAGTGGTAAGTAAGAAGATAACCCTTCTACTATGTTGGCTAAGTATGGTAGACTATAGCTTTGCTCTTATGGCTGTGTTATCATAGCTATGCTCTTATATATAGCTATGTCTATGCTACTATAGCTATGCTACTGTGCAGGATGTTATCTTTGATGTTTCTAGGTAGTGTAGGTAGTTATTATTGCCTACTACTTCGTGGCATCTTCAGTCTTAGTCAGTACTTCTTTGTATACCATTTATTTATCCGGAGAAATTAGATATATATAAGTAAACAATTTACAGCTGCGTCAATGTACAACTTTGATGCTGTATGTTTTCGCTAACCAGGGGTATTGATTTCTACACCAGTCTGATGTTTATTACAGACTTGCAGTATGACCGGTTTGCGAAATTAGTTACGCACTTACCGAAGAATTTGGAACGTACTAAAGCGATTTCTAGATCAAAGAAATTCTTGATCTATAACAGGGTACATTGGCCAGTGCATGATTATCGTACCTACGTGACGAGTCGTCGCCGGAATACATGTGATATGTTACACAAACATCGATCTACTTGTGGTCGAAGATGGGATCCTGATTATTATAGTGCACCTAGTCGGCAAATCACAACAAAAAGCGTCCTCCTCGCAGCAAAGCAGCCTCTCCATCCTGTGTTCAGGATTGTTTTCATCTCAATTGAGGAATATTTTTTTCGACTATCTAAGGTTAACAAGCTTATTACAGTGTACCCAGTTCTTTTCATGGCAAAGAATTTATATTTGTAGAAACTTTTCCACTCCTAAACCGTCATCAGATGATCAGACAAGTCAGGGAGTGCCAGCGTTACACATATCAATCTATAGCACTTAAGATTAAGAATGGTTTGTCATTGGCGACGTCTATGCTCGGCCGCTGTGCGTACGGGAGCAGGACATCCCCACCAGGATCATTCTTCATACCATGCTGTACTAGGAGCATCCATTTCTGTCTGACACCGGTAAGGTGTAGCAGAGAACTCAAACTGATAAGTTAACTAAGAGGAAACCAAGCAACACGAAGAAATATCAGGATGCTGCAGGTTGCGCTGCCGAGTGTCTAGTTTTCTGAATGCTGATCACTTGTAGTATAGACTGAATACCTCTGCTGGGAAGTTGGCGGGCCCAAGACCACTGAGTTTGAATCTGATGAAGCTGAGCACCTATTCAAAAGAAGATGTAGATGATTTCTTGGCTTGTGGCTATCAACAATCTCATTGATCCTAAAGATGTATGATTATGTGCTTATGGCGTATTTTGAAAGTACTTCGGCCTTGGTTGAAAATAGTCTTCCTGTAGTAATTGCTTTCCTACAACTACTGGGTACTTCTTGTATCTACTTATATGTTAGGAGCAACGTGCTAGAGGCAAAGCAAAACTTTCTCAACAATCCCAACCAACCCCATAATGAGGTAGTGGTAGGTGAAATTTCCCGGACCCCGTGCCTGCGATAAGATACACCAGCTTGTCATGCTCTCCGCCTCGAAAAAGCATACAGCATAAGGTGAAATAATAAAGTACTCGCAAGGGGCTTTATGCTCTTCATAGAAGAGTTCTAACTACGATCGTGCTATTCTATACTTATTCGTACTGTCGAATGTAAGTCCATAGTGCGCGTGGAACCTTAAAGCTTTCGCCAACTATGATCTGTGCTGTAGAAAAATATTGAGGCTTGCTGTGGGAGAATGTGAAGTCTTGTGACAACATTCAAATGACAAGCGTTAAATTGCACATAATAAGTGATGAAAGTAAAATTCCTGTCTCGGGTGGAGATAGGCAGTGGCGGGACATGAATTAAACGATTGCTGCTGGAGTTGTAAGTTAGAAGTGGTGCTAATGATGTGTTGTAGTTGGGAACTACTTGCTCTACCCATGACTCATGGCATGATAAGAATGATCAACTCATTAGCATGATCCATCATGTAAGCTAGAAGTGGCGATCATAATGTAGTTGTAGTTGGGAGCTACTTGCTCTACCCATGACTGATGGCATGTTGATAGGAATTATCAACTCATTAGCATGATCCATCATGTAAGCTAGAAGTGGCGATAATGTAGTTGTAGTTGGGAGCTACTTGCTCTACCCATGACTGATGGCATGATAGGAATTATCAACTCATTAGCATGATCCGTCATGAAATAATTACCGATGATCTACTTCATATTTAGTAGAAACAATCATCGTTATCATGATGAAGACGTAAACGAGATGATCTAGTACCTGGATCGATTATCCTCTTTCCGATAAAGATTAGTCCTCGATCGATTGTAGGGGGCCATCCTCAACATTTGTGTGGAGAAGTCTATTGGTGAACAACTACGACACTGTCCATTAGACTTTGCCCTGATATCGCTCGACTGAGTTCGAGAGTTGTTCCTGCCCAAGTAGATTGTCTCCACTCTCAAACTCCCCTTCTGCAACGAGACTTCCCAGTAGGCCAAGAGCGTGGAGGGTGAATAGATCCAAGAAGTTGAGTAATCAGTGGACTCATCTTCGAGCCGCGTCATCCGGGGTGGGCTGTGACGTCGAACAGCCCTACACGTTATGTTATCTCTCGGAGGTAGCATGTAGTTCTATGGAAAAAAAAAATATCTCTCGCGAAGCCGATTTTTGGCCGTTGTGATACGGTCTTCTTGCTCCCCCGGTATGTAAGTTTTGTAAATGGATTGTTTAAGTAGTTGAATGGGAGGTGGCATGTAGTCCTATGGAAAAAAAAAAAAAAAACACCTAGCAGTCTGGCATGAGTGAGGCCCTTGAGCTTGGGCTGTCTATTAATTAGACTTTTCCCGGACATCGGTCCCGAGCGTAGAGGTGCGGCAGTCGCAGCTGCGGGGAGGTCGGTGGCCTGTGGAGGCAACCTGAGTGGTGACTGGCCTCGGGTCTATTACTATGGATGATCTACAGTGGGCTTAGGTCAGCGGGGATACAGGCGTGCATGCGCAGTCCAGAGCTGGCCCTGGGTCTGTTTTAGTTCCTCCGTTGTCCAGCGCCGCCACTCGTTAGACGGCCGCACATAGTTGACTGCCTAATCTTTGCTGCGTCTTGGGGGACTTTGCAACGTCATACTTCACATATCAGCTTGTTCCACAACGTCATATGTATGATTTATTATCGAGTCAACCAGTTCAAGGTCGACCGAACTGTCAAATTTACACTCGTCGCTTGTAAAGGGAGTCTGCAAAGCTAAAAGATTAAGAAGGATGTTGATGTTCTTGTTTTGTACGAGGTGTCGCTTTCGAGGGGCTTTGTTAGAAGGCTTAACATTTCATCACAGAGGAGGTGAAGTGGAAGAGTGATGAGGATAACCCTCAACATTGCCGCCCACCTTGAGCGCGCACTGATTGGTTGAGAACGAGATGGAGATGACGGTGAATACTTGGTCTGTTGCATCATATCCTGTGTTCGTTTTGAATTTATCGTATTCCTTTTGTGACAACTTCATAGACTTTTAAAGAAGAAGGTGCCCTTTTTCCGTATCTGCATCTGGTAGCAGTTGTGTATCAATTCCTGCGTGAATCAGAAAATGCTTGAACGATGATCTGAAGTGTTTCAGCGCACGTAAGCACAGTCTTGTTCTTGAATGATCGTGCGTAGTTGATTAGGATTATAGTTGATGAAATCTACTCCCCGAGGCATTGCTTTTCTGTCAAAAATAAGCAGTTGTAATTAAAATCACCCTGCTTTTCTGTCGACAGCAACGACAACCACAAGCGGTCGAGTATCTGTCGCTTTGTCTTCCCTAAGCAATTTTCCCCACGCTTTTTCCCCCACTGCGAAATAATGCTCCCATTCCCTATTCTAACGCAAAATACTGTTTTTCATGTCCCCCATTGTTGCTCTGATTCATTGTTGCTGGCAGATATTTTATGAAAAATGAATTAAAGGATCTTAAATGCGAAACTTTTCGCGTTTGAACCATTCTTGAAGTGGAAAAAGGCCATCGATTTCTAGGTTCAAAGCTTTGTTATCGTCCATCCCTGTTAATGAAACTGCCGCAGGTTCTGTAGCACTCTCTGTATGCCGTATGTTGAACATTCTAGATGGAGAAGGACTTTCGATGTTGGAAGCGTCTACAACTACCTAGTACGTTACTTAGACGTCGTTTAACGAAAAGGATGGTAGAAAAAGAGCACATTTGGAGGGCTGTATGCTGAATAAGCAACTACTGCTGTATGCTGCAAAGAACTTTGAACTTGGAGAAGGAACAACAAAAATATCTTGAAGCGAAAGGGAACTCAAGCGAAAGGCGGAACAAGCGGAACTCAAGCGGAAGGCGGAACAAGCGGAACTCAAGCGGAAGGCGGAAAGGGAACTCAAGCGGAAGGCGGAAAGGGAACTCAAGCGGAAGGCGGAAGAAGAACTCAGGCGGAACAAGAGGAACTCCAGTGGAAGGCGGAAAAGGGAAGTTTAAAGTTCTTTGCAGCACACCTTACACATCCGAGCACACACTGCAAAGAACTTTAAACTTGGAGAAGGAACAAAAATATCTTGAAGCCGTGTTTCGATCTTGGTTGCGAGTCTTGAGCACTAAAAGGTTGCGATTCCGGTTTTTGAGACAGGAGGGGTGTCGGCCATTCGGATTCCGATGCATTCACCGCGGGATACAGGTCTCTTTTCCCTGTGGAAGGTGAGTCAACTGCTCCTGTCCTGTCTTATTCCCAACGATGTTGGAGGAGGCCGAACGAGTCGAAGGGGAGGGGATGGTGAACCACCACAGGCCGTCCACTTTGGAAGCGAGAAGCAGAAGACCAGACGAGATGAAAGGTCGTGCTAGATCTACAACTCAAGCATCTTCTAGTATTTTAGAAGCAAAAAGTGGATCAACTAGATCGGAGATGAAAGCTTGTTCTAGACCGGGGGCAGCTAGTTGCAGCAGTACTAGAGGACCTGCGACTCAGGTGTTTTTCGTCTATGGGCCAATGTTTGCGGGTAAGACGAGCATGCTGATTCGCCTAGGGAAAGCGTTGGAAAGAGCCGACAATAAGCGTGTTTGCGTAGTGAGGCCCAGCTTCGACACACGATACGGCGAAGACCGTCTCTGCGCACATCCACCACTCCAGGACCCTCAATTTCTGCGTGCGCAGGCAGAGTTGCAATTACTTTTTCAGAGACGAAGGCGTCGAAAACAGAAGATGAAGATGCTGCTGCAAGAGGACATCAACGATCAGAAGAAGGACACAACTAGTTTCTCGAAGATGCTGCAAGAGGACAACGATCAGAAGGACACAACTAGTTTCTCGAATCATGATCTCTGCACTGCTACTGTGGACAACAAAGATCATCAGAGAAACAGGGAGATGAAGTTGGGGAAGATATCAGAGAAACAGGGAGACAACAGAGAGCCATCCATTTCGTTGATTTCCCAGTTTAATGGCATGCAACTGTCAGAGAACATCATACAAAAATCCGGCTCCTCTGTGTGCACGGAGGACACAAACGTTCGATGCTTTCATAACGGACGACTCGTGCGGACGGCTGGTAAAAAATCACCACAAAAGCGTAGTATAGCTGTAGGTGATCTTCCGCAACCAAGTAGGTCGTGCTCGTATGATTCGGCGCCATCGTTAAGTAGTGGCGATGGTCCTAGTATGTTTCATCTGAATTATGTGGAAGATGCACGACAACACGGACATCATCATCTACAAGAACATCATGTAGTACAACTACAGCAACAGGTTAGTTCGGAAGAGGCGTGTCCTTCTTCGCAGGATTCTGTGGGAGGGCGGCGCAGTCTCAGCTGGCCTTTGGCTTCTCAGGAGGCCTCGCAGGAGGCTGCTTTAGATCAAGCATCCTTACCTTGCCGCCGGTTCACGTCTCTGCAGGAACTGGCGATGTCCGTCTCTGCGGAAGAACTGGCCTCACACAATCAAGGTCTTTCCTTTAGTTTTACAGCACGAACAGGATCTTCTACATCTTCAACCTCTCCTGCGAGTAGATCGAGGCGACATTCTGTCGGTGAAGAAGGCGAAGAAGACAGTTGGAGTGCGAAAAAGCGTCGGCGAACTCTGGACTACAAAGTTCAGGTTGTGGAGTCACCTTTTGGAGTGGTGCGGAGTCCGCGGCTTGGCTCATCCCAGGTCAAGGACGATGAAGAGCAGTCGGAAGAGAAACAAGAACATAACAATCACATTGGCCTTAGAATTCAAGAAACTACTTCACTTCAAAGAAAGAAACTAACTGCATCTGTGCAGAGGAGAAGTCAAGAAGAGCGAGGAGAAGTAAAGAGACGGCATGTTAAGGCTACCGCTGAAGCATCCTGAGCACCGTCCTTGGCGCGCTTTCTACTTGAAAACGAAGCCAAGGATGCACCCAGGGATGCGACGCGGTAGCTCTAAGCACGTAGATACTAGCAACACGAGAGACCGTAGTGCTTACCACGGATCTACTCTCGGGCACTTTTTAGTCGCTGCTTCACTACCTCTTCAGGAGCAACGTTCAGCCGAGGTTGACGAGGTAGTTCTCTTGATTGATGAGTTACATCTGTTTTCTGATAGCGCAACGCCGGAGGGCATCGCGGCTCTCTTTTCCATAGCAGGCGTTAGCAAAGTAGTCGCGTTTGGTCTCGAAATCGGGTTTGAGGGTATCATGCCAAGTGCGGGGCTCCTGCGTGACCAGGCTAACGACATTTTTATTATGACGAGTAAAGTCTGCGTGATTCATGTCTATACGTACACAGGAAAACGAAAATAAGCGTCGTTGACTTGTGTTCGAAACTACTGATTTCGATAATGGGTACTACTGATTATAGATTTGTTGAGGCGTGGAAGCATTATAAACGGTCATCGTCAAGAACAGGCTCAAGGACAAGCTTCTCCTAGTCCTATGTTGGGCAACAATTATTCACTTGGCAACGACTTCATACCCCAAGGGTGGGCACACGGATTCATTTTTTCTAAAAAGATTCGTCGGGGAGCACGGGTGGCGTTTCTGCGTGTTCCCGGAGTGTGCCCACACTGCGTTGATCAAGCGTCAGACTTGGACGAAAATGTCGAACTAGGTGGAGATGGGGACGATGAGACATCGAGAGGAGTAATTGGTTGTGCTGCTGGTGTGCCTGGAGCTGGACTGCGAGCTGCTATCACGAAGCCGACGGTAATCGCGGTTCCAACAAGAGTTTTCTTTAAGCCTGGCGCAATTTTTGTCTATCGATCCATGTAAAAACCTCAACCTCCACTACTACTTCGGCTTTTTTTTCCATAAAAGAACATTCTTGTTATGATTCAAGATATCAATTTTGATTTGAAAATGCACATATATCAGATATCACTTTTATCACGTCATCTCTTTCAATACAAATAGATGTTCTTAGGACAACATACCAACAGAGTCGGCCATCCATGGTCCAGTTCGTTCCACTTCGTTCAAGGGTGCGAAGATGGTACTCTAATTTCTCTTTCGAAGACCGCGTTGGGGGTGCCGAGAAGTATCGTAGCCTCTGCGAGGAACATTATGCTTATGGCCACACATTGATAGTACTATGCTTAGTGCTGCCTGCAAAGATCTCTGTGCGATATTTAATTAAAGAACCATAAGCATCTTCATCGGTCTAAGAAATATTTAAAAAGTGAGCTCTATTTCTAAATATCATCCCCTACTAGACTTAACCGCTCGGTAGCACTCCTTCCAATAGAATTCTCCACCCTCTGCACGCACTCCCTCCGCCATTGCGTGCTCCCGCTTCCCCGGCTCCTTCCCCGCGCGACAACCGTCTGGCGGAGTTGATCGGTGGAACAGCACAAGAGTCGGGCCCTGGGCGGCCTGCGGCCACTGGAAAGGCACGCCTGGAAATGGTAGGCCCGGGAGTTTGCTGGTCTCTGTTAGGTTTGGCATCTTTGCGGCAAGCTGAAGCCTTTAAATTTCAAACAAAATTCGCGCCCTTTGAAGAAAGGTACAAACTACAACCAATTTTTCTGAAAATAGCATCATCTTTGATAAAATCAAAAATCTTGTCATTTTCGCGCTTTCAAATTTGAAGCTTCAGCGTAAAATTTTTCAAAATTCAAAACTTTTTGATTTTGTCGGCCAAGAAATGAATTTTGATGCCAGGGTGGCGCGCTGTAGGAAGTTTCTAATTTCTTAAGTTCGTAAGTTAGTAAGCTCGGAAGTTCATAAGTTCAGGGGTTCATAAGTTCAGAATTTTGGGGGTTTGGGGGTGTGAGGCTGAGAGTTTGGCGGGGTCGTTGTTGATTTTTTTTTAGCTCTTTGATATGAGCGACCTAAGTAACCTATGAAACACATCCTAAGGAACCAACCAAGAAAATGATGACATTCTCAGTTCCCGTTCAATCCCAGACCAAATAAATAGGTGAGTAGTTAGAGTTGACCAAATAGGACGTGAGTGAATTTAATATTTACCTACTCGACCACGTCTGGGAGCGTGCGATTTGAGTACACGAACCAAATTTGTCTAATCTGCCGTATTCGTGTAGTAAGTACACACACGTCCTCGTTGCCTTACGTTTAAGTATAGTACGATCGACTCAAATTTAAGTATACGAACCAAATGTTAGTTTCCGTCTAATCTGCCGTGTATTTGAATCGCACTCTTCCAGACGTCGAGTACGTAAGCGCCACCGGCAAGGTCTTGGACCCTAGTGACAACCGAGCGGCGATGGCAGACTGGCATGAGTGGGAGGCATCGCTGTCCGAAGAAAGTAGTATGAGGGACGAGGCGGATCTCCTGTCACGCCTTCTTGCGTGACTTTAGGTGAGCATCAGGATCGAGGCGGATCTCCTGTCACGCCTTCTATTAAGGGTTTCCGAACTACATCCCGTACTGCCATCCCACCTGGCTCCTCTCGTAGTAGAAAAGAAGCCAGGGATGTCCCGAGGAATGTAATTCCGTAGTCTCTAACTCTAGCGTGAGAAAGAAACCTGGGGAGAGGAGCGAAGAATGGGTATTGAGAAGCGCAGCTCTGAGATTTTCGCTAGGGAGAGTGAGCAGCGGAAGACTTTCTGAGGATTTTTTGAAACCTTTCTGAGGATTTTTTTGGAACGATGAATGTCCTAAAAAAGACGTGCCAGCATATGATCATGTCAACATATGCCTCTATTCTAGAAGAAGTAAGGTCAAAGGTTAGGCGTGGACCCTCATAGGAACGCTTAACGCCAGTCGGCGGAACAGTGAAGTGAGAGCACTAAACAAGTGTACCGCTTCGCTGTTACATTCTTTGCGCGAGATCCATGGTGAAGACCATCTATGACGCCCTTAAGGCAGTCTGCAGTGAACTTTGTGCGAAAATATGTCGGCAGGTTCTTCGCGGAACTCGCTCGCGATACAAAAAAAAAAGTGCGAGATTAGTTGTATTGTATTGTATCGAATGACAAGTGAGAAGTGACATTGCAAGGGTGAGATACAAGTGAGTGAGTGAGATACAAGTGATACAACAAGTAAGTCGTGATCCCGGAATATCTGAAGGGGTGGGCTGTATCTTGAAGTGAGTGATACTGCTAGTACAGTAGTCAGGATGTGTACCAACATGTTGTTCTCGTCGTCAAGCGTCCTGCTTCAACGCGCAGCACCAGCTTGCACTACTTCTCTCTCTGCTTTTGCTCCATGGCGCCGCATCAGAGTGGCTGCTAGCAGGGCTTCACCGACACAAGAGCGTTATTGCAGGCATTACGTCACAGCACTCGCCAAAGTGAGCTCAAGCGAATGTTTTCAATTTTTCGGCAGGGAAAGATTTTTCACCAGTATCGCAGCGAAGTCATGCTGTCAACACTAAGGAAGAACACCTTCTCATCTGGCCAAGAAGGGTCACATCAGAGGTACATAAGCAGATAGATAGCATCAGCCGTTGTTGGCAAGTAGATTATACTTATACATAGGGTCTCAGCATCCTGATCATCATGTTCGCAGCAGTAGCATCATTCAATGAGTGACGCTAGTGGCTACCAGCATACCAAGTAGCTACCGGCAACTCTTCTGATTTTAAGGACTTGCGTGCGAGTCCTTTAGAGCTATCTCTAAAAATAAAAGCGTAACTTTAGCAACACGACCGAAGAACCGCCAACATCATGGGTACCCGGCAAGAAATACACTGGAACATGTAGCAAGGTGCTCAGACGTCGCAGCATAGGATTCGTTAACCCCGATGACAATTGTGGCAGGAAAATCCTAATGACCAAGTGATGATATTATCGCAGAGTATCCATCATAGGTTTTCAAATTTTGACTACTTAAGTACTTAAGTTAGTAGTTTCGCATCGAAGAATAAGCATTACCGAGCAGTAGCTAGTGCACGCTTTTTTTGCAATAATTATAATGTTAATGAATATAATCATGATTCAAGAAGCGAAGAAACCCTGTAGGAACAGCATGACTACAAAGCGGACCTTCCGCTCCTGTGTTAGAAAGCGCCTCTTTCTCGTCGTGTAAACTGACGAAATGAAATATCGTCCGAGCTGGTTCTAAAGTGCAAATCTCCTTCAGGGTCAAGAAGGTGGCAAGGACGGTATAGTGTTATGGAAGTGCTGCATCAGAGGCCCCCGCATTTAAATAAGGATGTACTTTTTAACTTACTTCATGACGGTGTAAAATGAATGTACTAACAGGAATTTCCAGATGGCACGTGCTAGTTTTTCCAATTATTTTTCTATTTTTATTCTAAGGATTTGTTTTCTTTTCCATGTCTGGTAACTCTAAAAATGGCCATCTCTTGTCAGTACTGGCAATGCCATGGCCAGCATGTAATGTTTTGTACCTATTTGAAGCAGCGTAATCAGCTCTCAGCATGCTATTTCAGCATTCTTCTTTCGAATCAGCTCTCGGCATTCAACATTCACTTCTATGTCTACCAATCTTTTTGTATTCAACATTCAGATTCACTTCTATGTCTTCCAATCTATTGCACCAATTTAGTTTCTGTTCCTTTTTTCCGTGTGGTGGTCTTGTCTAAGAATATTTCCGCTTTGGAAGCTCGCTGAGGGCAGCAAGATTCCGCGAACTGGTGATCATTTGGCCTTCCAAATACGGCCATCCCCGAAATTTCCAGGACGTTTGGAGGCACATTAAGGAAGTGTAGTACGAGGATGATTAAGTGAAGATCGTACCTACGAGCTTACGCTTACCAAGTCATTCAGGGATGAGAAGGCAGTTTGGATTTTGACCACATTTTTCAAACTTGAAAGAACAGATATTGGGCAAATCCACTAGACTTAGCAGGTAGTTAAGTAGATGAAGCCAGAACTATTGCTATTATGTTTGTTGTGATGTCGCTTCTTAGGAGACTAGGCACTGTTACAGCAGGAGCATTAGCGTGACATGCTTGCCAAGAAGAGCTTGCAAAGGGTGCTTGAAACACGATTTTATCAGAGGGGCAGACTCTTTGAATAAAATGCGCAGGTGAAGCCGAATTTGTCAGCCCTCCTAAGATCATCTGGGAAATATCTATGTGAAAGTAGAAGTTCTTTGATTAATCTTACCCAAGCACGTGCAGCTACATGCGACACGAAGAAGTTCTTTGATTAATCTTACCCAAGCACGATGCTTCGTCCAAGCTCCATCGTGCTATCCTAGAAAAAAGAAGGTTGATGACGAGCTCTAAGCGCATGAAGTTGCCGGCGGCACAAGCGACAGAGAATTTTTTTCCAGGGACTCTGCAGCAGCGCACAATGCCGTTCAACAAGCTGTGGCTCAGAGTGCGTATTCGTAAAGACTACGTAGTCTTCAACTTTCCTCTGTTTTCAAGATAGGGCTGAAAGTGGTTATGTTGAACCAAAATAAAAGGACTGCGACAGGGACACAGACATGACATGGGCAATTATAATAACGAGGGCGCTCCTGACATCGAAAATGGATTGAAGTATTCGTAGTCTCTCGATACTTGATGAAGCAAGTGTTCCTTTCTAGACTCATGCAGCGCTTGCTTGCATTCACGTTGATTAAAGCTCCGATGACTCTTACTGACATACTCCACTACTTATCGCAATAATAATCCTTTCTGCTTCATATTAGATCAATCACTCTCTTTGCCGCCTTGCTTGTGTTCCATCATAGTACAACCATAGTACAAGAACAGCAACTGTTCTGTGTCAACGCGCCTAATTACAGGCTTGCCCCAAGCGGGTGGATCTCATGATAAGACATGAGAAAAAATGCAAAGAAGGAGCAAAAGTGGACGAGGGGAAGAAATTGATATCTTCCAACAATAACCTCATGCCAGGCACATCAATCAATCAATCAATCAATCAAGTCCTGCTCTCTGTCAAAGTTCTTCCCCTTCTGTGTCGCACGCTTTTGTGCTTGCGCGCTTCTTGATGAGATCGAAGGTCTTGCTGGTCTCGGTTCTTGATGGTGGTAGTAGTGAAGAGGATGAAAATGTAGGGAAGAAGAAGGGTTGAAAAAGGCGAAGGAGAGAAAAGAGGAAGAGAAGTATCACAGTTCTGAGTTGTATGAGGAGAGGAGAAGACCCATCTGTAAAACGAATTTCTGAAAGCGATGGACCATGACCACTGGAGGAGAGAGAGAGAGTTAAGTAAAAGCATGGGATGAGAGTTGATTAATTAAAAATTGTTAGTACCTTGAACATACACCACCTCTAGTATAGGTACAACTATTATCATCATTGAGTTAGTTGAAAAAGAAAAGAGATCCTAATGATCAACCTCTTCCCAGCAAGGCAGGAATGTTTATTTTTTGCCCCCTGATCAACATCAAGTCGAGGCACCAGCCTCCTCCCATAACAGGAATCTTTTGAATTTGTGCGCCGTAATCAAGTAAAGCAGTGAGAATAGTTGTAACCGTTGAGCTTTTATATTCATTCTGGTAACGGACGGACGGAACGAACTTTCTCAAGTAGTTACAACGTAATGCATAGGGCAGACTTGTCATCGAAATCGACGGGGGGTTTCAATCGATCCATATGAATAGTGACGTAGTAGTTCAAACTTGAGCAGGTAGTTCAGCTGTCAAATTGAACAACAGGTTTAGCTTCCAAGAACCTGAGCAGGTCCTTCGGTAGTTGAGAAGTCAACATATTGATGTTTACTTACACGACAAAGATTAGATAACTTGTCCAACAAGACTACTAGTACTATGTGGAGCCGACCATGAAATCCAAGAACGAGGACGCCCCCTCTGACCCGACCATGAAATCCAAGAACGAGGACGCCCCATCTGACCCGACCATGAAATCCAAGAACGAGGACGCCCCATCTGGTCCGACCATGAAATCCAAGAACGAGGACGCCCCATCTGATCCGGCCATGAAATCCAAGAACGAGGACGCCCCATCTGAGCCGGCCATGAAATCCAAGAACGAGGACGCCCCATCTGGTCGGACCATGAAATCCAAGAACGAGGACGCCCCATCTGATCCGGCCATGAAATCCGAACGCGAGACTGGTGGCTTCTGCTACAGCTCGCTGCTCGAGGCGCCTTACGTCGAACAGCTGCACTTGTGTAGACCAGCGCATCAAAAGAGAAGGAAGAATGAGAATATTACGGGTGCATCAACCTCCACTGCTTCTTCGAGAAACGCGCTTCATGTTGAGACGCAACGGGCGGAGCCTGAAATGCGGAGGCTGAGCTGTGAAAGCGGTCAGCATCGGCACTGCTCTAGTAGTGGCTCTTCTTTGTTCCAGCATTTGCCCGACAAGAAGAAAGATCGCTCTATATCAAAGACAACAGCACAGGGAGGACTAGTGTATAAACATACATCAGCTGTTGGGCACGACCGTGCGGGCGCGGCGTCGTTTCGGATGCCTTCTGATAAAGTGAAAAAATTGTTCGCAGGAAAGTCTCGCCATGGATTAGAACAAGCGGAGCTTAGTCCAAGAAGAGTAGACACTACACGACCAGATAGGCGCCGAAGGAAACGTTCGAAGCCAGGGAGAAAAAGGCGGAGCATTTCTCGCGGCAGTGATCATCTATACAACCAGAACACGCACGAGAACCACGAAGGTGGCAGCAATACTGCTCCTGGTGGAAGTAGTAAGAAACCCCTAGCTATCCATGGAAGCGCGGATAAAGGTGCTGGCCGTTTTAGCGAGCGTAGGAATAGAGGGCAGGCTAGAAGCGCGGATAGGGGTGCCGCTCGTCTTAGCGGGCGTAGCAATAGAGGAAATAGAGGGCCGCCTATCACCCCAGCAACGAGTAATAGAGAGCAGCCTATGACTTCGACCCCAGCAGCACCAACAACAACAGAGGCTCCTGCAGATGGACTCAGACGACAGCCGGAGAATTCTGGCGCTCCAGCTTTCGGCAGGAGCGCGCACGGGAACGAAGCTCTTTTTAGCCAAAAGCGTAGGACGAGACAGCTGCCAGCTGCATCTATGACAGAAGATCGAACCTGGAAAAATTCGCAGGGAGGAAAAGCAGCCGGCAGAGGTAGCCACAGCAAGGCGAATGAGCTTGGACGCGTGGACACTGGGCCAGCCGTGGCGCAAGACGTTGTGTCCCGGTTGCGTGTGATCTACTCGGAGCAGGGCCAAGACAATGGGGATGCGGCTCATGAATGGCTAGAGGAGAGGCAGCAGTGTGGGATCGCCTCTCCCGTCAACGACGCCGTGAGCCTTCGCAGATCCTTCGTCTCTGTAGCTGTACTACATGGCTGCGTCTCTCTTTTCCTGACTATGAGTAGCATAGCTGTCCTGTTTTTGATGCGCTCGACACCGGCGGCCTTTCCTCTCGACCTCGCAGACGAAGGTGGCCTCCCGTGGACTTCTAGGGCGAGACTGCAGGGCTTGGACCCAAAGGGGGAAGCGTCGGCACGTAATATCACGAAGGTGCCAGGGGATAGTGCCGACGGATTCTTAGCCGAACCTGTTTACTCATCTTTCCTCGGCGTAAACACAAGAGGACCGCAGCACCCATTGTTGAAGCCTTTTCGCGAGTGCATGGCGCGGCGAGCGCCCTTCGATTCACTTTGCGAACTGATCGACGCAGAGAACGTCTGCGCGCAGGAGATTATACCGGAGCAACCAACCGGGTACCGCCCATTTGAGGAAGATCGTGAACGCGAACAGCGCAGCGAGATATTTTTCTACCGTGTCTATGTCGGTTCGAAGTTGTACGAAATCGGATTTGACGCAGGAATGCCCCGTCTCTTTGCGACCAATTTTGAGGCGGAGGGCATGACGAGCACGCGCGTATTCGTCGAAAGGGCGCTCCGCTCGGACAGCGGGGGCGGCCCCTGTCGGATTCCCGAGAGGCGCGGTTCGTATTCGGGTCCTCCGACAGTCGGCGCGCCACTGAGGCCGTCTCATATTCGTCAGGAGGCATTCGGAAACTGCTACCTCTACGGCGTTTTGCAGAGTCTAGCCGCACTGGGCTGGTTGAAGGAGGTGGAGCCTCTGAAAATTTCTGAAGGAGGATTCGGCACGCTCTATGAAGTGCGTCTTTTTGTCCATGGTGCGTGGAGAAGGGTGGTCGTCGATGACAGGGTGCCCCAGCATTTAGCGGGCGGCGTGGAGTTGGAGAGAATGGAAAACGCAAGACAGGGGCCGCACTTTACCGGCGGGACTTCGCCATCTCAGTGCAAGTGTGTATGGCCTCAGGAGTACCGATCGGTAACGGTCCTGTTGCTGGTCAAAGCGTTCTCGAAGTTAGTTGGCGACTACACGGAAGCAGGATCAGGAAAAGGGGGAAATTCTCAGCCGGTTGCGCACGCCTTCATTGGTGCGACAAGCGTTAAGGCTGTTATTTGGTTCACTCGAGGCGGGGGCACGGAGAAATCAGTAAGCCCATATTTTGGCTACAATCCAGTTATCGGAGCTGGTGCTAACTTGCTCGAAGGTGATAGGACACTGGCCCCGCAGCTTAATGGTGACCTTGCGCAACTAGTTAGGCAACACGGCGGCGATGGTGAAGACCACTGGAGGGACCCTCGCAAGTGCAGCCTTTGGGTCTCACCAGAGGAGCACGCGCTCTGGCTTGTGCTGAAGCGCCTCCGGCAAAAGTGGAACGAGACGCACATGAAGACGGCCAGAAACGGTGGGCCACCTCTTTTACCAAAAAGCAAGTGGGATGCGCGTGACTTTCTTGCAGAGGTTTCGAGCAACTGCGAGCTTGTCGACGAAACCACGCGGCGGAAGGTGGCCCTTGCGTTAAAAACGTTCAGCCAAGCTGAGCAGCGCAGCGGAAGCGACCAGTACGAGCGAACCAAGAGACCCGGCGCCAGGTCAGAGGTCACGCCGGCAAAGGGCAGCACGCTGGCCCTTAGGCGAAAAGCGCTCAGCCAAGCTGGGGAGTGGAGCGGAAGCGACCAGTACGAGCGAACGAAGAGACCCGGCTTCAGACCAGAGGTCGCGCAGGCAATCGGCAGCGCGCTGCAGAATTGTGCCAAGGCCTCGTCGCTCGTCGGTCCAACGTTGGGTGGGCTTGTTTTGCTATTGTTGGAGCGGCGTTTCTTTGCTAGTGCCTATGCCATGAGGCCCAGCATGAGCGCTGGCGAGCTTCTGACGGAAGCGGCTAAGCCGGCTGAGTTCCCAGATTTCCGCCGCGTTCTTCTCGCGGGGACGGCCGTTACTGTGAAGCACGCGGCGGACCAGGGGCAGCCGTGGACCAAAGGCAAGGCTGTTAAGTGGAAGTGCGCTTTTTTTCGCTTGCGCTCGCGGTTCGAGCAGTTGGACGAAGAAACCGCACTTGAACAGAAGAGGTCCGACTCTGGTCTGGCCATGGAATCTCGATACAAGTCAAACCACGTAATGACTTTCGGTTTCAGTCCTGCGTCACGTGACCACAGAGGACCTTCCTCGTACGCCGGGATGTTCCCACGTCATATGTACAGCTTGTTGGCTTTCGAGGTGTTCGCAGTTCCGATCGCAGCACGCCTCAATGCGGGGACCCCGCGTAAGTTTCTGTTGATTTACTCCGCGAAGCTCCGAAACCCGCACGCCAGTTCTTTCCATGGCGTCTGGAACCCTTTCGCGTGGCCTCCTCATGTGATCCGGAAGCACGCGGCCCGCCCGAGAGCGCGCGAGCCAGCTGTTAGCGCCATTCCGCGGGCGCCACAGGGTGGGCTTACCTCTCTGCTCGAGCTCCGCGCGGACTTTCCCTGCTACTCTTGGCGTGGTTCTTTCGACATGGACCTGAACGAGGTGCGGGACTCCCACTGCTCAGTGGGTGACATCATTTTGCATTCTTTGAACTCCCCACATTTTTTAGGCACGCTGGACGAATTGGACGGCAGCCCGGCTGATTGGTACTCTGGGGACGCGGCTGCGCTGCGTGACCGCTTAATCGGTGACGTGGGTGCTTACCATGTGCGAATGGACTGCGGTGCAAATCTCTCCGAAATGCCGAAAGCGCCGGAGCCGTTTGCAGCGATCTCCAACCATGACGTTCTCGACCTACAGACTGCCGATCTCAGTCCTGAGATGGAGGAACATTGTCTCTTATGAAAGTTGTCTGTGCAGCTTTTTTTGGTGTTTGTTTCTGTTTGGGTGATTCAATGAAGGCTGCCCTCCTTCTCAAGAAAAACCAAGAAAATTTTAGGAGAAGACCAGCACCAAAAGCCTCTCTCTAAATCTCTACCGCTATGACGAAGCAGCGAATAAGGAAGACACCAGCAACCACCGCTTCTGGGCTCCTTGGCGAGCGCTGTCGACTTTGACAGGGGAGGCCGAGGCCAAAACCAGCTTCGAGGACTACAAACTACCGCCGCGTGACTTCGTTGAAAGGCTCCGGGCGCTGGAGCCAATTCGTTTGGACCGCACACTCCGGGAGCTTTCTGACTTTGAAGCGAAGGAGGAAGAGGAACGCCAGCGGAAGGCGAAAGAGGAACGCAAGCGGAAGGCGGAACAAGACGAGGAACTCAAGCGGAAGGCGGAACAAGGGGAACGCAAGCGGAAGGCGGAACAAGAGGAAATCAAGCGGAAGGCGGAGCAAGAGGAACTCAAGCGGAAGGCGGAACAAGAGGAACGCCAGCGGAAGGCGAAAGAGGAACTCCAGCGGAAGGCGGAAGAGGAACGCCAGCGGAAGGCGGAAGAGGAACGCCAGCGGAAGGCGGAACAAGAGGAACGCCAGTGGAAGGCGGAAAGGGAACGCCAGCGGAAGGCGGAAAAGGAACGCCAGCGGGAGGCGGAAGAGGAACTCCAGCGGGAGGCGGAAAGGGAAAGCCAGCGGAAGGCGGAAGAGGAACGCCAGCGGAAGGCGGAAGAGGAACGCCAGCGGAAGGCGGAACAAGAGGAACGCCAGCGGAAGGCGGAAAGGGAACGCCAGCGGGAGGCGGAAAAGGAAGGCCAGCGGAAGGCGAAAGAGGGAGGCCAGCGGGAGGAGAAAAAGGACCGCAGAACGGGGGCGGCGGCAAAGGGCCGCCGCGACCTGGGGGGGGAGCTACAGAAGGAGGGAGAGGCGCGCAGGAAGAGGGGTGCGGAAAAGGAACGCCAGCGAGAGGCGGAAGAGGGACGCAGAGCGAGGGCGGAACAAGAGGGAGACCGCGAGCGGGAGCGAGAGAGGGAGGAAGAGGCCCGTAGGACGAGGGAGGCGGAAGAGGTCCGCAGGACGAGGGAGGCGGAAGAGGTCCGCAGGAAGAGGAAGGCGGAAGAGGAAGACCGCGAGCGGGAGCGGGAGCTAGAGAGGGAGGAAGAGGCCCGTATCAGGACGAGGGAGGCGGAAGACGCCCAGGCGGAAAAGGGACGCCGCGAGCGGGAGCCGGAGCTGGAGAGGGAGGAAGAGGTCCGGAGGGAGAGGGAGGTGGAAGAGGTCTGCAGGACGAGGGACGCGGATGAGGTCCGCAGGAAGAGGAAGGCGAAAGAGGAAGACCGCGAGCGGGAGCGGGAGCTAGAGAAGGAGGAAGAGGCCCGCACTAGGACGAGGGAGGCGGAAGACGCCCAGGCGGGAAAGGGACGCCGCGAGCGGGAGCTGGAGCTGGAGAGGGAGGAAGAGGTCCGGAGGGAGAGGGAGGTGGAAGAGGTCCGCAGGACGAGGGAGGCGGAAGAGGTCCGCAGGAAGAGGAAGGCGAAAGAGGAAGACCGTGAGCGGGCGCGGGGGCTAGAGAGGGAGGAAGGGGTCCGCAGGACGAGGGAGGCGGGCCAGGATGCTGGAGCGACACCAAGCCAGGCTCGAGCAACGCGTCAGGCGGCAGAGCAGCCCGTGGGCCAAGACTACATACTTTTCGTGTGCGCGGTTCTTAGTCTAGTGCTACTTCTCGTGGGCGTGGCTCTTTATATTTATGGCGCCCAGAACTTGGGCGAAGCACAAGGACGCCCACTCTACGACGATTACTCTAACGAAGGCTTGGAGGCCCCTCTGCTGAGAGAAGACAGCAGGGACTTAGTTAAAGCTTCGCCTGATCCATCCGCAGAAGCATCCTGAAGAGGATTTTCAGCTGGAAATTGAGGGCAGAAGGATGCTTTTCAAGATGGATCAGAGCGAGCTCTAATGTGTGATTGCGAGCAGAAGGGAGGCCAGAAGAAGCAGAGCTGGGGAAGAGGTCGGAGCAGTCCCGGCGCATGAGCAAGCCGAAGGCCGCAGGGGAAAGAGCCTCCGAAAAACCAAGCAGAGGAAGTGGTGAACTGCAGTCCGAAAAGAAAACCGAGCAGGGGGAGACCGCAGAGAAAACCGGGCAGGGGGAGACCGCAAAGAAAACCGAGCAGGGGGAGACCGCAGAGAAAACCGGGCAGGGGGAGACCGCAAAGAAAACCAAACAGCGGAAGTCCGCAAAGAAAACCGGGCAGGGGGAGACCGCAAAGAAAACCGAGCAGGGAGAGACCGCAGAGAAAACCGGGCAGGGGGAGACCGCAAAGAAAACCAAACAGCGGAAGTCCGCAAAGAAAACCGGGCAGGGGGAGACCGCAAAGAAAACC